AAGTGTATTGGATGTGTGTTTTTTCATTGTTTGAGGGGGGGGGGAGACGAAATTGTTACAATACATACACGGAGACTCGCGTAAATATTCACACACACAAATACACACATGAATACAAGGGCTAAAACAAAGCCTGAAAAGTCCCGAGTTCGAATCCTTGGGCATATGAGGATGTTACTGGTGACTGCATCACGTCTAGGAAAAGTAACCTCGTAATATACATCTGCTGCCTTGTTGTTTGTTCTTGGGGCACCCGCTGATCTGGAGACCAGTTTATACACGAAGTTGGGCTTGTTTTGTGTAAATCCTCCATCATATACTAAATTAAGAACGAAGAAGAAGAAGAAGAAGAAGAAAGGTTGCTCAAAGGCTATGGAATCATATCTAAAACGGAAATCAGGCTGAAATTGGAATGAAGTCATTGTAGGTCGCGTAACAGTTTGAGAAGTAATTCTTAAATTGGCTAGAGAAAATCCCTTCCAACATTACATGCGCGCGCACGCACGTACGGATGTACACACACATGTATACACACACATACGCACGCACGCACACAAACACACACACACACTCTCTCTCTCTATCACTCTCACATACAGACAAGATTTCAACAGAAAATTTTCCGACTAAGGGAGATAAAAAAAAGGTCAAAATTTTTTAAAATGACTTTTAATTTTTTTGCTCGAATTTAACATCCTATTTTATTGCACATAATATTTTATCACACAAAAAAGTAAAAGCTAAATACTTCCTTTATTGTAGGAGTTTTTCTTATAACGTGACTTTATGTTCTCTACTAGGCACACTGCCTAGCTTTGCTTAGGTTTTAGAATAAAGAAATTGAGAATTCCAATAATTAATTAATTCGTGATTGGCTATTATGTGGAGTGCTTAGGGCCTAAGTTTAAAGAATCTTGAGTAATTTCACACCATGCCAACACGAGTGGAGTATTTTCATAAATTTCGGTACAATTCATAACTTAATTGATAACGAAATATTTACTTAAACGAATGATATACTTTTAAATATTTGTTTTACTTTAAAATATTATGAAAATTATTTTTAAAATATTACTTTAATAAGTTACCTCCCCTGTACAAAGACCAAATGACGTAGTTTTTGTTTACGTTTTCACAAACAATTGTTTATATAAGAAAATACCATATCTGGACAAATCTAACGACCGTTAAGAATTTTTTTTTACTACGGGAATAAAGTGTTTTGTTACCATCCAGGGTGGGTCTACGACCTCACAAAATATTAGGGGGGGGGGGGTTCGTTCGTCAATTTATTTAAAAATCTTATAAAAGGAGAATTTCACTCGCGGTCATCTTTTAGCCCTCGTCGAGGGCTTTGAATCAAACCGACAGTTTACTAAAAGGCCAAGCCATTTCCACAGGTGCATGCAAAAAATTAGCCAGACATACAAAAGGTAAGTTTCCAAAATTCTTTGATGAAATGACCCTCTGTTTTTCCCATAAAATTCAAAGATTATATAGGGAAATATAACTGGTCAGTTTTGATCCATTTGCAGATTTTTTCCGGCTGTGACGAGTTTTTTATGACATCCCTTCTTGTTCTCTTACCACCACACAAAATATCAAGGGTGTCATTCGGAAAGAATTTTTTTTGTTATATAGCTCAAGGATATTTTCACTCGCGGTCATCTTTTAGCCCTCGTCGAAGGCTTTGAGTCAAACTGACATTTTTACCTAAAGGCCAAGCCATTTACCTAGAAGCATGCAAAATAGTAGCCAGATATACTGAGTTTAAGTACCCTAAAATCCACGTTGAAATGACAATCTGTTTTTCCCATAAAATACAAAGATTATATACAGAAATACAACTGGTCAGTTTTGACCCATTTGCAAATTTTTCCCGCATATGCCGAGTTTTTTCTATATCTCTAGGTGTTCTCCTACCACCTCACAAAATATCAGGGGGGTCGTAGGGCAATAAATTATTTCGTTATATAGCTCAAATAAGGAGATTTTCACTCGCGGTTATGTTTTAGCCCTCTTCGAGGGCTTTGAGTCAAAGCGACAGTTTTTGCTAAAGGCCAAGCCATTTACCTAAAAGCATGCAAAAAATTAGCCTAATATACTGAGTTTAAGTACCCTAAAATCCCAAAACATCCCATAAAATACAAAGATTATAAAAGGAATAACGATTTGTCAGTTTTGATCCATTTCAAGATTCTTCCCGGATATGTCGAGCTTTTCTGATACCCCTAGGCGTTCTTCTACCACCAGTCAAAATATCAACGGGGGTCGTTGGGCAAAAAAATGTTTTCGTAATAGAGTTCTCCTACCACCTCACAAACTATCAAGGGGATCGTTCGACAGATTTTTTTCCCTTATATAGCTCAAATTAGGATAATTTCACTCGCGGTCATCTTTTAGCCCTCGTCGAGGGCTGTGAGTCGAACCGACAGTTTTTCCATACGGCCTAGCCATATATCTAGGAGCTTGCAAAAAATTAGCCAGATGTGCAGACCGTAAGTGCCCTAAAATCTTATTTAAAATTACCCTCTGTTTTTCACATAAAGTACAAAGATTATATAGGGAAATACAACTGGTCAGTTTTGACCACTTTACGAAGTTTTCCCAGATATGACGAGTTTTTAGTGACATCCCTTGGTGTTCTCCTACCACCTCACAAAATATCAAGGGGGGACGTTCGGCAAGAATTTTATTTCCTTATATAGCTCAAATAATGAGATTTTCACTCTCATGTTTTAGCACTCGGCGAGGGCTTTGAGTCAAACCGACAGCTTTCCTGAAAGGCCAATCCATTTACCTAGGAGAATGCAAAAAATTAGCTAGATGTACAAATGGTAAGTGCCCTGAAATCTTTGTTTAAATTACCCTCTGTTTTTCCCATAAAATACAAAGATTATATGGGGAGATACAACTGGTCAGTTTCGACCCACTTGCAGATTTTTCCCGGATATGCAGAATTTTTTGACACCCCGAGGCGATCACCTACCACCCCACAAAATATCAAGGGGGGCCGTTCGGCAAAAGTTTTTTTCGTAAAATAGCCCATATAAGGCGCAGGTCAGTCGAGGTCAGTTTTGACCCCCTCTCCGTGGACTTTTCGGCCAACCATCACCGGCCCTCGTGTTCTATCGCCCCAAGGCATCATCGTGCCAAATTGGACGCGCCTGCTTTATATATAAAGATAACATAGTATTAATCATACATACATTGCACATCTCGCAGTGATATTTTCAGGAACTGTTCAGCACCGGAAGCGCATCAAATCTTGTGCGCAGAGGAATGGGTGAACGAGAAAATGAAGGTCCTTGAAGAAGGTTTTTTGATTATTTAATTTTTAGTTTAACGCCTTGATTTGCGCACTATATAAGTAAGCATATTTAAAACACACGTTTTTTTAGTTAGGGTAATGATCATGATTACCTAAGCAAAATAAACTATATACATACTTGAATATGCCAATTTGACGCTTATTTATTTATAGTCTAGTCTAGATCTAGATCTATTCTAATATACTAATATAGATTCAATAAATTGTTCATTTCTTTTCAGCTCATTTAGCTCTAAAGTTTACTTTAAAATTAAAATACATTTTATTATCGATAACTTGGACGTTTCAGTGTAGGAAGTTGACTTGCGTAGATTTCCTCTACAAGGTCATATATAAAGAGAATGCCTTCCTCGATATACTTCGCCTTCTGTTTCCTCTCAGGTATGTTTAATGATTCTTCTGTCACGTAATTTTGATACTCATGTAATACCACCCCTAATTTTTTGCACATAGTTGTACGTTAAAATTTGTATTAAAAATTAAACAAATAATAGAAATGTATAGTTCGATTTGCGAAATCTAAATCTTTCAGCAGATTTGTAAAATCTTTTTTTGAGGAACAAAGTTATAGAGGTTTGAAAAAGTGTTAATTTTGCACCTTTTACGTGGTTTCCATGGCAACCAGAACTACTTTAGCCAGCTATATATGATTTTTGTCTACAGGCTAACAACTAACTATTATCATATGAATTTACGAAGCACTATGAAACATGTTTTAAAAAAAAGAATTTATAGTTCAAATATAGTTTTAGATACTGTTCCTAAACTTCAAATATAGTAATAGCTGCTGTTTATATACTTCATATATAGTCATAGCTACTATTCCTATACTTCAAATCTACTTCAAATATAGTTATAGCTACTGTTCCTACATGGAAATATAGTTAGAGCTACTGTCCCTATACTTCAAATATATTTCAAATATATTTGTAGCCATTGTCCCTATACTTCAAATATAGTTATAGCTGCTTTTCCTATACTTCATTTATAGTCATAGCTACTATTCCTACACTTCAAATATAGTTATAGCTACTGTTCATTTATGGAAAAGTAGTAATATATACTGTTCCTATACTTCAAATATAGTTATAGCTACTGTTCCTACATGGAAATATAGTTATAGGTACTGTCCCTATACTTCAAATATATTTCAAATATATTTGTAGCTACTGTTCCTATACTTCAAATATATTTATAGCTGCTGTTCCTATAGTTCAAATATTTTTATAGCTACTATTCCTACACTTCAAATATAGTTATAGCTACTGTTCATTTATGGAAAAGTAGTAATATATACTGTTCCTATACTTCAAATATAGTTATAGCTACTGTTCCTACATGGAAATATAGTTATAGGTACTGTCCCTATACTTCAAATATATTTCAAATATATTTGTAGCTACTGTTCCTATACTTCAAATATATTTATAGCTGCTGTTCCTATAGTTCAAATATTTTTATAGCTACTGTTCCTATAGTTCAAATATAGTTATAGCTACTGTTCCTATAGTTCAAATGTAGTTATGGCTACTGTTTCCGTACTGGAAATGTAGTTAATGATACTACTCGTATTCCCCACATGACATTTTTGACACATCATATAAATTTTACTTCTTGTACCCCCCCCCCCCCCCTCCCAGCGTACCTGCATGTCGCCGCCACCCAGGGGAACGACTTGGAGCTGTCCATCCCCCCACAGGACACCTCCTGCAACAAGCTGTCCCAGATCGAGGAGATCCCCGTCACCGGTCAGCTGACGATCAGGTCGAAGGAACTGATCAAACACAACCCCCACTCGTATTTCGTGTTTGAGGTCTCTCAACCAGGCAGCCCGTACATGGAGGTAGGCTCGATTGTCTCGTGGAGAGGGGGGGGGGGGGGAGGTGCAGGCTTGATTGTCTCGTGGAGAAGGGGTGCAGGCTGGATTGTCTCGGGGAGGGGGGTGTAGGGTGGATTGTCTCGGGGGGGGGGGGGGGGGTGTAATCTGGATTGTTTCGGGGTGGGGGGTGTAGGTTGGATTGTCTCGGGGGGGGTGATGTAGGGAGGGGTGTAGGTTGGATTGTCTCGGGGGGGGGGGAGGGGTGTAGGCTGGATTGTCTCGGGGGGGGGGTGATGTAGGGTGGATTATCTCTGGGGGGGTGTAGGCTGGATTGTCTCGGGGGTGAGAATAGATTGTCTACAGGGGGGATGGATTGTCTCGAGGGAGGCGGGGGGTAGGCCTTAACCACCCCCACCCCACTCCGCCCAGTGAAAGCAGCCGTTTACAGACGACAATGAAAATATCAAGCAGAACTTATTATTTCCCCTTAGTTTCAAATCGTTTAAAAACTAAATTATCTGCCCCTAATTGGCGTCACTCATTCGAACCGCATCTAATATTGTAAACATTCGGGGTGAACCACAGCTCACCTGACAGGTGACGATGAGGGGGGTTGCTGCGTGGTGCCTCGTATGGTCCCCATGAAGAGAATTCTATATATTTATAGATATTTCCAATGCAGACGTGTCACATAGCCTTCGCCAACTGTACGCATGAAAGAGGCAGACAGTGCTACTGTTTCTCCCTGGATAAAGTCAACTACGACGTGGTCTACGTCCATAAGGCTGGGCTCAATGAGCAGAAGACCTGGGTCAGGCTCTCCTGGTTGTCGGTGACAGGGAAGAAGCTGTTGGATCCACAGGAGGGGAATGTTGCCCATTCGTATAGTGAGTGGTTTGGATGTTGTATTGTGTTTCCCGCTTGTATAGTGAGTGGTTTGTTTGTTGAGTTGTGTTGTATTGTGTTGCCCATTCGTGTAGTTAGTGTTCCGTGTGTAATCATTGTGTCGCCCATGTCATTTGGTAAGTGGTTTGTGTGTTTTATTGTGCTGTCCTTTTGTGTAGTTAGTGGATTGTGTGTGGTTTGTGCTGTCCTTTCGTGTAGTTAGTGGATTGTTTGTAGCATTACTGTGTTTCCTTTCTTATGGTAAGTGGTTTTTTGTGTCATTATTGCGTTGCCCATTCTTAAAGTAAATTGTGTGTATCATTATCGTGTGTGGTTTGTATGTGGCATCTTTGTGTTACCCATTCGTAATATCTTTCCAAGGCTTTTTTTTTTAATCCTTAACATTTGATTTCCTTTTCATACCGTGTTAAGTTTAAATACAAACTTTTTTAAAAGTGATATATTTAGTCTTTTACTTTTTGTACTAATACGATTTTTGTGATGTTTTTTTTTGTGTACTCAAAGTGTTTCATAATCTTGACGTTTTGCAAAAATGCCATTTTGCTTATTATGTAGTATAACATCTCACACCACCATCCATCAAATTTTCCACAGACATCAAGGAAGTGCCAGGAATGAACGGAAACATCACTCTCAACGGCGGAGAACTGGACTTGAGCAGCGAGTGCACCTTCGGCCAGTACCTCATGGACAAGAACACCTTCTACGCCTGCTGCCCCTCGAAGGTCAGCCCCTGTCACGTGGAGATCACGTACGGCGATCAGAACGTGGCCAGGGAGCACTGCGTGATGATCACGGACGTGAGCAAGGAGGAGTTGAAAAGCTATTTCAAGCTGGAGTTCTTCATTTGCAACTACTATAGAAAGATTTTTCATTGCTATGAATTCCCAGGTAAATTTTTTTTTTATAGTTAATAAAATTATGTTTTTGCTATTACCCAATTTTATTAAATCCGTCTTTATCAATTATTTGTACTAATCTCTATTTGTTTTCTTTTTTTTTCTTTTTTTTTTCTTTTTGCTTGCATCATACAGAAATGTACAGCGTCAATTTGCCTTGCCATGTTCGCTTTAGTAATACAGAAATACAGTTTTTTTTTATCTGTTTGCGAGGACTGATATTAATTTCTATTTTCAATCAGGATTTTTTTTTTCCGCCTCAGACACGTAATTTATAGCTTCAGTTGTGTGTTCGCTTTAGTATTACAGTTTTCATCATCGGCTTGTGAGGACTGATAAAGATTTACAATAGTAATATTTATTTCTTACTTGTAGCCTGCTTTCATTCATTTAAGATGGTTTACTTATACATAGATCTAATACAAAACGTCTAAATATAAAGAAAAAAAAAATTAAAAACCAACCTGAAACTGAAAATGCAAATGTGTAATAAAATGATGATTCAAGGGATTTTGTTTTTCTCGGCGTGCGTGGTGGGCTGAGGGGAAGGGGGGGGGGGGGGTTGGAATTTGGGTTTGGGTTTTTAAGTAGAGTAAAAAAAAAAGCTAGCACGATTATCGTGAATAATTGTACTGGATGAATTTGTTTCATTCAATATTGATCTATTCTATAATTTCCGCAAATATTTTTTTTTTAAGTTTTAATATTGTCCTAACTTGTTAGTTCGATTATTGCTCATATATTGTCTATTCAAGTATTGCCCTTTTTATAGTTTGTGCTATTGTTGCCCCTAGTTATTTCCCTTTTAATTATAAGTTACATTATACCCCTATTTTTTTAAATTTATGTGTCTTCTTCTTCTTCTTCGTTCTTAATTGTGAATATGGTGGAGGATTCAGACAACAAGTCCAACTTCGTGGACAAACCGGACTGTGGTCTCCAGTTTGGCAGGTGCCCCATATAATTTTTCCCTGAGTGGGGTGGGCAGCCCGTGTGATTTTTATCCCTTTATTGGAAGCTCGATCACTACCTCTATTTAATAAATTCAATTACTTCCCTTCTATTGTAATTTCGATTACTGCCCCTTATATTTTCAGTGATGAATTTGCAAGGTTTTGTGGAGGATCTGACAACAGACAACACCCAGTCTGTGCTGATGTTTACCATGGTGGGGATCATCATCATCTGTTTGGTGGTGGCGGTGACACTCTACTACAAGGTGTGTGTGTGTCTATGTGTTTGTCAGTCGTGTGTGTTCTGGTTAAGCAGTCGTGTGTCGCTCTGATATTCGTGGGGTCTGAATGTCAGTCGTTCGTGTGTCTCTCTGTGTCAGTCAGTCGTGTGTCTCTATGTCAGTCAGTCGTGTGTCTCTGTCATTCAGTAAGTCGTGTGTCTCTATGTCAGTCAGTCAGTCGAGTGTCTCTATGTCAGTCAGTCAGTCGAGTGTCTCTATGTCAGTCAGTCGTATGTCTCTATGTCAGTCAGTCAGTCGTGTGTCTCTATGTCAGACAGTCAATCCTGTGTCGCTACGTCAGTCAGTCATGTGTCTCTATGTCAGTCAGTCAGTGAAGTGTCTCTATGTCAGTCAGTCAGTCGAGTGTCTCTATGTCAGTCAGTCAGTGGAGTGTCTCTATGTCAGTCAGTCGAGTGTCTCTATGTCAGTCAGTCATTCGTGTGTCTCTATGTCAGTCGTGTGTCTCTTTGTCAGTCAGTCAGTTGAGTGTCTCTATGTCAGTCAGTCAGTGGAGTGTCTCTATGTCAGTCAGTCAGTCAAGTGTCTCTATGTCAGTCAGTCATTCGTGTGTCTCTTTGTCAGTCAGTCAGTTGAGTGTCTCTATGTCAGTCAGTCGTATGTCTCTATGTCATTCAGTCAGTCGTGTGTCTCTATGTCAGTCAGTCATGTGTCTCTATGTCAGTCAGTCATGTGTCTCTATTTCAGTCAGTCAGTCGAGTGCCTCTATGTCAGTTAGTCGTATGTCTCTATGTCAGTCAGTCAGTCGTGTGTCTCTATGTCAGTCAGTCAGTCATGTGTCTCTATGTCAGTCAGTCAGTCGTGTGTCTCTATGTCAGTCAGTCGTAAGTCTTTATGTCAGTCAGTCGTGTGTCTATATGTCAGTCAGTCATGTGTCTCTATGTCAGTCAGTCAGTGGAGTGTCTCTATGTCAGTCAGTCAGTCGAGTGTCTCTATGTCAGTCAGTCAGTGGAGTGTCTCTATGTCAGTCAGTCAGTCGAGTGTCTCTATGTCAGTCATTCGTGTGTCTCTATGTCAGTCAGTCGTGAGTCTCTATGTGCGTCAGTCATGTGTCTCTATGTCAGTCAGTCAGTCGTATGTCTCTATGTGAGTAAGTCAGTCGAGTGTCTCTATGTGCGACAGTCGTGTGTTTATATGCCAGCAATATCTCTTCCAGACGTTTATCTCCAGAGGGGGGGGGGGGCACTTGGAATTTTCGGTGGGTTGGGGGCGGACACTGGTAAAAGTATATATTTTCTATATAAATTCAATTTCGTTCGGGGGGGGGGGGAGCGGTAGACTTACTTCGGGGGGGGGGGGGCGCGAAGAGATGCCTGTAAGAAACATTGTATGCCAGTCTGTTTCCCTGTATCTGTCAGTCATGTCCTGGCTTCAGTCAGACATTCATCAGTTTGTCCGTCTGTTTCTGCATGATGGTCAGTTGTGTGTCTATATGTCAGTCAGTCAGTCGAGTGTCTCTATGTCATTCATGTGTTTTGATCCCGTCATGAAATTTTACCGTTCGTACCCAACACACATCGAGCAGATGAAGTAGAGTTCATCTGCTCCATTGAACAGGGTGATAATGTGGTTAGCAGGATGCCTGTCCACTTTAGTTTACCCAATTCTTGTTAGATACAAATAAGGGCTGGGTGGACTCAAGAATCCGAACTTGAGAATTTCGAGTTCGCAGTAGTACGAGTGTCTGTATGCTGTAATGATTTTGTCTATGTAAGAGTAAGTTTTGTGTCTGTTTTGTCGAACATGTTGTAAAAGAGTAAATTCACTTTAAAATTTATTTTATAGTTATAATTTTTTAAAAAGAAATTCTTACAAACAAAACGTGTGAAAGACATTAATAGTTGTAGTACGTATAGTAGTTTTAGAAACCGTTTAATTAACCTACATCATCTCAGTGGCGTCGCTGGGTGGGTGTCACACGGTGCGGCAACTAACGGTGTCACATATTTGTATACACCCCCCCCATCCCCACCCCAGACGAGGATTGATGTGTCAGTTATTACAATTCTCAAGAAAATATTTTTCTTCAGGCAAATTTTCAACGTTTAGTTAGCTTCAAACCCCATTCTCCACTCTATGATAGCTTTAAACTGAGCACAAATAATGCTTACGATGTTCATCTTTAGTTGGTTATAAATATAGCTGGATGTAGTATAGTTTTCTATATCGTTCGCAGGTTTACGTCATGGTGTCACCCCCAACCCTCCACCCTTGTCGGGATTTGTCAGTTTTGCTCTTAATGAAAAGACTTTTTAACTCTAATCATTTATTTAATTGGAATGATCGTTTTTTTTTTCTCTGTATATTTTATTATTTTTGGCTTAGTGTCACCACCTAAATGGTGTCACCCTGTGCGATCGGTACCCCCTCCCCCTGCGACGCCTCTGCATCATCTCTTTCCTAAAACTTAACAACTCTATACCTTATACGTTTAGATATTCAGCTATTATTAGACATGTACATAAAAAATCGTTTATTATTTGTGAACGTCTACAGGAAAGGATAAAAGTCAAGCAAAGATCTGGTGGTTAAACAATTTTGTTCGAAGACCCTAAGGTTAGATCGCTGCCAGCTTGCGTGAGCCTTTCGTCTTGCCAGATAAGCTGAGGAAAAAACAAGCCAAGTTCTGAATTATAAAAAAAAGGATATTATTTTAGTCCAAGAAATTTCTAATTTTCAAGTGTCATCATCTTGTCCGGAATAATAATATAATTCTGGAAATTATCTTTAAAAGAGTTAAAGTCTATTTTATTTCAAGAATGAATATAAAAAATAAATAAACATCTTATAACACAGCTGAATACCGCTGTTCATTGTTCGTTTTTATAAACGAGTTAACATGTGTATTAATTATTTTAAATTGTATTGGTTACATTCATTTTTTAATTTTATGTTTGTTTTAGTTTTAATCTATAGAAGAATACCAGGACTCATTATAATTACCACGGCACAACACAATTTACATTAATTTCTCTGAGCTAACCCGAATACTATTAGTAAAAATTTAATTGAGGAATGTTTGCTGTACGAGTGGTTACATGGGTAGACAAAAATAGCTCAACAGTCGCAGTAACTGTACTACTGAAAAGTGTTATGGAAAGAAATATTTAATTTATATATTTCATTTAAACCTTATGTCAATTATGATGTTTAACTGTGGCTGAGAATGGATTACATTAAGTTTTTTTTTTCTTTTAATGTAGATTTTTTGGTAAAGTATTGAACATTTTCCGATGCTTTATTTTTCTTTTTGTTTTTTATGTTAATTATGAAGCATTTAATAATGAATGAAGTAACTGACACTTTATTGACGGAAGAACTAATGAAAGTGAAATAAAATACGTAGATTATTTTTAGCAAAGTAGTGAACATTTTGCGATGCTTTATTATTCTTTTTGTTTATTATATAATTTTTTACAAAATAATTATCAAATAAATCAAAATATAAAATTTAGAAAGTGCATACAGTTTTGCCAAACTAAAGACAAGCAAAATAATAGGCATTAAAATCACATTCTGCCCTAAACAAATGAACCTACACAAATGAACCTACACAAATGAAACTACACAAAATAACTCAATTATTGAATCAAGAAATTAACGATAAATAAATAAACAAAAACAAACACGTTTGAAAAAATAAATGAAACACCCCGAAGAAAATGTTAGATATGTTGAGAATGAGTTAACGTCTCTATGAACAAGTGAACACTTCTCTTTGATTTGTTTTGGTGCGCAACAAGCAACGAGTGCGGTGGACGCATCTCTTTCACACTTTGTAGCTTGTGTGTGATTAAGTTTGGTGCCGATTAGTGCTAGTTACAGGATATGATCGACACGGAATATCAAAACATTATTGTAACAAGATCAACAATCATCAATGTTTACCACAGTAAGGTCCTAAAGTACGTGCTATCCATTTCACTAGGGTCGGGTTCTGAAGGTAAGGTAAGTATCCAGCACATATGTTAGTTTGTACTTTATGTACCTAACATATGTTACACGTAATTCATCATTGTATGCGCCATTTTCCTGTGTTCGTTTTACTTTAGGTAATTTATATTAAAAAGTAAATAAAGAATATGGTTGACAATAAAGGGCTTATTAATGGCAAGGGAAAAGTGAATGTGATACGTTGTGACTGGTTTGGGACGGTGTGGTTGGAAGGTAAAAAGTACGACTGTTAACCATAAGGTATTAAGTTTGGATCTGTGCTTGAGTCCGTAAGATGAGTACTTTACTTACGTTAGGAAAACTAATGGCGGTTGAGAAACATCATTATCATTATCATTATCATTATCATTATCATTATCATTATCATTATCATTATCATTATCATTATCATTATCATTATCATTATCATTATCATTATCATTATCATTATCATTATCATTATCATTATCATTATCATTATCATTATCATTATCATTATCATTATCATTATCATTATCATTATCATTATCATTATCATTATCATTATCATTATCATTATCATTATCATTATCATTATCATTATCATTATCATTATCATTATCATTATCATTATCATTATCATTATCATTATCATTATCATTATCATTATCATTATCATTATCATTATCATTATCATTATCATTATCATTATCATTATCATTATCATTATCATTATCATTATCATTATCATTATCATTATCATTATCATTATCATTATCATTATCATTATCATTATCATTATCATTATCATTATCATTATCATTATCATTATCATTATCATTATCATTATCATTATCATTATCATTATCATTATCATTATCATTATCATTATCATTATCATTATCATTATCATTATCATTATCATTATCATTATCATTATCATTATCATTATCATTATCATTATCATTATCATTATCATTATCATTATCATTATCATTATCATTATCATTATCATTATCATTATCATTATCATTATCATTATCATTATCATTATCATTATCATTATCATTATCATTATCATTATCATTATCATTATCATTATCATTATCATTATCATTATCATTATCATTATCATTATCATTATCATTATCATTATCATTATCATTATCATTATCATTATCATTATCATTATCATTATCATTATCATTATCATTATCATTATCATTATCATTATCATTATCATTATCATTATCATTATCATTATCATTATCATTATCATTATCATTATCATTATCATTATCATTATCATTATCATTATCATTATCATTATCATTATCATTATCATTATCATTATCATTATCATTATCATTATCATTATCATTATCATTATCATTATCATTATCATTATCATTATCATTATCATTATCATTATCATTATCATTATCATTATCATTATCATTATCATTATCATTATCATTATCATTATCATTATCATTATCATTATCATTATCATTATCATTATCATTATCATTATCATTATCATTATCATTATCATTATCATTATCATTATCATTATCATTATCATTATCATTATCATTATCATTATCATTATCATTATCATTATCATTATCATTATCATTATCATTATCATTATCATTATCATTATCATTATCATTATCATTATCATTATCATTATCATTATCATTATCATTATCATTATCATTATCATTATCATTATCATTATCATTATCATTATCATTATCATTATCATTATCATTATCATTATCATTATCATTATCATTATCATTATCATTATCATTATCATTATCATTATCATTATCATTATCATTATCATTATCATTATCATTATCATTATCATTATCATTATCATTATCATTATCATTATCATTATCATTATCATTATCATTATCATTATCATTATCATTATCATTATCATTATCATTATCATTATCATTATCATTATCATTATCATTATCATTATTATTATCATCATTATCATCGTCATCATCATCATCATCATCATCATTATTATCATCATTATCATCGTCATCATCATCATCATCATCACCATCATCATCATCATCATCATCATCATCATCATCCTTGTTGACTCTTTATGAAGCATAAGGACACAACCTTATCTTTCCATCGTACTCGGTTTTTAGGCAATTCCTCCAAGGTGTGTCCACATTATAGCATCTGCTTCTTTTTCAGTGGTAACAGACCTTTTCCACTTTTGTTTTTGGCATACCTACGTTCCACTTTCTTTTGGATTCCAACCTACAGTCTGTCTAGTGTTTTTGCTAGACGGTTTCCCCATTTGCGCTTTTGTATTTCTTTGCCAGTATGGTTTAGCCAAAATGTTATCCATTGTTCGGCAATGGTAATTTTAAGGCCATCTGATGTTCAATATTCGGCGAAGGCATCTGCTAACGCTCCACGAATTTTTTAAAAGTTGTTTACCTCCCCCCCCCCCCACACACACACACCTCCCCACTCATTTCTCTCCCCTCCCACATTAGCTTCACTCACTCTATTTATCCTATCCGCCCCACCGTTCATTCATCCCGCATTTATATTTAGGACACCATTTGAATAGCATTGAGCTATATTACACACAAGACAAACAATATGGTGTCTGGTTGTCAAGGAAGCCGCGGCCTATACAGTCCCACAAGCTACATATTGTATGTTATAGTGTTTTCAGGTAAGATGTTTTCTTGTGTTTTAATGGGTAGTTCTTTTAGAGTGAGGCGTTGGGATTTAGACGATGTGGAACGAGAGGGGGGGGGTGTGTTTTAAAGGTTTTAAGGCTTTCTTTGATATTGAAAAAGTAACGTCGCAAACTGAAATTTCGGTCTGTAAGCGACTTATTGTATTTTGAAATAATAGATGATCAACTTGGTCACCGTTGACTGAGTTTAGTCAGCATTTGTTTTTAAAGAAGTCCATGTTTTCAAACACAGTTTTGCTAAAATAGTATTGAGATGAAGTAGGATGAGGAATGACGTCATTTTAGTGGTCTGGCGTTTTGTGATTTGGTTACTTAATAATATATGATTAGTAATGTAATAGTATCGATACCATCCAACACATAATCTTCGATATAAAAAATCTAGGATTTGTTCAGGGGTTACATTATAGATACCACGCAATACACAATCTTCGAAATATGACATTCTAGGATTTGTACCGGGGTTTAAGTATCGATACCACACCACACAGAATCTTCGATATTTAACAATCTAGGACAAGTACCGGGGTTACAGTATCGATACCACGTAACACATAATCTTTGATATTTAACAATCTATGATTTGTCAGTATCGATACCTCACAACACATACTCTTCTCTATTTAACAATCTATGATTTGTCAGTATCGATACCTCACAACACATAACCTCTATTTAACAATCTATGATTTGTCAGTATCGATACTTCGCAACACATAATCTTCAATATTTAACAATCTAGCATTTGTATCGGAGTTACAGTATCGAGTCGACCACGCAACACTTAATCTTCATGACGACCCATTCTATATCCTGTCGTACTCTCATATTCACCCCTATGGTTTCTCTCAGCACTGGCGCTGACGACTTGGTGCCAACCAAACAAAATGACTCTGGAGATCCCAGCCCGAAAAGGCTCCTGTGGTATCGATACCAAAGACGAGAACCTGACAGTCCGGGTCCATGTCAGGGTGAAGAACGTTGAGGACGTCCTGCTGTCCATGTTTTTCTTTGAGACAGCCAATCAGCAGAATCAATTTGAGCAGGTGAGAGCAGGTGTTGTTCAGGTAGCGAGAGTCATTCATCCATGATAACAGGTGATGTAGCCTTATGCTGTTCAGGTAGCGAGAGTCATTCATCCATGATAACAGGTGATGTAGCCTATAGGTCGGTACGTTAGCGAAAGTTGAGGTAGCAGGTTTCATATATTCAGGTGAGGTAGCCTTATGTTGTTCAGGTAGCAAAAGTTGAGGTAGCAGGTTTCATATATTCAGGTGAGGTAGCCTTATGTTGTTCAGGTAGCAAAAGTTGAGGTAGCAAGTTTTATATATTCAGGTGAGGTAGCCTTATTTTGTTCAGGTAGCAAAAGTTGAGGTAGCAGGTTTCATATATTCAGGTGAGGTAGCCTTATGTTGTTCAGGTAGCAAAAGTTGAGGTAGCAAGTTTTATATATTCAGGTGAGGTAGCCTTATTTTGTTCAGGTAGCAAAAGTTGAGGTAGCAGGTTTCATATATTCAGGTGAGGTAGCCTTATGTTGTTCAGGTAGCAAAAGTTGAGGTAGCAAGTTTTATATATTCAGGTGAGGTAGCCTTATTTTGTTCAGGTAGCAAAAGTTGAGGTAGCAGGTTTCATATATTCAGGTGAGGTAGCCTTATGTTGTTCAGGTAGCAAAAGTTGAGGTAGCAGGTTTCATATATTCAGGTGAGGTAGCCTTATGTTGTTCAGGTAGCAAAAGTTGAGGTAGCAAGTTTTATATATTCAGGTGAGGTAGCCTTATGTTGTTCAGGTAGCAAAAGTTGAGGTGGCAGGTTTTATATATTCAGGTGAGGTAGCCTTATGTTGTTCAGGTAGCAAAAGTTGAGGTAGCAAGTTTTATATATTCAGGTGAGGTAGCCTTATTTTGTTCAGGTAGCAAAAGTTGAGGTAGCAGGTTTCATATATTCAGGTGAGGTAGCCTTATGTTGTTCAGGTAGCAAAAGTTGAGGTAGTAGGTTTCATATATTCAGGTGAGGTAGCCTTATGTTATGTTGTTCAGGTAGCAAAAGTTGAGGTAGTAGGTTTCATATATTCAGGTGAGGTAGCCTTATGTTGTTCAGGTAGCAAAAGTTGAGGTAGCAGGTTTCATATATTCAGGTGAGGTAGCCTTATGTTGTTCAGGTAGCAAAAGTTGAGGTAGCAAGCTTTATATATTCAGGTGAGGTAGCCTTATTTTGTTCAGGTAGCAAAAGTTGAGGTAGCAGGTTTCATATATTCAGGTGAGGTAGCCTTATGTTGTTCAGGTAGCAAAAGTTGAGGTAGCAGGTTTCATATATTCAGGTGAGGTAGCCTTATGTTGTTCAGGTAGCAAAAGTTGAGGTGGCAGGTTTCATATATTCAGGTGAGGTAGCCTTATGTTGTTCAGGTAGCAAAAGTTGAGGTAGCAGGTTTCATATATTCAGGTGAGGTAGCCTTATGTTGTTCAGGTAGCAAAAGTTGAGGTAGCAGGTTTCATATATTCAGGTGAGGTAGCCTTATGTTGTTCAGGTAGCAAAAGTTGAGGTGGCAGGTTTCATATATTCAGGTGAGGTAGCCTTATGTTGTTCAGGTAGCAAAAGTTGAGGTGGCAGGTTTCATATATTCAGGTGAGGTAGCCTTATGTTGTTCAGGTAGCAAAAGTTGAGGTAGCAGGTTTCATATATTCAGGTGAGGTAGCCTTATGTTGTTCAGGTAGCAAAAGTTGAGGTAGCAGGTTTCATATATTCAGGTGAGGTAGCCTTATGTTGTTCAGGTAGCAAAAGTTGAGGTAGCAGGTTTCATATATTCAGGTGAGGTAGCCTTATGTTGTTCAGGTAGCAAAAGTTGAGGTAGCAGGTTTCATATATTCAGGTGAGGTAGCCTTATGTTGTTCAGGTAGCAAAAGTTGAGGTAGCAGGTTTCATATATTCAGGTGAGGTAGCCTTATGTTGTTCAGGTAGCAAAAGTTGAGGTAGCAGGTTTCATATATTCAGGTGAGGTAGCCTTATGTTGTTCAGGTAGCAAAAGTTGAGGTAGCAGGTTTCATATATTCAGGTGAGGTAGCCTTATGTTGTTCAGGTAGCAAAAGTTGAGGTGGCAGGTTTCATATATTCAGGTGAGGTAGCCTTATGTTGTTCAGGTAGCAAAAGTTGAGGTGGCAGGTTTCATATATTCAGGTGAGGTAGCCTTATGTTGTTCAGGTAGCAAAAGTTGAGGTAGCAGGTTTCATATATTCAGGTGAGGTAGCCTTATGTTGTTCAGGTAGCAAAAGTTGAGGTAGCAGGTTTCATATATTCAGGTGAGGTAGCCTTATGTTGTTCAGGTAGCAAAAGTTGAGGTAGCAGGTTTCAAGGTAGCCTTATGTTGTTCAGGTAGCAAAAGTTGAGGTAGCAGGTTTCATATATTCAGGTGAGGTAGCCTTATGTTGTTCAGGTAGCAAAAGTTGAGGTAGCAGGTTTCATATATTCAGGTGAGGTAGCCTTATGTTGTTCAGGTAGCAAAAGTTGAGGTAGCAGGTTTCATATATTCAGGTGAGGTAGCCTTATGTTGTTCAGGTAGCAAAAGTTGAGGTAGCAGGTTTCATATATTCAGGTGAGGTAGCCTTATGTTGTTCAGGTAGCAAAAGTTGAGGTAGCAAGTTTTATATATTCAGGTGAGGTAGCCTTATTTTGTTCAGGTAGCAAAAGTTGAGGTAGCAGGTTTCATATATTCAGGTGAGGTAGCCTTATGTTGTTCAGGTAGCAAAAGTTGAGGTAGCAAGTTTTATATATTCAGGTGAGGTAGCCTTATTTTGTTCAGGTAGCAAAAGTTGAGGTAGCAGGTTTCATATATTGAGGTGAGGTAGCCTTATGTTGTTCAGGTAGCAAAAGTTGAGGTAGCAGGTTTCATATATTCAGGTGAGGTAGCCTTATGTTGTTCAGGTAGCAAAAGTTGAGGTAGCAGGTTTCATATATTCAGGTGAGGTAGCCTTATGTTGTTCAGGTAGCAAAAGTTGAGGTAGCAGGTTTCATATATTCAGGTGAGGTAGCCTTATGTTGTTCAGGTAGCAAAAGTTGAGGTAGCAGGTTTCATATATTCAGGTGAGGTAGCCTTATGTTGTTCAGGTAGCAAAAGTTGAGGTAGCAGGTTTCATATATTCAGGTGAGGTAGCCTTATGTTGTTCAGGTAGCAAAAGTTGAGGTAGCAGGTTTCATATATTCAGGTGAGGTAGCCTTATGTTGTTCAGGTAGCGAAAGTTGAGGTAGCAGGTTTCATATATTCAGGTGAGGTAGCCTTATGTTGTTCAGGTAGCAAAAGTTGAGGTAGCAGGTTTCATATATTCAGGTGAGGTAGCCTTATGTTGTTCAGGTAGCAAAAGTTGAGGTAGCAGGTTTCATATATTCAGGTGAGGTAGCCTTATGTTGTTCAGGTAGCAAAAGTTGAGGTAGTAGGTTTTATATATTAATGTAGCCTTTTATTGTTGAGGTGGCCAGTTTAGTATATTTAGATGGATAGTCTTGTAAGCAGTTTACTCACAGTAAGGTCAGCTCAATGCCCAGACCCTTTTTCTACCGTGAGTCAGGTACCCATTAGAGCAATGTTTACTCACAGCAGAGGCATAGCGCGGGGGGGGGTGGGGGGTGGGACCGCACTGGGTGACACCATTTAGGGGGGTGACACCAATTAAAAAATAGCAAAATATATAGAGAAAAATGATAATTCCACTTAATTAAGTGATTAAGTCGAGTGTTAAATAGTGTTTTTAGAAAGTTTGAGTGGGGGGGGGCGAGGGGGGGGTGTGCATATCGAAAGTTTGAAGGGGGGGGTGGTGCAAATCGAAAATTGAAAGTTTGTCCCCGAGAATGGTCGATACGCCTCTGGGGGGGGGGGGGGTGACACCATTAAGTGCATCACCGGGTGACACCCGACCTCGCTACGCCACTGACTCACAGACATCCAACTTATATGAAGGGACAGTGTAGTCATGTCAATGTCCAGACTCTTTATATACCATGAGTCAGGTACCCATCAGACCTGATAGGACTGGCGAATGCACTACACTCTTAAGCACGGAGTCCGAGACTTTCATGTTCCCTCGACCATCCGCCTCTGCATGTACCATTCTTAAGATCCTTATTTTAGCACAGTGGTCCTTAACCGTTTTGGAGTTATCGAACCAAACCGGTTTCATACGCGGATTCAACCAATCTTTCTTAAAATAGTTCTATCATCCACACTAACAAAACCCGATCATCAATCCAATGAGTCAGATGTGTGTCTTGACCACCCCTGAGACTGACTCACCCCTGGGGTTCGATCGAACCCAGGTTAAGAACCACTGCTCTTACAGGCGTGCACAGTTCCTTTCTACAACTGCGGCTTCGAGATCGGAGGCAACTGTTCCTGCTACAGAGACCGCACCGCCAGCGACAGTTTCGTGGTCCTGTACATGCACCGTGTGTACTACAACCAGCGGGCCAGTAGGATCCGTGTGCGGTGGCTGTCGCCGAATGAGAAGGACCTGGCGAAACAGCTTCGGGGGACGCTCATGCACTCGTATAGTGAGTGTTGGGGTGTGGTTGCTATGGTGGTTAATGTCTCGTGGTTTCTAAAATCTCTACAATCTCTACATTCCACTTCTAATTTATCTTTAGCCTGAAATCTCTATATATAAAACCACTTTTAATTTACCTTTATCCTACAGTCTCTACAATCCACTTCTAATTTATCTTTAGCCTACAATTCTACATTCCACTTCTAATTTATATTTAGCCTAAAATCTCTACATTCCACTTCTTATTTATCTTTAGCCTACAATCTCTACATTCCACTTCTAATTTATCTTTAGCCTACAATCTCTACATTCCACTTCTAATTTATCTTTAGCCTAAAATCTCTACATTCCACTTCTAATTTATCTTTAGCCTACATTCTCTACATTCCACTTCTAAATTATCTTTAGCCTACAATCTCTACATTCCCCTTCTAATTTATCTTTAGCCTACAATCTCTATATATAGAACCACTTCTAAATTATCTTTAGCCTACAATCTCTACAATCCACTTCTAATTTATCTTTAGCCTACAATCTCTACATTCCACTTCTAATTTATATTTAGCCTAAAATCTCTACATTCCACTTCTAATTTACCTTTAGCCTACAATCTTTACATTCCACTTCTTATTTATCTTTAGCCTACAATCTCTACATTCCACTTCTAATTTATCTTTAGCCTACAATCCAGGGGCGGAACTACCATACCGCCAGACCCCGCAATGCGGGGGGGCCCAGGCCGTTTAGGGGCCCAAAATCTGACCAAAAAGCAATGACTTTGTATTCCAAAATTACGTTTTCGTGCACCTTAATTATGGTTTTGTAAAAAAAAAAAACTACTACTGTAGTAATGTTCTACAGTAGCTAACACACGCTGTTGCGTAAAAGAAAAAAAAATCTACACAAGCTTTAGTGTGCAATATAAACAAACAGTCAAACCACTTCCATGCCTTATTTCCCTTTTTTAAATAGAAGTGCCCATAAACTTGTTTTAATAGTTTTGTACTACGCAAATTGAAAAGCAATTACTTCTCTTAATTATAATTTGTTATAAAATACATACTAAAGAATGCCATAGTATAAAAAGGAATTTTTAAAAATTAATATTAATTTAAAAAAAAAACATAAAAATAAACATAACACGAGAAACCATTACTCATACTGTCATACAAAGCTTTCATGTTTCATATACTTTTGAACGGCTTGCATAGATCTATATACGGCCGACATCAAAAGTGACACACAGATTTGCAACACAGACTAATGCACTTAAACACATGACATATTGTTGTAATTTGTTAGAAATGAAAATTAAAAGTTTTATGTATTTTTTAAAATAATGTGTTTTTTAAAAACTAGATTAGGCCCGAAATGAGTATCCTCCGTTCGTATTTTGTGTGTGTGTATATATATATATATATATATATATATATATATATATATATATATATATATATATATATATAGGGGGCCTCAAAAAATATTTTGCGGGGTGGCCCTTTTTTTCTAGTTCCGCCACTGCTACAATCTCTACATTCCACTTCTAATTTATCTTTAGCCTAAAATCTCTACATTCCATTTCTAATTTATCTTTAGCCTACATTCTCTACATTCCACTTCTAAATTATCTTTAGCCTACAATCTCTACATTCCCCTTCTAATTTATCTTTAGCCTAAAATCTCTACATTCCACTTCTAATTTATCTTTAGCCTACAATCTCTACATTCCACTTCTAATTTATCTTTAGCTTACATTCTCTACATTCCACTTCTAATTTACCTTTGTCCTACAATCTCTACATTCCACTTCTAATTTATCTTGAGCCTACAGTCTCTACATTCCACTTCTAATTTACCTTTTGCCTACAATCTCTACATTCCACTTCTAATTTACCTTTGTCCTACAATCTCTACATTCCACTTCTAATTTATCTTGAGCCTACAGTCTCTACATTCCACTTCTAATTTACCTTTTGCCTACAATCTCTACATTCCACTTCTAATTTATCTTTAGCCTACATTCTCTACACGTATGACCACTTCTAATTTGTATTTAGCCTACAATCTCTATATATAGAACCACTTCTAATTTACCTTTATAGTACAGTCTCTACTTTCCACTTCTAATTTATCTTTAGCCTACAATCTCTCTATATAAAACCACTTCTAATTTATCTTTAGCCTAAAATCTCTACATTCCACTTCTAATTTATCTTTAGCCTACAATCTCTACATTCCACTTCTAATTTATCTTTAGCCTACAATATCTACATTCCACTTCTAATTTATCTTTAGCCTACAATCTCTACATTCCACTTCTAATTTACCTTTAGCCTACAATCTCTACATTCCACTTCTAATTTATCTTTAGCCTACAATCTCTACATTCCACTTCTAATTTATCTTTAGCCTACAATCTCTACATTCCACTTCTAATTTATCTTTAGCCTACAATCTCTACATTCCACTTCTAATTTATATTTAGCCTAAAATCTCTACATTCCACTTCTAATTTACCTTTAGCCTACAATCTTTACATTCCACTTCTTATTTATCTTTAGCCTACATTCTCTACATGTATGACCACTTCTAATTTGTCTTTAGCCTACAATCTCTATATATAGAACCACTTCTAATTTACCTTTGTCCTACAGTCTCTACATTCCACTTCTAATTTATCTTTAGCCTGCAATCTCTACATTCCACTTCTAATTTATCTTTAGCCTACAATCTCTACATTCCACTTCTAATTTATCTTTAGTCTAAAATCTCTACATTCCACTTCTAATTTATCTTTAGTCTACAATCTCTATATATAGGACCTCTTCTAATTTATCTTTAGCTTACAATCTCTACATTCCGTTTCCAAGTTATCTTTAGCCTACATTCTCTACATGTATGACCACTTCTAATTTGTCTTTAGCCTACAATCTCTATATATAGAACCACTTCTAATTTACCTTTGTCCTACAGTCTCTACATTCCACTTCTAATTTATCTTTAGCCTACAATCTCTACATTCCACTTCTAATTTATCTTTAGCCTACAATCTCTACATCTATGACCACTTCTAATTTACCTCTAGCCTACAATCTCTACATCTATGACCACTTCTAATTTACCTCTAGCCTACAATCTCAACATCTATGACCACTTCTAATTTTCCTCTAGTCTACAATCTCTACATCTATGACCACTTCTAATTTACCTCTAGCCTACAATCTTTACATCTATGACCACTTCCAATTTCTCTAGACATATACGACCAGCCTGAAACCAAAGGCTCCGTGTTCTTCAACAACAAAAAGCTGGACTTGGACAACAACGGCTGTCTGATCGGCAACGTCGGGCAGGGCACCAACATGGTGACTGTCTGCTGTCCACCCACGAAGGAGTCCTGTCGGCTGCAGCTTCACTACGGAGATATCGTCGCCAATAGCAACGACGCCTGCCTCAGGCAGGGGAACCTGTCGGTCGCCGGCATGTCGAGCATGATCTTCTCTGTCGGTTTTACTTTGTGTACGGTGTACACGAGAGTGTACAACTGTTCGTTTTTAGGTGAGTTGTAGAGTAGGGTCGATTGGTTTGTGTAAGGTGTACACGCGAGTGTACAACTGTTCGTTTTTAGGTGAGTTGTTGAGTCTGGTCGATTTGTGTGTGTACGGTGTACACGCGAGTGTACAACTGTTCGTTTTTAGGTGAGTTGTAGAGTAGGGTCGATTGGTTTGTGTAAGGTGTACACGCGAGTGTACAACTGTTCGTTTTTAGGTGAGTTGTTGAGTCTGGTCGATTTGTGTGTGTACGGTGTACACGCGAGTGTACAACTGTTCGTTTTTAGGTGAGTTGTAGAGTAGGGTCGATTGGTTTGTATACGGTGTATACGCGAGTGTACAACTGTTCGTTTTTAGGTGAGTTGTTGAGTCTGGTCGATTTGTGTGTGTACAGTGTACACGCGAGTGTACAACTGTTCGTTTTCAGGTGGGTTGTAGAGTAGGGTCGATTGGTGTGTGTACAAGGTACACGCGAGTGTACAACTGTTCGTTTTTAGGTGTGTTGTAGAGTGTGGTCGATTGGTGTGTACAGTGTACGAGAGATTACAACTGTTCGTTTTTAGGTGAGTTGTAGAGTCTGGTCGATTGGTTTGTGTAGGGTGTACACGCGAGTGTACAACTGTTTTTAGGTGAGTTGTAGAGTCGATTGGTTTGTGGTCGATGAGCCAGAGATGGGAAATTTTCCAGAGTCAGATCGATTGGTTTGTGTACGATATACTAGCCACTAATTACTAAATGTCTCTCTCATCTGCCATTAATTACCAAATGTCCATTCACCCCTCGTGTATTGTTTCAGCTGAAGTGCATTACGAATCTGTGTGTATTGTTACAGCTGAAGTGCATTACGAATCTGTGTGTATTGTTACAGCTGAAGTGCATTACGAATCTGTGTGTATTGTTACAGCTGAAGTGCATTACGAATCTGTATGTATTGTTACAGCTGAAGTGCATTACGAATCTGTGTGTATTGTTACAGCTGAATTGCATTACGAATCTGTGTGTATTGTTACAGCTGAAGTGCATTACGAATCTGTGTGTATTGTTACAGCTGAAGTGCATTACGAATCTGTGTGTATTGTTACAGCTGAAGTGCATTACAAATCTGTATGTATTGTTACAGCTGAAGTGCATTACGAATCTGTGTGTATTGTTACAGCTGAAGTGCATTACGAATATGTGTGTATTGTTTCAGCTGAAGTGCATTACGAATCTGTGTGTATTGTTACAGCTGAAGTGCATTACGAATATGTGTGTATTGTTACAGCTGAAGTGCATTACGAATCTGTGTGTATTGTTACAGCTGAAGTGCATTACGAATCTGTGTGTATTGTTACAGCTGAAGTGCATTACGAATCTGTGTGTATTGTTACAGCTGAAGTGCATTACGAATATGTGTGTATTGTTACAGCTGAAGTGCATTACGAATCTGTGTGTATTGTTACAGCTGAAGTGCATAACAAATATGTGTGTATTGTTACAGCTGAAGTGCATTACGAATCTGTGTGTATTGTTACAGCTGAAGTGCATTACGAATCTGTGTGTATTGTTACAGCTGAAGTGCATTACGAATATGTGTGTATTGTTACAGCTGAAGTGCATTACGAATCTGTGTGTATTGTTACAGCTGAAGTGCATTACGAATCTGTGTGTATTGTTTCAGCTGAAGTGCATTACGAATCTGTGTGTATTGTTACAGCTGAAGTGCATTACAAATCTGTGTGTATTGTTACAGCTGAAGTGCATTACGAATCTGTGTGTATTGTTACAGCTGAAGTGCATTACGAATCTGTGTGTATTGTTACAGCTGAAGTGCATTACGAATCTGTGTGTATTGTTACAGCTGAAGTGCATTACGAATCTGTGTGTATTGTTACAGCTGAAGTGCATTACGAATCTGTGTGTATTGTTACAGCTGAAGTGCATTACGAATCTGTGTGTATTGTTACAGCTGAAGTGCATTACGAATCTGTGTGTATTGTTTCAGCTGAAGTGCATTACGAATCTGTGTGTATTGTTACAGCTGAAGTGCATTACAAATCTGTGTGTATTGTTACAGCTGAAGTGCATTACGAATCTGTGTGTATTGTTACAGCTGAAGTGCATTACGAATCTTTGTGTATTGTTACAGCTGAAGTGCATTACGAATCTGTGTGTATTGTTACAGCTGAAGTGCATTACGAATCTTTGTGTATTGTTACAGCTGAAGTGCATTACGAATCTGTCTTCACTAGGAGGAATAACGTTATGATCATCACCGCCATGATGAGTCTAACTGGAATGTTCCTCGGTGTCTTAATCTGGAGACACTGTAGTCGTAAGTTAATAAGTTGCCGTAAGTTAATCTGTAGCCCTGGTTAATTTAGGACAATGTGGTCGTTAGTTAATCTGTAGCCGTAAGTTAATCTGTAGTAGTAAGTTAATATGTAGCCGTGAAATTATATGTAGCCGTAAGTTAATCAGTAGTCATAGTTTAATTTAGGACACTGTATCCGTAAGTTAATCTGTAGTCGTAAGTTAATCTGTAATCGTAAGTTAATATGTATCCGTAAGTTAATATGTAGTCGTATGTTAATCTGTGACCTTAAGTTAATCTGTAGTCGCAAGTTAATCTGTAGTCGGAAGTTATTCTGTAGTCGTAATTTAAAATGTAACCGTATGTTAATCTGTAGCCGTAAGTTAATATGAAGCCGTAAGTTAATCTGTAGCCGTAAGTTAATCTGTAGCCGTAAGTTAATCTGTAGTAGTAAGTTAATCTGTAGTAGTAAGTTAATCTGTAGTAGTAAGTTAATCTGTAGACGTAAGTTAATCTGTAGTAGTAAGTTAATCTGATCTGTAGTTGTAAGTTAATCTGTAGTAGTAAGTTAATCTGTTGTCGTAAGTTAATCTGTTGTTGTAAGTTAATCTGTGGCCGTAAGTTAATCTGTCGTAAGTTACTATGTAGCCGTTAGTTAATCTGTAGTCGAAAGTTAATCTGTAGTAGTGGTGACAGGACCGGACAAATTATTTCCGACAAATTATCCCAGACAAATATCTTACGGACTAATTAGCTCAGGACAAATGATCTCAGGAAAATGATCTCAAGGACAAATGATCTTACGGACAGAAGAGAATTCAGAACAATATATATATATTCTGTATGCATATGTTGTTGTCAGATATTTTGTCTGAGATATTTTGTTTGAGACTATAAGTCCATGATATCATTTGTCCTAAGAAATTTTGTCCTTGAGATCAATAATTGTCCCGAGATATTTTGTCCTGAGACCATCAATAGTTGCGATTCCACAGGGGCCGCAACTAAATAAATTGCAAATTATCCCCCCTGACTGGTATATATATATATATATATATATATATATATATATATATATATATATATATATATATATATATATATAAATCCTGTGAGTATCAATAGACTAAATACAACCTCATGTATAATTAATTATTACTTATGTTTGTATACAGTTGTATATGTAAATACTTTTTCGTCCACAGAATTTATCAAGGATAAGATTATCGCTTCATACGGTGGTGGACACAAAAGGGACGACTCGATTTTGAGCGTATTTTGATATCGTTCACGTGAGCTGGGTCCTACGTAGGCCCTACCCGAGCTGGTATAGAATTGGAATATGAAGGTTTTCTCAAATGTCAATGCGCTTTGTGGCTTATGTTTTGGGGAATCAGTTCGGAAACAGCGCGTCGGTTACTTCCAGAGGTTCTCAACACGGGACCACGAGTGTTGGTTTTACATTCAGGAACACACAAGCAGTGTTTCTTTCAGACTTTTTTTTCTCCCGGTGGGGAGGGGGGGGGGCGACATGAATTTTTTTTTTGGGGGGGGGGGGGGCGTTGAACACTAGTAAAAGTATATTTTTTATAGATAAATTATATTTCGTTCCATGGAGGGAGACGCCTCTAAGTCCCACCCCGTCTCAAAGAAACGCCTGAAAGAAACTCTACAGATAAGCTGCGCCGATCTACACAAAATATGGAATAAAAGACATACGTAAAATGATTTTGTGTTTTTATTTGGTTTATTTTTTGCCGCGGTGGCAAGCGTCAAGTTCATGCCAGAAAAAACAGACCCAGGTAGGTTGAGTGTCGGTGCCAGTCGAACAGGTGAGAACCAGACATGGCTACCTGGATCTCGTCATTGGCACTAAGGTTGAAGACACCGCCTGAAAAAGTTAGAAAGAAAAAGTTTTGGGTGGAATGTGTTGTGAGATAAAGGGTTACGTTTTTAGAGAAGAAGGTGTATTGTGGTAGATGACGTGGGATTCTTTTATTTCTTGACGGTATGTAAAGGATGGTGTGGTAGGTTGATGGTGAGATGGTGTGGTGTGGGTGTGGTGTGGTGTGGTGAGGGGGTTGGTGTAGTAAGGGGGTGGTGAGGGGTGGTGTGGTGAGGGGGTAGTGTAGTGAGGTGATGGTGTAGTGAAGGGGTTTTGTGAGGGTGTGGTGTGGTGTGGTGATGTGAGGGGTGGTGTGGTGAGGGGTGGTGTGGTGAGGAAGTGGTGTGGTGAAGGGGTTTTGTGAGGGTGTGGTGTGGTGAGGGGGTGGTGATGTGAGGGGTGGTGTGGTGTGGTGAGGAAGTGGTGTGGTAGGATGATGACATGGTGAGGGAGATAAGTGTGGTGTGGTTTGGTATGATGACGGGATGGTGTGGTGTTGGTGTGGTGTGGTGTTGTAATAGAGCTGAGCGGTCTTGTCACATTCTCGAGTCCACGAGATTCGATCTTAAGACCAAACCACCCAATTGGGTAATAAGGTATTGAGAAACATAGAACGATAGATCAGTTGACCTTTACTGAATGCTGACAACACGGTCATGACGGCGGCCTGGGCCAGTATTGGGCTGACCTGACCAGCAGGTGCCTGAAAATAAATCAGATACGCTGGAACTGTAGCTCTCCGTGTAAAAACTCAGGTTGTGTGACTGTAAGCTTACCTGTGAAATACTTGTGTAGCTTCATTGTTGGTAGCTTACCTGTGCATAGGTGTTTAGTTTGATGACTGTTAGTTTACCTATGAACATGGTGTGTAGTTTGATTGCCGATAGCTTACCTGTTTAAAGATGTTTAGTTTGATGACTGTTAGCTTACCTATGAACATGGTGTGTAGTTTGATAAGCATTAGCTTACTTGAGTAAAAGATGTATACTTTGAGGACAGCTTACCTATAAAAGCGGTCTCCATGTTACCTTTGCAGGTGGGACACAGTGTGTGAACAGTTCTCATGATGATGCCAGAATTTGCCGGGCTATTGTGACGGTGCCGTAGAACGTAGTGGAGCCAGGTCTAGAAGACAGAAAGATCAAATGTTAAACACCGTATAGATAGCGATAGAGCAATAAAAAACAGAAGCCATACTAATAGCGATGTAACATCCGCCAGATAAAACAATATGTTGGTGCTCACTGAAGATACAGATTAGAATATGCTAGAAACTGCTAATTATAATCGAATCGACTCGATGACAAAGTAGGGCTACGTGTTGTCAGTGGTGTCACACGGTGCGGCACTTAATGGTGTCACCCCCCCCCCCTCCCCAGAGGCGTAGCGACCCTTCCCGGGGACAAACTTTCAAATTTTCGATTTGCACTCCCCCCACCCCTCAAACTTTCGATTTGCACCCCCCGTCAAGTTTTTATCTATATATTTTGCTATTTTTTGCCTTGGTGTCAACCCCTAAATGGTGTCACCCGTTGCGGTCCGCACCCCCCGCCCCCTCCCCCTCGCTACGCCTCTGCGTGTTGTAATGTTTATCAATAGCTACAGTTGATATATAATATAGAACAAAAAAATGCAATGATATTAACCTGAAACTGAAACTCAGATGGAGTTTTACTGCTTCTAGGATGAAATGTGATAGAACTGTACACATAATATGTGCCTACAAAAAAAAGAACAATATAATTCAACATTATCACAAGCTACACAAATTGAATTAGTGTATCGTTTACTTGAGTGATTAAAGTATTTTACACAAGCGTAACTAATGTATAGTGCACCTGCTAATTAATGCATTATTTAACTGCATAGTTACCCGTGCATCAAATGTATTATATGCATACGTAATTAATATATTACTATTATTGTTAAGCTATGCAATCCTAATATATAAAACCCCACGTTCGCACATCTCTCTCTCTCTCTCTCTCTCTGTCTGTCCGCAAAATATTTTCGCCGGACATCACGTCAGAATCGGCAGCGATATATGAAGAACTTTTTACGGACTTTTGTTGAAAATAATATGTTAAATGTTTTAAATGTATAACCACAATTTTATTTAAAGAAGAAAAATAAAAAATAAAGGCGTATTCGAATATAGAGAAACAGTATTATATATGCAACCGGAAAAGTGTATAAACTTGGGACAAGAACACATTTAACAATGACGTCGCTTATTGTTTACACTAAAACAAGAGCACGAAACTGATGACGTCATCTTCCGAGATTAGAATTTTTAAAAATGAACTATTTCATTCAACTATGATTTAGAGCTATGTACGCTATGAAATGTATACAATACGATTTTCTCGGCCTAAACTTAAAAAAAAAATATTTTATCTATTTGGATTCTAGATCTAGAGATTCTAGATCTAGATATTGATCTAGATCTAGATGTTCTAGATCATCTAGATCTAGAGATTCTAGATCTAGATCTAGATGATCTATAAAGCTAAGTTGTCGGGTGCCCGATAGGGCACTTCCCGGCGCCGCAGGCGCTTCAAATTGGCAGGATCTTGCCTTGGGGCGACAGAACACGGGGGCCGGTTGGCCGAAAAGTCTACGATGAGGGGGTCAAAACTGACCTCAACTGACCGGCGCCTTATATGGGCGAATTAATTAAGCATTCAAATTCTCAATGTTTTCGAAAGCCTAAGCGAAGCTGGGCAGCATGCCTAGTTGTTATATAGAAGCGTAAATAATGTATCATTTACGTGTGTGTTAAATATATTATTTAACTTTGTAATCAATGTATCATTTACTTTTGTAATAAATGTATCATTTATCTGTGTATTAAATATATCATCTATATGTGTATTTCAATGTATTATTTACAAGTGTATTAATGTATTATTAACCTGTGCAGTTATGTATCATTTACCTGTGTAATTTATCCTTAATCCCCCCTGTTGAAGCTCCACCCCGTATGGATTAGACTCACACGGATTTGTGGATGTATTGATATAGTGGTGGATATAATCCTCGTTAGAGAAGTCTGGCTCTGTGGATAGAAAATTCAATGTGTGTTACTAGTAGATACTTTCTATACAGAGTAGGCTAACACGGTATGACAACCAATAGACAGGGATATTAAAGCCCGCGAATAGGGATGGATACGGCATAAGCTGACAAGGAAGAGGGCGGTGTCGCAAGCAAGCGCTATACAACTTAACAAGGGAAGAGAAAGCGAGGCCGGCCAATGAAATCCTTGAAGAGGACAGTAGCATACGAGACAAGGGCTGCGGGCTTACAAGGGGACAGATAAAGAGAGCTGCTCAATATGAAGTCTGATGGAGAGGTGGGACTGCAGCCTTTTGTTCCACATGGGCCACACACGAAAAGTCAAGTAAGAAAGTTAACTATTGATACAACATAAAAGTAAAAGTAAAAGTTTCCCTTTCAAACCTGACGGTCTATGGGGCAAGTAAAGTAGAGTTCACTTGTTTCTGTGACCTCGGCATATGAAGAGATAGTGTGGTCAGCACTATGCCCAGCCGCCTTTACTTTCCCTAACATTAGTTGGGTACCCATCAGAGTTGGGTGGACTCAGGGACGGTCTACTGACTTGAACCCGGATTCGAACTCGAGACTAACGGGTTAGCAGTCCAGCTCTCTACCGCTAGACCACTCCGTCCCCTATGTTGATACAACATACCGTTAGGTTAAACACAAGCGAAAACAGTGGATCAAAAGTTATATGTTGTGTAGGCCTATGTTTTAAAATTTAAACAGGTTGTAACATGCATAGTTGAAATAAAGTTATCATAATCATAATTGTATATAAGTATGGGAAATGCCGACTTTTTTCTTGTATTTTAATAACGTTAGTTTTTTAAAAATATTTTCTAATATTTTCTTTTCTGTTCGTTTAAAAAACAAACACGTATAACAGTAACACACTTCAATGGCATTTTCAATGTGTAGATTCAAGGTATGAATTTAAATACAAAAACGTATTTTAACTATGGTATTAAATTTAAGTTTGAAATACAAATTTACAATTACGATTTCTTTTCTGTTCGTTTAAAAAACAAACACGTATAACAGTAACACACTTCAATGGCATTTTCAATGTGTAGATTTAAGGTATGAATTTCGTTTAAAAAAAACAGGTTTAACAGCAACACACTTCAATAGCATTTTCAATATGTAGATTTAAGGTATGAATTTAAATACAAAAACGTATTTTAACAATGTTATTAAATTTAAGTTTGAAATACAAATTTACAATTACGATTTATCTCAAACACCTCCGCTCAAAGACAGACAGACGGGAAAAAAAAAGAACAATGACAAAGATAGTTTACCGACCTTTGGCATTGTCTCCTACATTGTAGGCTATGTGAGCTGATGGGCTTGTGTACTCCAGCGGTACCACAGGGGAACCTAGTGGATTAAAGTTTTGATAGTCATGGAATGTACAGTTCTAATGGGGGAACCTAATAGATTAAAGTTGCTATAGTCACGGAATGTACAGATCTAATGGGGGAACCTAAAAGATTAAAGTTGCTATAGTCACGGAATGTACAGATCTAATGGGGGAACCTAAAAGATTAAATTTGCCATAGTTACGGAATGTTTGCCTACAGATCTAATGGGGGAACCTAAAAGATTAAAGTTTTGATAGTCATGGAATGTACAGATCTAATTGGGGAACCTAAAAGATTAAAGTTTTGATAGTCACGGAATGTACAGATCTAATGGGGGAACATAAAAGATTACAGTTGCCATAGTCTTGGAATGTACAGATCTAATGGGGGAACATAAAAGATTAAAGTTGCCATAGTCTTGGAATGTACAGATCTAATGGGGGAACATAAAAGATTAAAGTTGCCATAGTCATGGAATGTACAGATCTAATTGGGGAACCTAAAAGATTAAAGTTTTGATAGTCACGGAATGTACAGCTCTAATGGGGGAACATAAAAGATTAAAGTTTTGATAGTCATAGAATGTACAGATCTAATGGGGGAACCTAAAAGATTAAAGTTTTGATAGTCATGGAATGTACAGATCTAATTGGGGAACCTTAAAGATTAAAGTTTTGATAGTCACGGAATTTACAGATCTAATGGGGGAACATAAAAGATTACAGTTGCCATAGTCTTGGAATGTACAGATCTAATGGGGGAACATAAAAGATTAAAGTTGCCATAGTCATGGAATGTACAGATCTAATTGGGGAACCTAAAAGATTAAAGTTTTGATAGTCACGGAATGTACAGCTCTAATGGGGGAACATAAAAGATTAAAGTTTTGATAGTCATAGAATGTACAGATCTAATGGGGGAACCTAAAAGATTAAAGTTTTGATAGTCATGGAATGTACAGATCTAAACGGGGAACCTTAAAGATTAAAGTTTTGATAGTCATAGAATGTACAGATCTAACGGGGGAACCTAAAAGATTAAAATTGTCATAGTCATAGAATGTACAGATCTAATGGGGGAACCTAAAAGATTAAAGTTGCCATAGTCACGGAATGTACACATCTAATGGGGGAACCTAAAAGATTAAAGTTTTTATAGTCATGGAATGTACAGATCTAATGGGGGAACCTTAAAGATTAAAGTTGCCATAGTCACGGAATGTACACATCTAATGGGGGAACATAAAAGATTAAAGTTGCCATAGTTACGGAATGTACAGATCTAATGGGGGAACCTACAAGATTAAAGTTGCCATAGTTACGGAATGTACAGATCTAATGGGGGAACCTAAAAGATTAAAGTTGCCATAGTTACGGAATGTACAGATCTAATGGGGGAACCTACAAGATTAAAGTTGCCATAGTTACGGAATGTACAGATCTAATGGGGGAACCTAAAAGATTAAAGTTTTGAGAGTCATGGAATGTACAGATCTAATGGGGGAACCTACAAGATTAAAGTTGCCATAGTCACGAAATGTACAGATCTAATGGGGGAACCTAAAAGATTAAAGTTTTGAGAGTCATGGAATGTACAGATCTAATGGGGGAACCTACAAGATTAAAGTTGCCATAGTTACGGAATGTAGGCCTACAGACCTACAGATCTAATGTACCCAAGTGCCATAACGAATGAAGATTTGCGTAGTGACTGTAATAAAGCACCACAAAATGTGATCGTTACCAGTAACGTAGCGAGGGGGGGGGGGGCGGGGGGGACATATGTCCCCGGGCGCCGAGCTTAGGGGGCGCCAAAATGGGTTGGAAAAATAAATTGAAAGGTTGAGGGGGTTGCAAATTGAAAGTTTGAGGGGGGGGGGGGGTGCACATCAAAATCTCGAGGGGGGGGGGGGGGTGCAAATCGAAAGTTTGAAGGGGGGTGCAAATCGAAATCTCGAGGGGGGGGGTGCAAATCGAAAAGTTTGTCCCCGGGCGCCCGGAAGGGTCGCTACGCCTCTGATCGTTACACAAAACACATTCACAATGTAATATTCAAGAGCTTTTAAAAAAATCATCCTTGACAATGTCCGCCTGCAAAAATGTAATTACAATCCCTCGGGTCCATCAGCTGTGTGGGGATAGGGGGCCCTGATACATGAGCAACATCTGGCTCTTCTCAACCCAGGGCCCAGACTTTGTGTTAAGATTTCCAAAGGGAAATCATCCCATGGTCTATTAGACTATGGAGCCATGCTAATGATCAACATTGGCGAATTTATTGAATAGCTCTTAATGGCAAAGGCGAACTCTAATATTACATTGTTGGTTCTTAAAATATGTATGCAAATATAATTCCTTACCTCTAAGCTCCATCACTGAAAGAGTCTGTGAGAAGAAATTAGAGGTAAATTTATTACGACCATAAAATAAATCGAGCTTAGTGTGTCTTTATTAATTTTAATGTATTCATCTACACAATTTTTTTAGACAACAAAATGATTGATTTAGTTTTCGAATTTCTATAAACTCCTTTAATAAATCGTGGGGCACGACTTAAAAAACATGAAAACGTTTTGTCTATGAATTCATAATTAGACCAATAGAACAGTTGTTATTATAAATTATCATGTTAAATAGCTTGTCGAAATAATACCCACATTAAGATGATCACATTGGCATGCATGGTTTACTACAATGTCGTATTACATATGTTGTTAGCTACCTGGTTATATCAGACACCCGGTTCATTACATAGTTACATTACATACCTGATTAATTACCTCGTCAAATTACATACGTGATTCATAACCTCATTACATTACATACCTGATTAGTTACTTGGTAATATTACATACGTGGTTAATTACCTGGTCACATTAGATTTTTGGTTCATTACCTCGTTATATTACATCATACCTCGTTGATTACCTCATTATGTTACATACCAGGTTCATTACCTATTTTAATTAGATATCTAGTTCATTGCATAATCCCATTACAAATCTAGTTCATTACATACATACCATTACATACATGGTTTATTACATAATCGTATTACATACCTGGCTGATTACATAATCATATTACAGTTCATTACATGATTGCATTACACATCTCTTTCATTACATACACAGATTACATACCATGTTTATTACATAATCACACTACATACCTGGTTAATTACATAATCAGCTTACATACCCGGTTGAGTACTTGAGAGAGACCTTTACAGTATTCCTCACAACAAACTCCTGTTTTCCCCTCCAAACATTCTACAACAGCGCTGGCCAAAGACGGGCCCACCAGAGAACAGCTTCTAACATTTTCCTCTTCATCAGGATTGATCTGGAGACATTATTCATAAGAGATAAATGCTGAAACTTTTATCTTTTTAGTGCATTAAAAATATATTATTATAAAATATATTGTGCATCAATACTATACAGAAAATTTTTTTAGATTAGGCCAGTGGCGTAGCGAGGTCGGGTGTCACCCGGTGCGGCACTTAATGGTGTCACACCCCCCCCCAAGAGGCGTAGTGACCCTTCCTGGGGACAAACTTTAAAATTTTTGATTTGCAACCCCCCTCAAACTTTCGATCTGCACCCCCCTCAAACTTTCGATTTGCACCCCCACCCCCCCCCCCTCAAACTTTCCATTTGCACCCCCCTCAAACTTTCGATTTGCACCCCCCTCAAGTTTTTTGCTATTTTTTTACAATTATACTAAACATCAGCGAACTTCACTGAGGTCATTATTGTAATGAGATTTCAAAATGGGTTTTAGTATAAACTATAATAAAACCGATGATAACATGAACATAATAATAATATGCATACGATGAGTTAACAAATTCTATGAAAACTGCACACACAAAATTTTTTTATTTAATTATTTTTTTTATAAGAGCGGAAGTTTACTTTTTAAATCGTGTTGTTACAAAGTCACATTAACAGCGTTTAGGTCATAAGCTATGTATGTACTCACCCCGAACCCTGCTCCATATATACCAACGAGTTTAAAATTGTCTAACTTTACAGTAACCTTTGATACGCTGAAATGGCAGTGCTTAACCTAAAAGCACCAAGAATATGTTAAATATTTCTTTCGCTTCTGTAACAAAATCATATACGTGTCTAAACATCCCACTAACCTGGGTATACAACACGCAGAGGTGTCGCGATTACAACTATATATATATATATATATATATATATATATATATATATATATATATATATATATATATATATATATGTGTGTGTGTGTGTGTGTGTGTGTGTGTGTGTGTGTCATCAGGTGACACCCGACCTAGCGAAGCCACTGACAACACATACATTTTATCGCACAAGCTCTACCACTCGACCACACAGCCTCCATAACATACCTCATAATCATGATGTACAACATAGATGAGGCAAATCGCAGCGAAAACCAAGGCACAACTCGATATTCCGACCGATATCTTTTCAAAGCTCGTTTCTATTAAGAAAAAAGAAATGTTGGATTGGTTTGACAAAAGCTGAATGAAGAAAAGAATTACAGTACAAAGAGATGAATAGTTATTGAACTTCTGAATGAAATAAAAACGCAGATGTTACACTTTAATTCTGGTAAGCTCAGCTTATATGTGTTAAGATTATATATATTGATCGTTTTAATGTTAAGATTATGTATATTTATCGTATTATTAAGTTTATGTACATTGATAGTATTTGTGTGAAGATTAAGTGTATTGATCGTATGTGTGTTAAAATTATGTGTATTGATCAATTCTTATTAAAATTCGTCAAAATCAAATTAACAAAATGGTTGATATATTTCTAAAAATCAGTAACTCTATTTGAATGAAAAAATCGGATTTCGATCTGTCTTACCCCCCCCCCCACACACACACACTTCAGTTATCGCCATCATTTGAATGTCATGATAACATTGATAACAATAATTACATCGATTATAAAACCTACAATCAATATCAATAATATAAACATTATAATCTTCATAACATTGAGATTAATTCAAACGAAACTAGTAGCCGTCATGTTAATTATACCACTGATGCTTTGAGTATATATATATATATATATATATATATATATATATATATATATATATATATATATATATATATATATATATATATATGATTTATATATATATATATATATATATATATATATATTGAATATATTATTTATTTTTTGTATTTAGAATGTTTTCAAGAAAACGTATAGGTTACTATAGGCATATTTAGATTTATAACAACGATTGTAACTGAACAAAAAGCTGTTAAAGTAACTACCATTAACTGTTATAATTCATTCTACAGTTAAAGTTTAAATGATTACTTGTGCGAGTGTTGATGTAAAATCACAACAGTAAAATATAAATAAATTCACGTAAACAAGAATCAGAATCAGTATGAAAATGCCTGTTCCATATTATAATGTACGACTTGGCTAATCTTAAGCAAGCCTTTTCTCCTGACTTAGAAATCTAGACCAAGGTTTGCTCTCTTAGTCCTAGCTATCGAGTGGGTATTTAAAAATACCAGCAACATAGGATATCTCGTCGGCTAAAAACATATTGGGTCAACCAATCTACGTGCAACCAATGACATTGCATGCGAGTATATAGACCTACATAAATTAAGTATCCAAATTAAGAAATCTAGGTCCAGGAACATACATTCCAACATAGATAGAAATAAAAGAAAGCAAACATGCCTAGACAAGACATTTCCGTCTCTGGTAGGAAGAAAAAAAGAAAGAAAGTGGGATATTCCGATCTAATTTTGGCATCAGGTCGAGTTTTAAATGTTGCGCTAGATCTAGTAGAGGAAGTAGCGTCGTACGGCGGAGGAGGATCGGTGGGGAGGGGGTTGTTTTAGGCGGGGTGGGGAGGGGGTTGTTTTAGGCGGGGTGGGGAGGTGGTTGTTTTAGGCGGGGTGGGGAGGGGGTTGTTTTAGGCGGGGTGGGAGGGGGTTGTTTTAGGCGGGGTGGGGAGGGGGTTGTTTTAGGCGGGGTGGGGAGGGGGTTGTTTTAGGCGGGGTGGGGAGGGGGTTGTTTTAGGCGGGGTGGGTCGGGGGTTGTTTTAGGCGGGGTGGGTCGGGGGTTGTTTTAGGCGGGGTGGCCCTTAGATTAAAAAAAAAATTCCAGTGGGCTCTCATGGCGGGTTCTGTACTAGACCTTTTAGTGCTTTGATTATTTATTTTTAAATTATTTTTTTTTTCGCGCGAAATTCCCATCAAGTGGAAGTTGATAATCTGGCTTTGAGAGGAAAAAAACTGTTCAATAAAAATTTGACTCTACGATTGGGGAACCCTTTTTAAAAGCTCCCAAGCCTCTTGGAAATATGAATAATTTTTTTTATATCGATTGACGATAGGTATGTGAGGTGGTGTAAACGATTCGACATGAAGTGATGTATGAACGACCCCCACCCCTCCTACAAGGTAGTCTATTTAAATTCAACTTTTTGACTTGAAGATTGGTACATAGTTTCTTCCAGGCATCTCTTCGGGGTGGGGGGGGGGTGGGGGGAGTGTGGCATAACCTCCCTCCCACTCCCCGAAAAAGTTTACCGCCCCCCCCCAAAACGAAATGGAATTTATATAGAAAGTATATACTTCTAACAGCGTCCGCCACCCCCCCCCCCCAGAAATTTTAGTCCGCAAACCCCTCCTCCCACCGATAATTTCAAGTGCCCCCCACCCCGGGGGGGGGGGAGGCTGGAAAGAACTCTGGATTGGTGTCGTCCATAACAACGAGACTTGCCTATCTATTTGATGTAAAGACCAAGCAATGTTAGCATCCAATTGTATATAATGTATGCTGCTTGTTTATTTGTGCACGGAGATGTAGCTTAGGAGGGAAGAGGGGGGGGGTTATAGCTTCGTTTTCCATGCTAAATTAATGCCTACGCCTCTGTTTATGGTGACACGGTACGTTACACATTACGTTGATTGTATCCACTTAGCACATCAACTGCAACCCATTTTCTGAGTTAAAAACCACTTAGCAATAAAGTTAGACCAAAGTTTGAGGATGTGTAGCATAAGTGCCAGCACACATAATCAGCAGTGTTAAACGGTTGGCGAGATGGTAGTGACATTAGAGTTTTTTTTAGGCATCTCCTCGGGGTGGGGAGGGGGCAGTGACGAATCCGCTCTACCTCAACACCACCCCCACACCCCAGAACGAAATAGAATGTAAATAGAGAATATAATAGAACCCTCGAAAAATGTATTCCGCCCCCTACCAGAAATTTTAAAGTACCTCCCCCTCCCCACACCCGCTTTGAGAAAAAAGTCTGAAAGAAACACTGTGCGTAGGGTAACACGCTGTCAACAAGCGCTCCACAGAAGCATTAGTGCAGCATACTACAGTTCTAAACATTGAACATAGAATGAATATGAATAAACGTTTGTGTAGCCAAAACTCGATGATAGTTATTTATTATTTTAGAATAAAGTTCTGTTATTTGATACTTTTGATGATAATACAGAATAGTTTAGAAGAGCTTGTATAGTTTATGAGTCGAGTTTACCTATATTTAATAAAGTGAACTATTTTACAATTCACTACATATAAATTGAAGTTTGAAGTATCTCTTTGAACATTCAATTTCCTGTGACGTTTTTTTTTCTACAATGTCTTCTAGGGAACATAGGATACTGTCACATGTTCATACCAAATGAGTTTGATTTGCGTTGGCGATACTTCGCTAGATCTCAAAATGACCAATCACAGTGGCGATTTGTTTCGCATCGTTATGCAACCCGTGTATATATATATATATATATATATATATATATATATATATATATATATACGTATATATATGTATATATATATATGTATATATATATATATATACGTATATATATATATATATATATATATATATATATATATATATATATATATATATATCCTTATGAGTATGTTCTGTCTTCTAATATACAAGGCTAGAACGTCTCTGTCTCTAGATATATATATTTAGTGTCCATACCTCTCAAACGTTTAAGGATACGGACATGATAGTGACCGCATACTTTTGATTTTTATGGCAAGAAAAGTCTTAGTGTCACGCCAAATCTCCTTAGATTAGAGTTTAGAGAGCACTGTGATTGTTGGGCAACTCTTGCTGCTACTGTTTGCTTACTTCCCTTGTCTGATTAGATGGCGCTTATGTATTTAAAACAATGGATCTTCTTATATTTGTTCATTTACCATTGTATTTGCCTTTTACCATTAGGGTTGTTGAATGCCGTGCCGTACGCTGCTGATCTAGGCCTACTGTCTAAGTTGTTCTATCAATCGACCCTCACTACCTGCTAAGGCATTTAGGTCATGTTATCAATATATTGCTTCAAAATCCCCCAAAATGTCGTGTTTTTAACGGACAAAAAAATTTGAGAATTAATAATAAATCAATTGTGAAGATATGCACTTAAAATTTTTAGCTGAGTACCCCAACATATGGTAGAAGGTTATGATTTGTTTATTGGGCTTAAAATAGATTACTTTATGAAGGGTGAAAATCCTACGAAGAGGTTAATTTTTCAAGATGGCCGCCATAGTTATAGTTACCAAAATTTTCCCAACATTTTTAAAAAAGAAAACACAAATGCAGATTTATCTTTAAAAATCTATGGAGAAATAATTGTTTTCTAACGAGTTATAAATAATATTTTTTTACCGAACCCTACCCTTAATAATAAACTGTCCAATGATATTTGAGTGAACCCATATTGTCTTTCACACTGAAGTATCGGTTAATAATATACAATCAACATTATAAAAAAAAAGAATAAAGTCCAGTTAAAGGTTATATTGGAAAATATTTTACTCAAAACAATTGGTACAATTTCACGTATATTTTGGGACAACAAATAACATCCTTAGCTTCAAACATCCGTCCTTCATAGCATTTTGATGTACGGCAGTTAAAATAGCAACACGGTAAGGTTGTACTGCAGTAACCTCCTAGTAACCTTACATGGTTCAGAGCAAAGTTTGGTCACGCGTGACTGGTTTTAAACCCTTAAAGACCAGTCTTGCTACACATGTGTTACCTTACAGGCAGTTGGCTAAAGGTCATGTTTAATCAAGCATAGGGACTTAGAACAAATACTTGCCACGCTTGACTGGTCTCAAACCTCCCAAATGACTTACATCAAAGTTGGCCTCGCTTGACTAGTTTTATACCACTCATCGATAGATTTGAAAAAAAAATAATGCTCAGCCATGGAATTAAAAAAAAAATATTTCTTGCCACGCTTGACTAGTCTTATATCCACTAGTCTAACATCGAAGTTAGTCTCGCTTGACTTGTGTTATACCACCTAGCCATGGATTTTAAAAAAAACCAGTGGATTTAAACAAAAATTCTTGCCACGCTTGACTAGTCTTATATCCACTAGTCTAACATCGAAGTTGGTCTCGCTTGACTTGTGTAATACCACTTATTCATGGATTAAAAAAAAACAGTGGATCAAAACAAAAATTCTTGCCTCGCTTGACTAGTCTTATACCTCTCACATGACTTACAGCTAAAGCTGGTCTTGCTTGACTTGTGTTATACCACTCAGTCATGAATTTAAAAAAAAAAACAATAGTGGATCAAAACAAAAATTCTTGCCACGCGTGACTAGTTTTATACCCCCCCCCCCCCGCATGACTTACAGCAAAAGCTGGTCTTGCTTGACTTGTGTTATACCACTCAGTCATGATTTTTAAAAAACAAGCCCAGCTAATGGATAAAAACAAATTCTTGCCACGTTTGAATAGTCTTATATCCACATGGCTCACATCCAAGTTGGTCTCGCTTGACTGGCGTTATACCACTTAGCCATGGATTTAAAAAAAAACAGTGGATTAAAACAAAAATTCTTGCCTCGCTTGACTAGTATACCCCCCACTAGTCTTACATCGAAGTTGGTCTCGCTTGACTTGTGTTATACCACAGACATGAATTTAAAAAAAATGCTCAGCTAATGGATAAAAAAAAAATCTTGCTACGTTTGAATAGTCTTACATCCACATGGCTCACATCCAAGTTGGTCTCGCTTGACTGGCGTTATACCATACATCCATGGGTTTATAAAACAATGACCAGCCACGGATATAAAAAAAAATGTTTGTCTTGTCTTAAGGTAGTTAGACCTCAGTGCTGCTGCTTATGTCTGGTGGTTTACTAGGAGCGCTAGAGTGGTGTGTGTCGTCGCTAGAGGTGCTTGAAGTCTCTTGTTTACCTGTGTCCGCAGTTGATCTGTGTGAAGAGATAAAAATGTATGGTCTATATGGGATGGGTGTATTCAGAGGCGTCGCGAGGCGGGGACTGGGAGGGGGGGGGGGACGTCGGGGACGGGGGGGGACGGGACGGACGGACCGCACCGGGAAACACGATTCAGGGGGGGGGGTGACACAAAGAAAAAAATGCAAGATAAATAGAATTAATATGTTTTTTTTTGCTAGTTCAATGAATGGGTATGGTTAATTAGCGCTAAACAGCATTTGAAGTACATAATGACGATACCCATAAGGAAGGTGGGGGGGGGGGGAGGGGGTGACACCATGACGTAAACATGCAAACTATAGAGAAAACAATGCTACAACCAGCTGTATTAACACCCGACTACAGATAAACATAATTAGTATTAAATGTGAACACTTGAAAACTTTTTACCGGGGGGGGGGGGGGGAAGTGACAACATCTGCAAACTTTACAGAGGAAAAAAGGAGGCAGAGGGTGACACCATGAGCTGCTGCACCGGGTCAGAGGCGTAGCGAGGGGGTGGGGTGTGCGGGGGGTGCGGACCGCACCGGGTGACACCATTTAGGGGGGTGACACCAAGGCAAACATTAGCAAAATATATAGAGAAAAACTTGAGGGGGGGGGGGGGTGCAAATCGAAAGTTTGAGAGGGGGGGGGGGTGCAAATCGAAAATATGAAAATTTGTCCCTGGGAAGGGTCGCTACGCCTCTGGGAGGTGACACTATTAAGTTCCGCACCAGGTGACACCCGACCTCACTACGCCACTGCACCGGGTGACACCCGATCTAGCGACGCCACGGCGTGTATTACATGTTACATTTTAAATGTGATATACATGATATCTATGGGACGGCGTGGTCTAAGCGGTAGAGCGCTAGGCTGCTAACTCAGTTCGAATCCGGTCCCAAGTCAGTAGCACATCCCTGAGTTCACCCAGCTCTGATGGGTACCTAACTCATGTTAGGGAAAGTAAAGGCGGCTGGGCAAAGTGCTGACCACGCCTTCCTTTCAAAAGCGGAGGTAAAGAAACGTAAGAACTCTATCTGCCCAATGGATCAATATTTCTATTTATGTATGATATAGTGTGGCCGGACTTTAGAGTTTACGACTGCTAACACGCACGTTTCGAATTCGGATCCACGCTCGAGTCTACAGGACGTTCAAAAGACACCCCCCTCCCCGCAGTGTGCAGGGACGACGTGGTCTAGCGGTAGAAAGCAGGTTTAGCTAACCCAATTGTCATGAAAACCTGGATCGAAACCGAACTGCCCCTCATGTCCCTACCAGTTGATGCAAAGCCTTGGTGGGAACACATATGTCAAACAGCGCCAGACTACAAAACTGAAGCCGGTAATGACGGTGTGATCCCAAGAGAGAAGAAGTCTAATATTTTTATACAGTGGTTCTAAACTTTTTGGAGGTACCGAACCTCACCGGTTTTATATGCGCACTCACCGAACCTATCTCAATAATTCGATTGGCCGCACTGACAAAATCCGATCGTGAATCGTGAATGAGTCGGGTGTGCGTCTTGACCTTCACCGAATCATTAAGAGTGACTCATCAAACCCATGGGGTTCGACTGAACCCAGGTTAAAAACCACTGATCTAATTATTTTTTTTTTGAGTCGTGGCTACAATTATACTGAAGTAGGTAGCAAAAAACTATAGACTTTATTAAAGTAGCAAGAGTAAAACAGTAGACGTCTCTTAAGAAACATAAACAGCAGCCTTTAGGGGTTTAAAACCAGTCACGCGTGACCTAACAAGAATACACCAAAAGACTTACAAGAAAATTGAACAAAAATCAAAGATTAAAGTCTCAAGAATGTAAGAACAGACCTAATTAAAGTAACAAGGACAGGAATACAGGTTTACACAGTAGTAACCACGGTATAACAACATACGTATATAACAGCGAATGTACACAGAAATAAATAGAATAGAATATAACAAAAGACCTACATTTAATAAAGCCTAACAAAATACTTACATGAAATAAGTGCTATACACCAAAATCACAGTTATTGATATACTCAGGTAACCAAACAATGCCAACAAAATGTAATCCACGGCAATAACTGGGGAGAAATTAAGAATTCAGACATGTAAGCGATTACATTGTGTAATTGTTTGTTTATTTCGTATAACTTACATGTAATGAATGGGAACAGGACATTACCATCCCAGTTAATTACACACTGTCAACACCACATTGATGAATCGCACTTTCTATTTTATCACGTATTCCAGTAAAAAAATAATTGAAGTTGGATATTACCCAATTTCATTACACCCCCCTTCGTACTCTTTCCCACATCCAACCAGAAAAATTAGACACCTATATATTCATATGGTGGACGGAGTGGCCTAGCGGTAGAGAGCAAGACTGTTAACCCATATGTCTCAAGTTAGAATCCGGGATCAAGTCAGTCCACCCAGCTCTGATGGGTACATAACTCATGACCGGGTAAGTAAAGGCGGCTGGGCATAGTGCTGACCACACTATCCATTCGCGGTCACAGAAACAGGTGAACTCTACTTCGCTTGCACCATAGACCGTCAGGTTTGGAAGGGGAACTTTACTTACTTTTATATTTATCTACCATCCCCTTGACCTATTAAAGAGTTACCATTAAAAGGGAAGCGGGAGGTGGTGGTGGAGGAGATGTAATAACCAATTTGAATATAACTCGAGTTGGTAAAGGGGAACAACCGAAATAATCCCGAACACAGAACAAGTCATGAAGAATTACAGAAAGGGGAGGGAAATGTGTTTAGATTAAAAAAAAAAAATTCTTATGTCTTCTGCCCACCTCGCGGTACATAATAGCACAAAATACTTACACGGCGGGCATATGCCAGTTGTCCTCTCAACACAATCGCTGCCCTGGCATTTCTTAGCGCAATCAAACTCGCAATTCCTTCCATAGGTCATGTTCGGACAGGCTAGGGGATAAAACAAGTTAATAAAAAGTCTAGTGACAATTTAAGCGCAATTTCCTCAATTAATTTTTTGTGACCGAACGAAAGGATATTTTTGAAAACTTTCTTCGGCAATATTGTTCTAAATTATGGCAGAAATCGATTGGTAAATCTTTCAAGTCGCTAAGTGGTCTGGTTGCCGAGATATGGGCTAAAACTGCAGTTTTTCGAGGTTTTTTGGCTTTTCTGGGAAATCCAGGAAGGAATTCCGGGAATTTTTTGGCCCACAATCATCCTCGTAACTTGGTTAACATATTTGCTTTGGAACTAGTCCTCGATATTGCTTCGTTGAGGAGGAGATACGACTTAACGCTGCGGACACACATCGGACACATATCCATCCTTGACGAGTTAATAATCGCATTTGTCAGTATGGAAATTGCGCTAAAAAATGTACAATATTGTAGGCCTACGTTGAATTAAATCAACGGATCAAAAAGATAAAAAAAGAGTCACGGTTGAATAGAAATCAACCAGCCATGACGGTTCACTGTTGTAAACAGGCTTGAGATTTGTAACTAAATTTTGAATTTTTTAATTTGGATAAATGTTCTATATAATTAGATAAAAAATTAATATTCATACATTGTTATTGAAAGAGAAAGTACCTAGAAAGTATGAACGAAATCGCTGCATTATAAGTGAGTCAAAATTGAATTACAAGATTTGCCACAAGCCCACATATAGCAAATAGAGGTTGTAAAAGGGGGCTATTCATATAAGGTCTTTTCGGGGAACGAGGAGTCTATGTGACGGCGTGGCCTAGAGGTAGTGAGCTAGACTGGAAACCCGAATTTCTCGACTTCGAATGCGGGTTCAAGTCAGTAGTGTCTACCCCGCTCGCATTAGCATCTGGGCTATGTATCGATGGAATGAATGGAAAGAGATGATGGCATAAAAGTCTGTAATTATTTTTAACTACGTCTAAATTTAGAAACTCTTGTATTGTTGATTTCTGATTGCAGTACTAAACCCGTTCTTCTTCTCATTTACTCCGATTGTAGACTGCTTTTCTTTTTAAATTTGCTTCCATAGCCTTTGTCCAACCAAGAAAAAACTACAAGGCAGCAGTTGTTTGATTTTGGAGTTGTATCACCTTGAAGAGTTGCTTTCCCCAGCTATTGGGATAATCCGTTCTAAAATCAATGATCCGTTTCAAACGAACACATACAAGTTGGCAATGGATTTCCTTACGTTCAGTACACAGAGGCCCCCTCCAGCCATATTGACAGTATGGACAGCAGAACAGCTGTCCCTTGATCTTTTTCTTCATACAGTTCTGACAATCGCAGTTGCGGTAGATGCAGTCTGCAACAACAACAAAATTACATTAAAATAGTTGATATTGCTACCGTTTTAACTTACCTAGTCAGTGCTACCTATTACAACTTTCGTTGACGTTGTCAGTGATTTTCACATAGTCAGTGCTACCCTTGGTTGACCTAGTCATTGCTACCCTTGGTTGAGTCAGTGCTACTTATTCAAGTTTAGTTGACATGGTCAGTGCTACCTATTTCACTTTACTTGACCTAGATAGTGCTATCCTTAGTTGACCTATTCAGTGCTACATATCCAACTTTACTTGACATAGTCAATGCTACATATTCAACTTTACTTGACATAGTCAATGCTACCTATTCAACTTTACTTGACATAGTCAATGCTACCTATTCCACTTTACTTGACATAGTCAATGCTACCTATTCAACTTTACTTGACATAGTCAATGCTATGTATTCTACTGTATTTGTCTAGTCTTGTGTTAGCTATTTCACTAGTAATAAGCTGACAAAATGATGCATTGTTTATCGAGTTTAATATACAGTCGGAACACCATTCACCATAATAACTCTGGCAAGATTTACTTTGTTAATTAAAAATATACGTTTAAAATTAAAACGTATAATGAATATAATGCATTTGTTGATGTTCCCGCATCGCTATGAAAATTCATTTAGGTCGTAGTTTTCCCGTAAAAAAAAACAACAACAAGCGTAATAAAAACTACGTGAGTTTGAGAACGCCTTTTAAAAAATGGCGTATTTTTAGTTGAGTTCTAATTATAAAATAGCAGCTTCGTTAACAAAATTGTTCTTGTCTTAAGATTCCACACTGTTAGAATACTGATGTTAACACAGAGGCGTAGCGACCCTTCCCGGCGCCCGGGGACAAACTTTCGATTTGCCCTTCCCCACCCCCCCCCTCAAGCTTTCGATTTGCACCCCCCCATCGAACTTTTCATTTGCATCCCCCCTCTCAAAATTTCAATTTGGCGCCCCCCCCCCCAATGTCGGTGTCGGCGCCCGGGGACATATGTCCCCCTTCCCGCCCCCACCCCCTCGCTACACCTCTGTGTTGACAAGCACTTCCCGTAAATAGCAAGCATTCACTAACATCTTGATCTGAATACAAGAAACACTTCTGTGTACTCACCCTTTGCTCCCTTCACCAAACACCATCTGCTGCTGAGCTCTACAGACGTACCTAGACAAGGTTTTCCGTACCACGGAACTGGCGGATCGGAACAATTCCGACTGCAAGGAAATTGTTTGTTAAAAAGTGGAATTCTTAAAATCGTGTTACGACAGAGCAATGCTTAAGAAATGTAAACACGATTTTCTATAAATGACAGTTTTAGTGGCGAAAATAGAATTATATAAGTAAACACAATGCTAGATTGATTAATGCTGGATACTACTCTAGTAATTTGCTTAGTATACCAAAGCCAGTACAGTGCCCTGCTAAATTTGTCTCTAGATGAGACTAATGCGGTTCTTGAAATAAAGTGCTACGGATTTTTAGATACGACTGAAAATTTGTTACTAATCGAAGTGTAAAAAACAATGAAAGTCTAACTTTTTGTTTCTAATATGGCGTTTTTCTTATAGACAAAATTTGATTTAAATTGTAGTTGCAAATTTGTGCGTAGAAAAAAGTCGAAAGATTTTAGAATCAGATGTCTGACAATATACTCTTCCATAAAATAGGTGTGTTGGGTCGTTAGTAGAATTAAAAAAAATATTGTAGTCTCGACTAATTTTATGGTTAGGAATTAGGGTTAGGCATATGGTAGGACTATGGTTGGGGTTAGGGTTAGTATAACAGTTAATGTATATGAATGTATGTTGGGAGTGTGTGTGTTGAAAAAGGCGAATTGGATCAGGGAGACAATGATTTGTGTGCATGCGCGAGAGGAAGGGAAGAGAGATATAGGCGCGAAAGAAGATGGCGTAGTCTGACAATGAACACGATGCCTGTATGAACCAAAATAAAATATGAAAAACAACGGGAACAAGGCTTGACTTGTGGTTTTTGTGTGTGTATTATATAAGGTAGGGAAAAGGCCTGTGACAGTTAGGGACAGGGTTAGCATTGACATTAGCCAGCAATCTGTGTATTTAGTTAACTACCAGTAACCTAACACCCCCTTTTTAAAGAATATTCTATTATCGGGCACTGGTATAAAAATTCCCCCAAAAAAGTCTAATGGCTCTCAACACTAGGTACGAACGACTATTCTATCAGTATATCTATAACAAAAAGATGTCTGAATATGAAGATTTCAATTGCTAGTTGAGATAAGTAATACCCAAACAACGAACACGCCAGGCCAATGACCCCACTATGTACAGGTTAATGTAAGTACGTCGAGTCCACTTACTTCCTTCTGGTCATCGTTTTGTCGCCATTCCCCAAACACTCCCACTCCTCCCACTGAGCCCACTGTAGATCTTCTGGAAGATAAAATCACGGACTACATATAACTGGCCTTAATTTGATAACAAAGCAATACTATAGTTTCTATTAGCAAACATTGCTAAGGTAGGACTAATGTAAAACTCCTGCCACTGAGCCCACTGTAAATCTTCTGGAAGGTAAAATCACGGACAACATAAAACTGGCCTTAGTTTGATAACATAAACAATACCATAGTTTCTATTAGCAAACATTGCTAATGTAAGACAAACACAAGCCAGTATAAACAACTAAGGGTAATCGTCTTTCTTCATCTGCGTTCTTAAATTTTAGTGTTGGAAGATATTCCCTCCAACTTGTTATGCGCATTAAAGTCCGATTTCAGTCTGCTTTTCTTTTTAACACGTTTTTCTTAACTCAGCTTCGCGTTTGTTTGTTTGTTTGGATGTTTGTTGTTAAAATTGACATCGAAAATTAGCCCACTTCTGATTGCTCTATAGACCTGAAATTTGGCATGCATGCTACTTTTGCCTAACAATTTCAGATGCAATCATAAAAACTAGCAATTAGTGACCGTAATTAGCTTAATTTAATTACGCCCCAAGGACCATAAAATTGAGGACATGATTTCTAAAGATACCGACAAGACTGGAGGCCTATTGACCCAGTTACTTCGGCCCCAATCGATGTGAGCGCGCTGGCCGTGATCGTATAGTGGTTAGTACTTCGCGTTGTGGCCGCGACAACCCAGGTTCGAATCCTGGTCGCTCAAGTTTTTAGTCCGTGTATTTATAAACACTTTTTTAAAAACCACGTTTTTCATGTGTAGCAACGGACTAAAAAGGAGAAAATAAAATACTTAAAAAAAACTTTTTAAAAAACCACGTTTTTCTTGTGGACTAAAAAGTAGAAAATAAAATTTTCTTTTGTGCTTCCTCGAGCTGTGCAGGTTCTTGTGATGACTGACAAAAAACGTGGGTCGGGCAGATGGGTCGGGAAATTTGATGGTGAACGTACCCACGTTTTTTGTCAGTCATCACAAGAACCTGCACAGCTCGAGGAAGCACAAAAGAAAATTTTATTTTCTACTTTTTAGTCCACAAGAAAAACGTGGTTTTTTTTTAAGTTTTTTTTAAGTATTTTATTGGATTTGCTTCCATAGCACATGGCCGACTGAGAGAACTCTTTAATGAGTGGCTGTCCCCAACTGTCGAGCCTCATCTGACCGTGAGCTTTACCGACTCGACCACGCCGACCCCTAGGGTAATCGTGATTAGAACTGTAGTAATAAAAGTTATTAGAACCCGCTGTCTATAGAGTAGGTGAAATAGGGGTTACCTTTTTCAGGGATCTCGGCATATGAAGAAATAGTGAAAGAAATTTGCCCAACCGCCTACTCAGGGTGTTTTATAACATGCACACGGGAATCGGGAATAGGTTCACTTGAGATTTGTGCTATCGAAATCCAGGTATTTTACGCTCACCTTCAGGTAAACCTTATCACGCAGATCTGTTGTTCAAATACATAACAATGTTGCTCCCTGCACAACGACGTTTCCCGTCTACATAATGACGTTGTTACCCTTCGTAACGACGTTGCTTACCTACATAATGACGTTGTTTACATACATAACGACGCTGCTCACCTATATAACGACGTTACCCACCTACATAACGATGTTGTTCCCCTACATAACGGCGTTGCTCCCCTATATAACGACGCCTCTCATTTACATAACAACGTTGCTCCCCTACATAACGACGTTTCTCCCCTAGATAGCGACATCGCCCACCTGCATAACGACGTTGCTTCCCTATATAACGACGTCTCTCACAGAGCGACGTCTCTCACTTACATAACGACGTTGCTCACCTGCACATCCACACATCCTCATCCCACAACTCACCTGAGCTGGCGCAGCCGACATCCTCATCAACACTGCCATCCCCATCGTCATCAGTGGCTGCTGTCAAACCAAATTTAATACCACAGTAATGATAATTATATAATTACTACATCGTCTTTAATTAATTGTTGTAGTTAAATACTTAATTTATTAAACTGACTTCAAACGTAAAACTATCAAAACCATTAAAATTGACTAAAAGCCTGTAATTGTTAAAATAATGATATCATTTAAATAAAATGTAATATTTAGTTCATAAAACTACTGGAATATGTCCTCACACAACAAAATAGCTAAAGTAAGCATATCGTGTAATACTAAGTGTATAAAACTAATGCAATATGTCCTCACAAAGCGCAATTGTTGCAGTAATAATATTAAATATATAGTTAATAAAACCACAGCAATATGTTCTCAAAAAGCGAAACTATTTCAGTGATATCATTGAAGTACTTAATGCATGCAAATACTTCTCACAAGGCGAATCTAATTTGGTTGTCTGGCATTGACCAGGGAGAGAGTCCTCATCGACCTGTCCGTCACAGTCGTTGTCCACCTGGTCTCCTGGCACCATGCTTGTCGGCCTGCAAGTCTGTGATGGTCAAACATTTATAACAGGATAGACCAATTGTTTTTAGTGTTTTTTTAAAGACAATATTCTCCCAGAAGTGGGTGTGTGTGTGAAAAGAAAATTTATTACGGGGGGGGGGAGCGCTTAATCTTCCTAATCAATTATACTTTGTAGTTGAGTTTTAGGAAGTGAGTGGGGGTGGAAATGGAGTGGACGGGTTGATGAGGGGGATGGGGTGTACAGCCCAAAGATACCCCTCGAAGGAATCTGATATTTAGGGAAGGAATAGTTGAACGGCAGAGCATAAGACTGCTAATCCGAAAGGGTTCAAATCAGTATAACGTCCCTGAGCCCACCCTAACTCACTCTAAGGAAAGTAAAGAGCGACTGGGCATATTGCCGACCACACTATTAGTTCCTAAGCTGAAGTAACACAAAAAGGTAAACTCAGGTTCAAAAAGGGATTTGTTTGTGTTTATCATTGTCTAAACCACAATGGTTAAATATTACCATTTTTTGGAAACAACATACATTTAAGACAAGCGATAATTCTCATTTGATTTTAAATTGGCTTTATGTAAGTTAGGTGAAAACAACTAGTAGTACAACACAATACGGGCCACTTAAATTTGACAGAGGTCAAAATATCAATAGACAATATATAAATAACATTTTAATATAATAATTTAACATCTGTAAACAAAAATAGGTGGCGTAAATAATAATAAATTATTCATTTCGCTTCGTGAAAAATTAAATAAAAATTGTTACATTGTAAATAAAGGGATTATATATCTACAAAATGATAACGTTAATATGGAGTAGGCCTATTTTTGTTTGTAGTTAAAAAAAAAAATTCAAACAGGTTTTAAATTATTAAATTCCAGATTTTGAACACAAATCTAACTTACACCGGTTAAGTTGACAGAGTTATATAAACCAGGATACATGGCTGATCTGTCGTCTGCACGATGGTAGACGTACAGTCCAAATGTTGTCCCATCGTCCGTGTAGAGGTGGTGGATGGCGTCTGTTGTAGGCTGCTGTAGATGGATGGCGTGCACCTGCCATTGGTGTCCGGGTGGGGCTTTGGTTGGGGAACTGAAAGACATTACAGTAGAGGTTACTTTATCTAAGGCTAGTCTAATTACATGATGTGCACTGGTGCGTCTTTTTTCTAAACTGCAATACATTACAATAGAGGTTACTTTATCTCGGGTTAGTCTATTCACATGGGGCACCTTGATGCCCGGATTTGTTTTTTGTTGGAGAAATTTGAGACATAGTGGAAGAGGTTACTTTATTTAAAATCCATGCAATGGTGCGTACTGTTGCGTCTTATTTTTAAGTGCAAGCCCATATATTAAAGGTTACTTTATCTAAACCCACACAATGGTATACGTTGTTGCTTTCGTGCGTCTTTTCTTGGAGAACTGCAAATGGTAACCCGAAAGTCTCGAGTTCGGTTCCCGGATTTTAGTTCGTGAGTTCGCCTTATTCCATGAGACGACACTTGGATGGTAGAGCATACAAATGTTAACCCGAAAGTTTCGAGTTTTGATTCCGGGTTAAATTCTTCAGAAGATTCATGAGTCCACTCAGCTCTGATGGGTACCTGACTCACGTTAGGGAAAGTAAAGGCTGCTTGGCATAGAGCTAACCTTTATATGCCGAGGTAACTGAAGCAGTTGAGCTCTACTTCACCTGCTTCATGGACCATCAGGTCCGGTAGAGAACTGTTTAATCTCCAAAAATCTCTAATGTTTAATTAAATGTTAAATCAAGTCACGGAAACAAAAGTAGCTTATAGTATCTCATTGGTGTCACAATAAAGACAGCACATGTGTAGAAGAGATAACAATCAGCACTTTCATGATGAGAAAATATAGGCAAATGGTATCTGTAAGACATTTCCTCACACAACCCCTCCAGCCATGACTTAGTCCATCACATGACCTCCTCACCTTGTCGGAGTCTCCACCCGACGTCCGTCCATCACAAGATGCGACAGCTGATTCTGACGTACGACACACAACACCTTCATGACGGAAGTTGTGGTGTTTTCATGCAGGACCTTTGACCGGTATCCTTCAAGTGAGGAGCTGAAACAACACGGGTTTGTATTAGAACATTTTGCAGCTGGGTAGAGGAGTGGCGGGGAAATACGCCGGAATTGACGTCACTTAAAACTTCCATGGAGGGGTAGCAGATAATAGTTGCAGTAAATATTTTCTATTTAATTTTTTTAAAAATTTTGTCCAGTGAGAGCGGAAAAATGGGATGGGGGAGGGGTGGGGGCGGTCGTGCTTTCTCGGAGAGATGCCTTATCTTAACTTTTAAAACAACATTAAGCAACATCTACGCACTTTTTTGTAACTGGATTTTAATGGATTCTGAATATAAATTAACTAAAAAGTATGTAATTTAACATAACTTTTCGTTGTTTTATTTCTATTCCGTGTCATAATTTAAAAATGAGGAGCGTACTGTTTATAATCATCTATGCTTTGTTATCACAGAGAAACAAAATCTGGAAAAAAATGTTTTTATCCAAACTGATCGGAAAAAGACGAAATGGAATTGAACATTTCCGGCACCCATGTTACCAAAAGCTAGATCTAGAGGCTATTTTCGCTATCTTGACAACGTTGTCGACAATAGAGTAAATTTAAGGGTTGGGTGGGGTAGGGAAATGGACGAGAAAAAGACGAAAAGGTCGAGATCTTTCGGTTGAGGAAATGAAGGTTTGAACCATGGTACCGAAGTCATGAAAAGTTCGCTCTAACACTCAGGGGCGTAGCGAGGGGGGTGCGGGGGGTGCGGACCGCACCGGGTGACACCATTTAGGGGGGTGACACCAAGGCAAAAAATAGCAAAATATATAGAGAAAAACTCGAGGGGGGGTGCAAATCGAAAGTTTGAGGGGTGGTGCAAATCGAAAACTTGAGAGGGGGGGTGCAAATCGAAAGTTTGAGGGGGGGGGGGTGCAAATCAAAAGTTTGAGGAGGGGGGGGGGTGCAAATCGAAAATTTGAAAGTTTGTCCATTGGAAGGGTCTCTATGCCTCTGGGGGGGGGGGTGACACCATTAAGTGCCGCACCGGGTAACACCCGACCTCGCTGCGCCACTGCTAACACTAGACCAGCTTGTGTGTTGGTAATTAAATTAGATAAGCTGATATAAGTGTATTGACTGCAAGTTTATACCGCAAAAAGTTAATCTGTTTTAGCAACTGAAATATAAAGTCGCCTTTATCTTCCCTAAGGTGAATCAGGTACCCATCAGAACTGTGTTGACTCAGGGACACACTACAGACTCGAGCCCCAGATTCGAACTCGAGACTTTCAAATTAGCAGTCGAAAGCTCTACCATTCGACCACATTGTAACTACCTCCAATAATAGTAGTGAAAGAACAGCTCCACAGGTACCAGCAGGGTCCAGCTGCAGACGTAGTTGACCCCGGAAACCACGTGATGAAACGTACAGGATATCGGTTTGGTGGCCTTCAGCTGATGAAATGCTTCTGCGTGACAAGGTATCTGGTGAGTAAAATATAAGGTGGCAGGGTATCTGGTGAGTAAAATATAAGGTGGCAGGGTATCTGTTGAGTAAAATACAACAGGTAGGTAGGGTATCTGGTGAGTGAAATATAAGGTGGCAGGGTATCTGTTGAGTAAAATATAAGGTGGCAGGGTATCTGTTGAGTAAAATACAACAGGTAGGTAGGGTATCTGGTGAGTGAAATATAAGGTGGCAGGGTATCTGTTGAGTAAAATATAAGGTGGCAGGGTATCTGTTGAGTAAAATATAGGGTGGCAGGGTATCTGTTGAGTGAAATATAAGGTGGCAGGGTATCTGTTGAGTAAAATATAAGGTGGCAGGGTATCTGTTGAGTAAAATATAAGGTGGCAGGGTATCTGGTGAGTGAAATATAAGGTGGCAGGGTATCGGTTGAGTAAAATACAACAGGTAGGTAGGGTATCTGGTGAGTGAAATATAAGGTGGCAGGGTATCTGTTGAGTGAAATATAAGGTGGCAGGGTATCTGTTGAGTAAAAGATAAGGTGGCAGGGTATCTGGTGAGTAAAATATAAGGTGGCAGGGTATCTGGTGAGTGAAATACAAGGTTGACAGGGTATCTGGTGAGTAAAATATAAGGTGGCAGGGTATCTGGTGAGTGAAATACAAGGTTGGCAGGGTATCTGGTGAGTAAAATATAAGGTGGCAGGGTATCTGGTGAGTGAAATACAAGGTTGACAGGGTATCTGTGAGTAAAATATAAGGTGGCAGGGTATCTGGTGAGTAAAATATAAGGTGGCAGGGTATCTGGTGAGTAAAAGATAAGGTGGCAGGGTATCTGGTGAGTAAAATATAACAGGTAGGCAGGGTATCTGGTGAGTAAAATATAACAGGTAGGCAGGGTATCTGTTGAGTAAAATATAAGGTGGCAGGGTATCTGGTGAGTGAAATACAAGGTTGACAGGGTATCTGGTGAGTAAAATATAAGTTGGCAGGGTATCTGGTGAGTAAAATATAAGGTGGCAGGGTATCTGGTGAGTAAAAGATAAGGTGGCAGGGTATCTGGTGAGTAAAAGATAAGGTGGCAGGGTATCTGGTGAGTAAAATATAAGGTGGCAGGGTATCTGGTGAGTAAAAGATAAGGTGGCAGGGTATCTGGTGAGTAAAATACAACACGTAGGCAGGGTATCTGTTGAGTAAAATATCAGGTGGCAGGGTATCTAGTGAGTACAATATAAGGTGGCAGGGTATCTGGTGAGTAAAATATAACAGGTAGGCAGGGTATCTGGTGAGTAAAAGATAAGGTGGCAGGGTATCTGGTGAGTAAAATATAAGGTGGCAGGGTATCTGGTAAGTGAAATACAAGGTTGACAGGGTATCTGGTGATTAAAAGATAAGGTGGCAGGGTATCTGGTGAGTAAACTATAACAGGTAGGCAGGGTATCTGGTGAGTAAAATATAAGGTGGCAGGGTATCTGGTGAGTGAAATACAAGGTTGACAGGGTATCTGGTGAGTGAATTATAAGGTGGCAGGGTATCTGGTGAGTGAAATACAACAGGTAGGCAGGGTATCTGGTGAGTGAAATATAAGTTGGCAGGGTATCTGGTGAGTAAAATATAAGGTGGCAGGGTATCTGGTAAGTGAAATACACGGTTGACAGGGTATCTGGTGAGTAAAATATAAGGTGGCAGGGTATCTAGTAAGTGCAATACAAGGTTGACAGGGTATCTGGTGAGTAAAATATAACAGGTAGGCAGGGTATCTGGTGAGTAAATTATAACGTGGCAGGGTATCTGGTGAGTGAAATACAAGGTTGACAGGGTATCTGGTGAGTAAAATATAAGGTGGCAGGGTATCTGGTAAGTGCAATACAAGGTTGACAGGGTATCTGGTGAGTAAAAGATAAGGTGGCAGGGTATCTGGTGAGTAAAATATAACAGGTAGGCAGGGTATCTGGTGAGTAAAATATAAGGTGGCAGGGTATCTGGTGAGTGAAATACAAGGTTAACAGGGTATCTGGTGAGTAAAAGATAAGGTGGCAGTGTATCTGGTGAGTAAAATATAACAGGTAGGCAGGGTATCTGGTGAGTAAAATATAAGGTGGCAGGGTATCTGGTAAGTGAAATACAAGCTTGACAGGGTATCTGGTGAGTAAAATATAAGGTGGCAGGGTATCTGGTGAGTAAAAGATAAGGTGGCAGGGTATCTGGTGAGTAAAAGATAAGGTGGCAGGGAATCTGGTGAGTAAAATATAACAGGTAGGCAGGGTATCTGGTGAGTAAAATATAAGGTGGCTGAATATCTGGTGAGTGAAATACAACAGACTGACAGGGTATCTGGTGAGTGAAATATAAGGTTGACAGGGTATCTGGTGAGTAAAATATAAGGTGGCAGGGTATCTGGTGAATAAAGCACACTTTAAATAATTATCGTATGCAAATCTGTGTCCATTTAACTTTTGTGAAAAAACTACGAGTATTGTGTGAATTAGACCTGTCAAATATAATGCAAAAAAAAAAAATTGATCTATAACAGGTATTGTGTGTTTTTGACCTGTTAAAAAACTTTAATACTTCTTCCATGATGTAAACATCATGAAAAAAGTAAATCACCCGTTAAACAAAAAAAAAACAAGACATTTTTTTCCAAGTCTACTATTGTATTCAGGTGATCAATAGTTCAAAGTTTACGGGTGACACGTAACCCACTGTCTTTTGTGTCTTAAAATTGAGCATCCGAAGTAGATCCAGATGAATCAGCAGTCTGTCAAGCTCTGCCCTTATGCAAAACGTCGAAGCTACTCTATCAAGCCGAGTGTGCCTTGGACTGCCAACCCGAAAGTCTTGAGTTCGGATTCCGGCTCAAGTCCAACAATCCCTGATAGGGAAAGCAAAGGCGGCCGGGCATTGTGCTGACCACACTGAAACAGGTAAACTCTACTTCACCTGACCCAAGGTTTGAAAACGTTATTTACTTTTTTTTTCTCAGGCCGTAGCCATAAAGGTACAGCGCCATGGTAATGGGGGTGTTCAAATAGGGGGTTGCAAGCCAGCTAAATAGGGTGTACTGATTTTCATGATGGTGTCCTACTTTAAGCAAGAGGGAGCTTCAGAATAATACATAGCACATTTAATTTCTTGATTCGAAATCAAGATATTCTTTAAAAGACATTTTTTTTTGTTTGATTTGTTGCTGGGGGGGGGGGGGTGGTGTTTTTGTGATAGGAGGGATTCGGAATTTCGATGTCTTTCAATAGATATAATATTCTGTGACAAACGTCTTAAGATCAATAGGCGAATGAGGGGAGAGAGTGATGACGTAAAAATCGTCTCAGATGTGTGATATCATTTTTTTTTTACAAACTATGCCCGACCTCATCTCAGCCCACCAAATATTACCTCGTATTGAAATTTTATTTTACCAAAATTACTTTAGTACAAACTCGTAATGATTCCCCCCCCCCCCTTTCCCCCCCCCCCCCCCCACATGCCCACCCCAGACTCACGTCTCTCAAATCACCAGCGTTGTGTAGCGTGATATCCGCCACTAGACCGTTCTCTAACGTCGTCACTGTAACCGTGGTGCCGTCCTCCACGCACACGATACGAATAAAATCTTGCTCACCCAGGTACGTGATCGGGTCAGTGCCAGCTCTGGCTATGTTGATGAATTTTTTACCGAAGGATTCGGCAGGAAATGGCATCTCTGTGAGAAAAAATATGAAAGGCATTGTTTTTATCCCAGTGTGTATATTGAAATATAAGGGTGCGATCGTACTAAACATGAAAAAAGGAATGGTAGTAACGGTGCTTGATTTACGTAGATGTTAAAGAAGCTAGGGCTAACGCCTTTCTCGTGAGAGAGGGGGGGGGGCTCTATTGGGCATTTTCTTTAAACAGTGATATGCAGTGTTTCTTCCAGACTTTTTTCTCCGGGGGAGGGCACTTGATATTTTCGGGGGGGGGGGGGAACATTTTTGAGGGGGGAGGGGGCGGACACTGGTAAAAGTATGTTTTTTTATATACAATTTATTTCGTTCGGGGGGGGGGGGGCGGTAGACTTTCTTGGGGGGGGGGCGCTCCGCCCGAAGAGATGCCTGGAATAAACTCTGGTGGTATGCGTTTAATTTTCTAAATTTTATAACAATTTTAAATTAATTTATTATTTTCTTTTCTAGTTTAAAAAAAATGTTGTGGGGGTCGAGTTCTCATTCTGCTACAGATATAAACAAATATTTGTGTCGGCAAACAAATTTATACAAGCTTTTAATTTGCTTGCTTCTTCTGTATTTTGTCAGTTGCTCTTGCTTCATCCGTCAGGGATCGGCACGGGCGAGCGAAATTTTGACCACTTCTAACAGACTGATTCGTTTCAAACTTGGCACGTGAGGCAAGGCCCGATGACAATGCAATCTGACATCACATTTATTTGGATACTTTAATTAATTTTTAAAAAGTTAATTAAAATGTCCTAGATCAAGTTATATTTACCGCTCTGTCATAGGCACATTTTTTATGTTAATTTAGACATACACAATTTCCATATACCATTAATTACCGTATATATCTACAACGTACAATATTATTCTATTCTTACCTACACTCCACATTTCTTTATTCTTCACACTAAACCCGCAATACGCCACAATCACACCGATAGTTTCTGTGCTAGTTATAGTGACACCTGCGGGGTATTAACTCTTTTAGTTTTAACGTAAAATAATGTGAAATACATATTTAACTCGTTTGACTGGTAGTCCAAAAGTCTCGAGTTCGGATCTCGGTTCGGATTGCTGACTTTAGGACGTCCCTGAGTCCACCCAGCTCTGATTAGCACCTGAATCACACAGGGCAAGCAAGGTTGAGTGATGACTACATTGTCGTTTCATAAGCAGTTTTCTATGAAAGAAGGTGAACTCTGCTTCAGCTGCCCATGTGTCTTAGGCACGAAAAGGGAAAATATGCTGATAATGTTTACAATTATTTATAATTCTAATTAGGAAAGAAATGAATTTTTCTAATAAACCTTATACAGTTTCCTAGCTCTAGGTCTAGTTAGCTGGGAATATACACTAATGCCACACATATATATATACTCTACTTCATCTGCCTTCTCACTCTACAGCCCAACAATAAACTAAAATTTAACTCAACATTTATTTTTAACATAGGCTTGATATGGACGAAAAAAAACTCATTGCAACTAAAAATTGCATGTTTTTCAAAAAGCCGTCTGGCTCAAGAAAAAAAATAATTCATTAACAGATTAGCGAGACAAGAATTGAAACATATATTCTATAATACAGATAAAGTAGCAGACAGATACAAATAACAAACTTTTAGTCACAGTGTCTGTGCTTGACTGGTCACAATTTTGATCGCCGTAGAAAAAAGACTGGTATCTGAGAAAATGTAAAATAAAAACACGGGTTGTTTAAATAGGAAATTAAATATTGTATTACTAAAAATATTTTTTTAAAATGTCTTTGGTCTGAGTAACATGATGCATAAGTTCTTCAAAGAGTTGGGATTGTATTTTAAATAGTTTATTATTATGATTACTCGACAGTAATCTACAAATTACAATCGGAAATTATTAGCGCTCTCCACGTGATGTTAAAACATAATTGGCTGAGTATAATAGTGAACGAGTGAATTAATGTGTATTCACAATTTATGCGTAGCATTCGCCCTAACATAATGTCTTGAAAACATGATAAGGTAACGACTATTTATGTTTTACAAAGTCCTCAAAAAATGTAGAGGCTAGGGAAGTAAAACAGAAATAAGTAAATGTTTTTATCATTGTGTCTTTAAGTCAGAGTTCCTTTCAAGCATATTTTCGATGGGGGTAGTGGGGTGGCTCTTGACTGTGATATACACCATATAGTATTTACCTACTGATGGTGTGATGGATTATGTTATTTGCGTTACTCCCGACTAGATTTGTCAAGGCTAACTCGACATTAGCCTCTGGACTGTTCGTTACAATCATCAGGTAGCTCCTTTTTCTGGGAAATAAAATTAGATAAACACACAGTTGAGTCTAACTTTATTTGGGGAAGATTAGTATATAATTGTAGTTAAGATTTTGAAACCTTTTTAGCGGTCAGAGTTTGAATTATAGTTATAGTTAGGGGTTTGTTTGTTGATATAACCTTGGACATAATTAGGAATAAGTTAGAGATATGAATAGGACTACAGTTAGTGCTAAAGTGTGGGTAACAATAGCCTACATACGAAATAATAGTGATTGTAGTGTACAGGTAAATGTAAACTGTTCTATATGGTTCAGTGAGTTTCGTCTTATATGCGAATAGCATCTATACATCAATAACAACAGTAGATCAGGATATTGAAACTAAAGAATATTGTTGTAAGAATAGTGTTCTGCATAACAAGAAACTGAGTTACGTTCTTAAAAAGTGTTGCTTGTTTTTCACAAACCGAATGCATCTAGATTTAGTAACTAAATTCTTGACTTAAACATTGAGGATACTTACTACCTACATATGAAACCGATTATCAAAGATCGAGTGATTTATTTAGATAATCAATGGTGTTTTTATGTTTTTATAAGATGACTTAATTATAAACATGATTTAAAATTTTGTAATAATTTAATATTAAAATTTGTGGTTTCAATAATTAATATACATGTATCCACAAATCCATGTCGATTGTCTTTAAAACAAAAATACGTACATTTATTCAGATAAAACCAGTGGTGTTTTATTTTATAAAATGGCTAAAAATGATTTAATGTGTTTTAATAACTTAACACCAAAGAGGGTAGTTACGATAATGAATGTACTTATATCAAAGAATGTTGTGGCTGATTTTTTTATAACAAAAAAAGGTGAATACCATTTCAAAATAGGCGGTCAATTAGCATGTGAAATCAAGCTCACCTGTTTCGGTGAACACGGAATAAACATGGAAAATGTTGTTTATTTTTTACCTCGCTGATTTTACCTCCCTAACGTGAGTCAGGTACCCACGATAAGTGGATGGACTCTTACATTCTCGAGACTTTCATGATAACATTCACAACCGCCTGCCCATTCCGTACCCAGGGGCGTAGCGAGGGGGGGGGGGGGCGGGGGGTGCGGACCGCACCGGGTAACACCATTTAGGGGGGTGACACCAAGGCAAAAAATAGCAAAATATAGAGAGAAAAACTTGAGGGGGGTGCAAATCGAAAGTTTGAGGGGGGGTGCAAATCGAAAACTTGAAAGTTTGTCCCCGGGAAGGGTCGCAACGCCTCTGGGGGGGGGGGGGTGACACCATTAAGAGCCGCACCGGGTGACACCCGACCTCGCTACGCCACTGTCCGTACCATCCATCATTATTGCTGTAACATACAACTTATACTCACTTTTCATAGCAAACGACATACTTCCTGCCGAACGATAAAACAGGCAGAGCCGTCATGCGATCTCCAGCATTGGAGTCGTGTAAGAATTCTACAATGACGCGAAACTCAGAGTCACCGGTTATATGAATGGTTGCGGAGATTGGTAGATCCGGTCTGATGAAGGGAGCATCGAAAAGTTAGGACGCGTTTTAGATCAGAGGAGTAGGTTCAGAGTTTCTTTCAGGCATCTCTTCGGGGGGGCTTAGACCCCCAGAAATTTTTTACCGCCCCACCCCCCCCCCCCCTCCCGAACGAAATGAAATTTGTATAATTTATGTAGAAAATATATACTTTTAACAGTGTCCCCCCCCCCCCCCCCCCCGAAGAAAGTCTACCGCCCCCCCCCCCCCCCCCCGAAAATTTCAAGTGCCCCCCCCCCCCCCGGAGAAAAAAGTCTGGAAGAAACACTGAGTAGGTTATGTACAAATGTAGATCGTTTTAGTGGATACATGTGTTTGGGTTTGTGTAATACTAGAGTTAATGGCAGAGCGAAAAGACACAATGATGATTTTTTTTTTAAATTTAAATTTGATAAGAGTGAGTAATTCAAGCTCAAACCAGATATATTATAGAATTATTTATAGTAAAGTAATGTGGTTAACTTCTATAATTGTAGCTTTAGTCGACAAAAATTAAAGGACATATTGATGTTTGGCTAATTACGCGAATTAAAGTCTAACCACCGAGGGCATACTGGCCAACTTAACAACAGTACTAATTGTTATTTCCTGATGGTTATTTTGTTTTAAAGTTTTAAAGTTCTCTAGGATTACCTCTTTAAATGTTCTGAAAAATAGAATTTTTCATTGGCCCATTAAGTGCAAATGTTCTCTAAAATTACCTCTTTAAATGTTCTACAAAGTAGACTTTGTCGATGATCCATGATGTGTCGAATTTCTCCGCGTAGGGTGGATCCTTGTAGTAATCCACTAACCTGATGCTGGTGGATTGGATGGACGATATGTACACGACGGCTGTCACGTGATGAGGGAATGCCAGTACGTAGTTGGAGGAGCTCAGGTAGGCTGATGGATGGAGGGGGGGGGGGTAAGTTTAGATAAATTGATCGAGGGGGGGGAGATGTTGACGGAGCTCATTAGACTACGGGAAACATAATATTAGATCAGTTAATTGAAGGGTGTCTCCGTCTGGCATTCAAAAGCACCATTGGCCGAGAAGACACTCGAACTCGATCGCTTTGAAAAGGTTAAAGGGGTGAGGGGGGGGGTGAATTTTCGATAAGTTGATTGACAGGCACGTGTACACATTTTGGCTCATGGGAAGGGGGACAATAAATAAGGCTGATTTTTAGGGGGGAGGGGTGGGGGTGGGTGCCACAATTTAGACCGGTTGATGGAAGGTAGCACAACATTAGTCTGATGTGGACGGGTAGGCGACTGGGTGAAAACATATCGAAGCAAATCTCGCGATTCCACATGATACGAACCGAGTTTTTTTAAGACTACGATTTCGGGGATCACTCTTGTCCAGTAGGTCCAGCTAATCTCGGGGGTCACTTTTTACCACCAGCCCCCAGCTAATATCGGGGGTGAATCTTGACCACCAGGCCCCAGCTAATCTTGTGAGTAACACTTTGACCGCCGGGTCCTAGCTAATCTTGTGGGTCACTTGACCACTAGGGTCCAGCTAATCTTGTGGGTCACTTGACCACCAGGCCCAGCTAATCTTGTGGGTCACTTGACCAACAGGCCCCAGCTAATCTTGTGGGTCACTTGACCACCAGGCCCAGCTAATCTTGTGGGTCACTTGACCAACAGACCCCAGCTAATCTTGTGAGTCACTTGACCACCAGGCCCAGCTAATCTTGTGGGTCACTTGACCAACAGACCCTAGCTAATCTTGTGGGTCACTTGACCACCAGGCCCAGCTAATCTTGTGGGTCACTTGACCAACAGACCCTAGCTAATCTTGTGGGTCACTTGACCACCAGGCCCTGCTAATCTTGTGGGTCACTTGACCACCAGGGCCCAGCTAATCCCTGGCGTCACTTGACCACCAGGCCCAGCTAATCTTGTGGGTCACTTGACCACCAGCCCCAGCTAATCTTGTGGGTCACTTGACCAACAGGCCCCAGCTAATCTTGTGGGTCACTTGACCACTAGGGCCCAGCTAATCTTGTGGGTCACTTGACCACTAGGGCCCAGCTAATCTTGTGGGTCACTTGACCAACAGGCCCCAGCTAATCTTGTGGGTCACTTGACCACTAGGGCCCAGCTAATCTTGTGGGTCACTTGACCACCAGGCCCAGCTAATCTTGTGGGTCACTTGACCAACAGACCCCAGCTAATCTTGTGGGTCACTTGACCACTAGGGCCCAGCTAATCTTGTGGGTCACTTGACCTCCAGGCCCAGCTAATCTTGTCGGTCACTTGACTACAGGGCCCCAGCTAATCTTGTTTGTCACTTGACTACAGGGCCCCAGCTAATCTTGTGGGTCACCTGACCACCAGGCCCCAGCTAATCTTGTGGGTCACTTGACCACCAGGCCGCAGCTTATCTTGTGGGTCACTTGACCACCAGGCCGCATCTAATCTTGTGGGTCAATAGACCACCAGGCCCAGCTAATCTTGTGGGTCACTTGACCACCAGGGCCCAGCTAATCTTGTGGGTCACTTGACCAACAGACCCTAGCTAATCTTGTGGGTCACTTGACCACCAGGGCCCAGCTAATCTTGTGGGTCACTTGACCACCAGGCCCAGCTAATCTTGTGGGTCACTTGACCAACAGACCCCAGCTAATCTTGTGGGTCACTTGACCACTAGCCCCCAGCTAATCTTGTGGGTCACTTGACCACCAGGCCGCAGCTAATCTTGTGGGTCACTTGTCCACCAGACCACAGCTAATCATTTAAGATATTTCCCAGTTATAAATCCATGTCTTACCTTCAGCTAGTGTAACAGCAAGGAGCAGAGTTAAGACAAGTCCCACTCGAGACATCTGAAATTAGAACATAGGCCTAATTGATAACTAGCCAAACCGATGTCCCGAGTTCGAATCCCCGGGCAGATAAGGCTCGATATTTTTTTTTTAAATTAAGAAGATTCTTTTAAATAATAATAATAAATAATAATAATATACAGTAATTAATGCTACTTAATAATAACAATACTAATTAAAAATAAGAATAAGAAATAATAAGTAATTAGACATTTTAAAAATAAAAATAAATAATTGTAAGTGATAATATTAAGTGATAAATGATAATTAATAGCCCCTAATCATAAATAATAAAACAAGCGTAATAAATAGTTCCAATAAATAGGATAGCTTTAATGTAAATAAACTACAAAGTAATAAAGCAGTCGCCACGTTGTTATTTTGTATAAAAAATAATATAGATCTATATAACATCGACCCATATAGAATCTACAGTGTACACTACACATGAGAAGAAAATGTACAATCGCAAATGTATAATTATTGTTGTGTTACACAAGAAAATACTCCTTCATAAATGCCTCTTTTAGAAAATTTAGATATCTATAATCAAAGTATCTGCTAAAGATCTAGATCAAGATCAAGATCTAGATCTAGAATCTAGATTACTAGATTCAACTACGTACGTAGGTTGATGTAACTATAGATCTACAAATACGTTGAGATCTAAATTCAAAATCTAGAGATCTTAAATATTTTAATACTTTTTATTGCAATGCTTAAATGAAAATTAACCTGTTTACCTATAAGCTTTAAACATGACTATTACGGAACGTATTATTAGATAGCATCCATACTATTAATAATTCGACCGCCATTTTGTCTGGGTCGCATTCGTCGTAAAATATATGGTGTACCATAGTATTTCAATATTTAGTTTGAGGTGCGCAATTTTACGTTTTTCATAAAGGTAACCATAGATCTTTGTTACTGTAGAAAATTTAGATAGTCAGTAAACTACGAAAAACATGATTTTATTTTCATATAATAATGAGATTCAGCCTACATGCCATTAAGTAGGAACATAAAATTAATAACAATAACATTAAAACAGAAGAAAGACAACATACGTCAGTACTAACACCATCACGCAACTAATTAATTATTGACTAATCGAAGAAGTGTTAAAAGTAACACCTACACCTAGATTTAATTAGATCAACGGTTCTCAAATTTGTATGTCAATCGACATACGCTAGAAAATGACGCGTGTACTGTAGTTGAATGTTTGTGCAGAAATTACATATGTTTTAGATACAAACATAATACAGTTTTTAAAAAGGCGTAGCTAGGTGGGCGTGTGCGGTGACTGCCCGGGGTGCCTACCCTAGGGAGGCGCCAAACAGAATGGAAAAATATTTCTGAAAAATCATTTTAAGCTGCATTACTATATTATACATAGCTAAATTTAAGTAAATATACCGTTGCTCTGTTTTTATGTGCTTATTTAACTATTTTCTACATCAATTGTGTGACACCAACATAAAAACAAGTTAATTAAAAAGTCTAGTGACAATTTTAGCGCAATTTCCTTATATCGAACCTCAGCTTATTAATAAGGTACAAAAAAAAACGTTTGATTTAATAAGTAAATTAAATCGAGATAAATCATATATTGAGCAAATAAATAATGCAACACAAGTAGTTTTAAAAATTCAAAACAAAATAGAAAAAAATATTTATTAACGAGATTTTTAAAAAAAATCCTTTCGAACCTCCACTCATTCGCTATGGTAAAATCCTTTCGAACCTCAGCTTATTAATAGGGTACAAAAATAACGCTTGAATTAATAAGTAAATTAAATCGAGATAAATCATATATTCAGCAAATAAATAATGCAACACAAGTAGTTTTAATAATTCAAAACAAAATAGAAACTAGCCTCCCGTATCAGTCGAAAAAAAGGGGAGAGTAGCCTCCCGTATCAGTCGAAAAAAAAGGGGAAAATTTTTAAAAATCCTTTCGAACCTCCGCTCATTAAAATCCTTTCGATCCTCAGCTTTTGCGTTTAAAAACCTACAAGATGCTCAGTTTAAAAATTCTTAATTAATTTTTTGTGACCGAACGAAAGGATATTTTTGAAAACTTTCTTCGGCAATATTGGTTTAAATTATGGCAGGAATCAATTGGTAAATGTTTCAAGTCGCTAAGTGGTCTGGTTGCCGAGATATGGAGCCAAAACTGCATTTTTTTCGAGGTTTTTTGGCTTTTCCGGGAAATCCATGAAAGAAACCCGGAATTTTTATGGCCTATGTTCATCCTCGTAACTTGCTTAACATAACTGCTTTTGGAACTAGTCATCGATATTGCTTCGTTGAGGAGGAGATACGACTTAAACCTGCGGACACACATCCATCCATCCATCCATTCATTCATACATCCAGAAATGACGGGTTAATAAACGCAATTCTCCAGAATGGAAATTGCGCTAAAAACACATTAAGACACAGTGACTGGTAAACATGGCAACCGTCCTTTTTTTAAAGGGGGGGGGGGGTCGTGGCGCTTTTCTGCCAATGCAAAAAGTGAATTACTATACAAATGAAAGAGGGGGGGGGGGCAAGTTGATAGTTCGCCCTGGGGCCGGAACATGTTGCTACGTCTCTGATTAAAAAGAACATCGTGTGTGGTGTTATTAAATTAATAATAGTTAATAATAAATAATATCTGGTCGTTGTACCACAGACCACAATATGGGAACCTCTGAATAGGACAACAAGTCTAAGGGGACGTTACTCTCTACCGACATTAAATGTCTATATTTCATCATGTTGTGGCTTTTTGTGTTCCTTCAACTCATCTTTTTAAACCATGGCAGCGAGGTACTGTTTTATTTGTATCTAATGTATACACGTTAATCATATTTTCATTCTTGCTATCATTTTACCTTGTGGGTCCCAATATAATATTTGTTTAATAAAGTGAAGCGGGTTTTCTAACATTCGTCCAACCCCCTCCTCCACTTTTATTTGAATACTTTATTATATATAGTGGATTGTATACAACTTAAAACGAAGTCGTGTTAGTGATATTTTGTCGGTTTCCAGGAGACTTTTGTTACATTCACTAGTATTTTATACCTCATAATGGAAAATAGATGTGGAAGTACATTCAGAATGTGTAGATTTCATAATCCGTCTTGGTTGTTTAATAGGGCTTGTTAGTAGGTCACCAACATGTTTTCGTACTTGCCAGCTAGCATTTTTCAAACAAAAAGTCAATATCTAAATCGTTAAAAAATTTAAACAGAAACATTTCTTCCGCCTTTGTTGTGTAATGATAGACTACAAGATGTAGACTAGTTTAAAGAAAAAAAAGAAGCTTACAGTTTTTTAATATTTTTTTCAAATCCATAACGAGTTTGCCTAAACGTAGACACAATAATCTAACCCTACAAGAAATTACTTACTTTAATTCTATTATCTTTAAAATGTTTATAAATTTTGCATTTTGGGTATTCTTAGTATCATAGAACCTTGAAGCAAACTGGGAATCAATTAATTTAGTTCGAAAATTCATATCTCTCCCTGGCTAACGAGATTTCAAATTTTAAATCAGAGAACACGAGACTTGCAAGCCCTATTATGGTGGATATTTTAGTCTAGTATTGAAAACGTACTATGTTAACCGGAAAACCATTTTAAATATACCATGCTAAGCTTAATGTTGAAAAACAACTCAATAAAATGTGATTAGATACAGTGGCATAGCGAGGTCAGGTGTCACCCGGTGCGGCACTTAATGGTGTCAACCCCCCAGAGGCATAGAGACCCTTTCAAACTTTCAAATTTTCGATTTGCACCCCCCCCCCCCACGAGTTTTTCTCTATATATTTTGCTATTTTTTGCCTTGGTGTCATCCCCCTAAATGGTGTCACCCGGTGCGGTCCGCACCCCCCGCCCCCCTCGCTACGCCCCTGATTAGATACACAAAGCTTTATCTTAACTTTGAATTTAAGTGGAGAGATGCCGTCAGGTTTACAAGCCCTGAAACAGCTCTGGTATCTGGCACATCAGTTACACTAGATCAGCTGGTGGTGATGATGGAGACGTTGATGACAGATTTAAACACAGGTAAAATAATGTAATGCATGTATGTTCTTTAAATTTAAGATACATTAAATAGGAATTTAATTGCATACAATTTAATTTAATACGTATTGCTCTTTTTAAATTATTAGAAATGTACTGGGTCAGGGGTTGGCAACCTTTTACTACGGAAGAGCCAAAAGTTACAATTTACAAAATTTCCTAGTTTTTAAAGAGCCACTAACATTTTTATTTCAATATTTGGTATTTGTTTAGGATTAGGTAAATACTTTTTATTTGCTATTTAAAATAAATAGCTTTAAATATGAAATAATATTTATAAAAAAATTCACTTGTTTCGCCAGAATAATGAAATTAAACTTTTAAAAATACTATAAGTCTATATCCCAATCCACTTTATAAGCAGTTTGACTTATTTTTTTATTTACGGACACCACCGGCTCAGGCTCCTAGCCAGGCAGCCCTCAACACGACAAACTCTGACTAACTGACTTGGGTATCGGTGTGATTACCGTGTATCGGTCACTTCTGTTCTTTGGTTCTCACCAGGCTTATCTTCCACCCCACTGAACGCAGGGTAAACTCGTACCCCACCGTCCAGTACCCGGCTCAACAGTAGGACGCAAGCATGGAATTGTTGCCACGGGGCTGGCCACAGCACGGCTGAGGGGCTGGGTTTGGTGCCCAAGCGGCTGTCAGCTGTCCGTGTACTCTCTACTCCACCTATTCTCATTGTTCTCTGATGAGTGTTTTTATTCTGTTTAAAGTTGTGTTTCTTTACAGCATAATTTTTGTTATGAGGTTTGAAAATGAAACAATATAAATATTAATATTTGTACAAGGAGCTGGAGAGCCGCAACTTGACATCAAAAGAGCCGCATGCGGCTCGCGAGCCGCAGGTTGCCGACCCCTGTACTAGGTCTATGTTAATTTCGTTCGGGGGGGGGGGGGGGATCGACTTTCTTCGAGGGGGGAGAGCACACCCCCCCCCCCCCCAGCCGGAATAGTTGCCTGGTAGAAATTTGTTCTCTTATTATTTTTTAGCATTTAATTACCGTGGCATTTTCTAAGGTTTATAAAAGGCAATATAAGGTGACGTATGGGGTGTAAAGACCAATAGACCTATTGGTTACTGTCCAGTACTACATCTTTGCCGAGGTTACAGAAACAAGTGAACTCTACTTCACTTGCCCCATAGACCGTCAGGGAACTTTACTTTTACTACATCTCTGTAGATAATATGTAGCCATTGTTCGACTTACAAGCTTTAGTATTTAATTCCCGTGGCTATTAAAAGATTTACAGCATATACGCGACGTCTAGGCTTGAAGCTGGTTACGACGTTGTGGATTATTTTTTCGGTTTGTATCTAAAAGTTTGTTGTATATATTTTGATGAGCTTTTCTATCTGCATTTTTTTAAAGAGATTCATTTTCGTCTAGCCGAGCTGGACTAACGCAGTATGATTAATATTATCTTCAGTTTGAAATTATGGTTTTTATATTTCTAGGCATTTTGAAAGCGAACCTCCTAGAAAGTACAAAGAAAATTGCTCGTGTGAGCGGTATTCTAATGGAACAACTTGTAGATAAAGGTAACCATAGATCGCTTTTACTGTAGAAAATATAGATATTCAGTAAACTACGACAAAAATGCTTTTTTTTTAATATAATAATGAGATTCAGCCTACATGCATTTAATTAGAGACATGTTTCAATATGTTCTCTATCATAGTTAAATTTAGTTTCTATATAGAGTAAAAATGTCTTTTCAAATATAAATACACTAGTACACACATATTGCAAATATTGTTGATGTTTATTTGCGATTCAATACCCGTCCTAATTTTTTGTTTTTAATTTTAAATTTTATTCAATTAATTTTTAAAATGTTTTCTTAAAATTTTTTAAAGCTAAAAGTTAAACTATTCTGCCTTAGGCTTAAAGTAGAGCATACTTATCCTAATTTTGTTAAGATCTCGTTAAATGTGAAAGTGAAGTTTTTAAATTTACAGGTGACGAACAACGATTGAAGGAGATTGAAGACGTCATAACGAGAGCACTTCAATGGAGAAGTACACGTACGACTGATGCTTGTTTTGTTTTTTTTACTTAGTGTGATGAACTACGTTGTAATCAGTTAGCTTAATGCATAATTGGTTTAAACATTTAGCATGTATTTTCCAATAGTATCTCGACATATTTTATTGATAACGTGGTAAAAGTCGAATCTTTTCCTCTAAACTAATCATTTTGATTCGTTCTGTTGACAGTTTCAGCCCTATTTAATTGATAAGGCAACAGTTATTAGAAAAAAAAAATCTGCATCTGTGTTTATTTTAAATTAGCTACTCTAAATTTCGCATCTAACTAAAAATGTTTATATAAATGGCAGAATCGAAGGAAATGAACAGTGTTCAGTTGAAAAGAGCGATGAGCATCTGGGAGGAGTCCACGCAATATCTGCTCACAAACAAAGGTTTGGTAAGAGGGGCGTGGGGGGGGGAGGTGAGCGGGAGGGGAGGGATGAAGGGACCGTGGGAAGAGCCGGTTGGCGTGTTATACAAAATTGATCAAACTTGTTATATGTTATTAAATATTACAAATGCTTTAATATTTTATATTTTTCTTCATTTAGTTTTGAATTGACTTCAGATTAAATTTTTTGGTTTAAGTTTGGTTAAAATTAGTTCTTTCTCGACAGATAAATTAAAGAACATTGCAGTGAATGAGGTCATCTTTACCATTAAAACATCAGCTGTCGCTGTGTACGACACACTACAAAATATGGGTAAATGGAAAATATTTATCATCATTGTTAATATTAGTTTTAAGCTCATATTCTATTAAACATTTGGTTTTTTTTGTTTCTTAAATATTTTTTTTCGAATTTCGTCTACACTATTTTCTATCATTTTCTTTCAATGATTAATGTTATAAATTAAGTAAGCAAAGTTGAACGGAGTGGTCTAGCTGTAAACCACTCAGTAGCGTAGCGAGAGGTGGGGGAAAAAGGGGGGACATATGTCCCCGGGCGCCTACCTTAGGGGGCGCCAAAATGGGTTGGAAAAATAAATTGAAAGGTGTTGAGGGGGGTGCAAATTGAAAGTTGGAGGGGGATGCAAATCAAAATCTTGAGGGGGGGGGGGGGTGGAAATCGAAAAGTTTGTCCCCGGGCGCCGGGAAGGGTCGCTACGCCTCTGAAACCACTGTACTGCTAACCCGGAAGTGCTCGAGTTCGAATCGCGATTCTAGTCAGTAGAACATCACTGAGTCCATCGAGATCTGATACGTAGATAACTTACGTTAGGGAAAGTAAAGGCAGTCTTGGCACCATGCATACCACTACCACACTAGTTCTTCATACACCGAGGTCACAAAAACAGATAAACTCTACTTCACATGACCCATAGACGGTCTGGTTTGAAAGGAAGTTTTACTTCAATGTAAATGTTTTATGGCAATATTCAAATTTAAACCTCTGGTTTTCAGGACTATTTATCCACACTATTTATTATCATTTTCTTTCATTGGTTAAAGTTATAACGAGGTAAACAAAAATAGTAAAGTTACCCTTTCGGTCTGTGGATTTTATGAAGTCGTTTTCACCAGTTTCAGTATGAAAGTATAGTGTGTTTAGAACCAAGGCCAGCACCCTATTACTTTTCTTGAGAGTCGGGAACCCATCAGTGTGGAATCAATGGCGTCTTACGGACTGGTTCTAGGGATCCGAACTTGAGACCTTCAGATGAACAGGCTTACGCTCTACCATCCGACCACGCCGATCCATAGTTATAACTTCTGGAATTTAATGTTTACTTTCTTGTATATGGAGAATAGGCAGTAATGTAAACCGGCAGAAATTTGAAATCGGTTTCTTTACAAATATTGACCTTTAGCACTTTCTGCATTCCAAATAATCCAGCTTTTAAATGTCGTCTGTATGTGTGTGTATCTGTGAGTATGTATCTATGAGTCTGTGTTTGTGTGACAAAACGATTACTTAGTATCATTTCAGTTCGATAGATGAAATATAAGTATTGTATCCTACATTTAGGCATGTATCAGTTTTGGAGTGATTTCTGTGAACCTTAATTAGTACTTTATTTCCAGTTTTAAAAAAAAAGCAACCATCTGAAGTTGAAAAGAGAAAGTTCTAATAAACTTTCAACTACATGTTTTCCCAAACATTTAGCGGTTCTTTTTGTAAATTTGCCAATCATTTCTATAGCCGGATTCCGTACTTTCTCAACCTTTACTGTTGTATATTTATATACGTGTACTGTTATATATTTAGATACGTGTACTGTTATATATTTATATACGTGTACTGTTATATATTTATATACGTGTACTGTTATATATTTATATACGTGTACTGTTATATATTTATATACGTCTACTGTTATATATTTATATACGTCTACTGTTATATATTTATATACGTTTACTGTTATATATTTATATACGTCTACTGTTATATATTTATATACGTCTACTATTATATATTTTTATCCGTGCAGAATTTCTTCCAGGCATCTCTTCGGGGGGGGGGGGGCGAAAAAATTCTACCGCCCCCCCCCCCCCCCGAACGAAATGAAATTTATATAATTTATATAGAAAATATATACTTTTAACAGTGTCCACCACCCCCCCCCCCCCCCCGAAGAAAGTCTACCGCCCCCCCCCCCATCCCTGAAAATTTCAAATGCCCCCCCAGAGAAAAAAATCTGGAAGAAAGACTGTATGCGTGCACTGTTTTATATTTATATACGTGTACTGTTAAACTGTTATATATTTATATACGTGTACTGTTATATATTTATATACGTGTACTGTTATATATTTATATACGTGTACTGTTATATATTTATATACGTGTACTGTTATATATTTATATACGTGAAAGCCTAATGGAACTCATTACCTTGTTACCCTACAGATCAGGACATCTTCAGATATCCAAAAGTCAACAACGAAAGCGTTGATCGTGAGTGTTTTTTAATTGGCCATATCTTAATTAATGAACTAAGACGCAAAGTATTACTTAAGACAGACCTACACATACAGATATAGACCTACCTCTGTCATTTTTTTCGACATCCAAAAGTATGTTGATGTTATTGATTTTCGCAATATTGTATGTTCTATGTTTAATTATCTATTTGCTAAAAATAATTAAGGAACATGCGCTCGTGTAGAGCATAATGAAAACAAAAAAATTTCATAAAAAGACAACTTTGTGGCATTTTCCACGCAATAAAATTAAATTTTTAAAACACATGACCTACTTATGCTATGATTATCTACATTTTTAGCGAGGAAAAAAAACTAAATTGTTTTTGTTTTGTTTTATTTGTTTAGTTACCGAAAATTATATAAACATCAAATACGCCCAACCTTTAGTAAAGCAAGTCAAAAACCAGACAATCAAGTTTTTATACTACATTTAATTTAATAACACCACACACGATATGTTAAATATTTAATTGAAACTTCGGGGGCTTTTCTCTCTTATCTATTAGTGTTTTTACATGATTACGAGGTATCGCTTATCACGAACACATCATTTGGGTGTTGTTTAAGATATTATTTTATAAGAAATAAAAAAGTGAGTAATATATTTCAGAGGTTTTGTGGGGTTTAATGAGGGGCTTTTATCTCTCGAACGATACGAAGCCAGGGTGAAATATGAAGGATGGTGAGGTTATACTTTTCAAATATGAGAGTTTTCTTTTAGCAACCAGCTATCGAAATCTTGGGTTCGAGCGAGTAGGACTTCCCTGAGCCCACCCAGCTGTTATGGGTACCACCTGATTCACGTTAGGGAAAACAAAGGCAACTGGGCGTAGTGCTGACCACACACTATATCTGTATAATCCGATATCACTAAAACAGATGAACTCCACTTCGAAACCCTATAAACGTATCGATAGAAAATGTACATTACCATCTACCACATTTTTTTTGTTGATGTTGTTTTTATTTTATTTTATTTTTTATTTATTTATTGTATTTTTTTTCTAGAAAAAACGACACATTTAGTAAAAAATATTTTATCTACTATTTAGCTTCATGGACCAAACCTAAACGGAAGTTCTGCCTAGGTATTCATGTTTGGGGAGTTTGTGTTGGAGCATACGTCTCTTAACGTACCTTGGATAACACAAACTAGAGGAAAACTGGAATAGTGTTCATATTCACCGTAACGCGGAAATTAAATAAAATTTTCAATTATACGCCTGAGAGTATTCTAAAGTTATTTTTTTAAAAGCAATAATCTAGATTGTTAAGTTATGTCCTGTTAGTTATTGTTACGTCCCTTGTATTATGTATATCACAGTTATGTCCCTTGAATGTTTAGTCTCTGTTTACCGTGTTAGTGTGTAGTGTGTTATTAGTGAGTTATCTCAGATGGAAGTCTGAGACAACACGTGTGATCGGAGCTCTGATGTATGTAGAACAACGTTCTGAAGGCAAGGTGAAGAAGTCTCTTGTTTATAATGAACGAGCCGGCCCGCGGCATAACATACGCCGCTATTTAGTTGTTTCTAATTTTCAATAATTCATAATTTGTGAATTCGACAGTACCAACGCTGACACTGAAAATATTTCTTTAAAACACTATAAGTAGCTCGTTAAGGACGATAACCCCCCCCCCCCTCCTCCTCCCCTCACCCTCCGTTAAAGTAAACTCCACTTAGTTACCCCCCCCCCCTACGTTTAAAATAGTTTCAAACTAAATTATCTGCCCCTAATAGTCGTCACTAAACCCGGCTCTGTTTGTAAACATTTAGAGTGAACCACAGCTCACCAGACCATGTAGGGGTGGGGGTGGTAGGGAGCGCGTTTACAGCTTGTTTTCTAGCGTCTCCCAGAAGAGAATTATATATACACGAGCCGGCCCGCGGCATAACATACGCCGCTATTTAGTTGTTGTTTTTTTTCTACTTTTCAGTAATTCAAAATTTGTGAATTCGACAGTACCAACTGAAAATATTTCTTTAAAACACTATAAGTAGCTCGTTAAGGACCATAACCCCCCTCCCCTCTTCCTCCCCCCCCCCCCCGCTCCTCTACGTTTAAAATCGTTGGCTCTGCTTGTAAACATTTAGAGTGAACACAGCTCACTAAAACCATGTAGGGGTGGGGAGGTAGGGAGCGCGTTTACAGCTTGTTTTCTAGGCACGTTTGCAGCTTGTTTTCTAGCGGCTCCCAGAAGAGAATTATATATATAGATATGATAGACAACACATATTGTTATTATATATATATATATATATATATATATACTAGCGTACCCGTCCCCCGCGCGTTGCCGCGGGGATAGAAGAAAGTCTGACGAAATATATTAGAAGGATATCACCAATGCATTACCAATCATATGTTCTTACACGCGTCACCTTGTTTTCTAAAACTGTGTTATTTAAATGTTAACAACGCCTGCGCTTGGATAATAATTATCGGGACACGGGTTTTCCTACACTACCGCATGAAAACCTTGAGTGTATATTAATCACTCACCGAAATAATTAGTTAGAACACACGTCGGTGACCAACAATATGTCAGGGACGTAGAGGGGCGCTCTCAGGAGCCCCCCCCCCCACCCCCCGATTACATTACCGCAGAGGCGCAGCGTAAGGCCCCTGGCTCCTTAAAACTAACAGGCGCCATCGTGCTCATAGGATAACCCAGCGTGCCAAATAGCATCCTGTAAACAATGATGCAGATTTCGTCATTCGCTAAAGTGACACAAATGAACAGGATTTTTTTCTTTAACACATACAAAAATTATTTGACGTGTTTTCAACATCAGTTTGACTGATGCAATATGCTAGCGTTACTAATGGTCTATTATTAGATGCTCGGTCTCATTTTCGGCCTGGATCGTCTAATAATAGATGCTTATTGCATCATTCGCAAAGTGACGAAACTCTACAGTAGATTACTCATATTCAAACCGTTATTTTTTCATCTTTCGCAAGGTGACGAAACTGTACAGGGTTTCCTCGCGTTACAAAGTTATTTTTAGAAGCCTGTTGTAGTTTTACCGCTGAATATAGTAGTACCCCTTACTCGCTATGCAGGACGCTCGATTAAGGGATGTCAATAGCCAACTTAGTCGATCTAAAACCAGTGTTTCTTCCAGACTTTTTTCTCCGGGGGGGCACTTGAAATCTTCGGGGGGGGGGGGGGGCGGTAAACTTTCTTCGGGGGGGGCGGACACTGTTAAAAGTATATATTTTCTATATAAATTATATAAATTTCATTTCGTTCGGGGGGGCGGTAAAAAATTTTCGGGGGGGGGCAAAGCCCCCCCGAAGACATGCCTGGAAGAAACTCTGTCTAAAACTCGGCGCCAAACCGTGTATTGACGAAAGTTGTACCCTATATGGAGCCGCCCGTAAGAAACTTTAGTTTTTTTTTTTCGCAGAAATATTCTCGGGAGTATTCTCATCTAGATCTTCTACTCCCTAAAGTTTCATGGCACTCGGGTGAACGGTGTGAAAACGAAATTTTATAAACCGTATATAGAGAAAAATCGCAGCCGCCCGTGGCGCCGCCCTTGCGAAATTAATAAAGGTTTTTTTTTTTACAGAACCCTTCCCTGAATTGTTCTAATCAACTCCCCCAAAGTCTCATGGCTATCGGTTAACGGTGTCACACCAAAATCGACTTATTTTTATAAACCGTATATAGAGAAAAATCGTACCCTCCCGTGGCGCCGTCCTTGCGAAATTAAAAATGATTGTTTACAGAACCCTTTCCTATAGTTTTATAATGAACTCCCCAAAGTTTCACGGCGATCGTGTGAACGGTGTCACCTCAATTCACTTTTATTATTTTTATATACCGCATAAAGAGAAAAAAAAACAAATCGCGCCCTACCGGGGCGCCACCCCTGCAAATTTGAAAATGTTTTTAGCGCAGAAATCTCCCCAGTTATATTTTCTACATGTTCCCAAAGTTTCATGGCGATCGTGTGAACGGTGTCACCGCAATTCACTATTATTTTTTTATATACGTATTAGAGAGAAAAATCGCACCCTCCTGTGGCGCCGCCCTTGCGAAATTAAATATGATTTTTTTACAGAACCCTTCCTCAGAGTGTCCTAATCAACACCCCCAAAGTTTCATGCCTATCGGATGAACGGTGTCACTGCAATTCACTTTTATTATTTTTATATACCGTATATAGAGAAAAATCGCACCCTCCCGTGGCGCCGCCCTTGCGAAATTAAAAAATTATTTTTTTACATAACCCTTTCCTAGAGGGTTATAACGAACTCCCCAAAGTTTCATGCCTATCGGATGAACAGTGTGAAATCAAAATAGACTTTTATTTTTATACACCGTATATAGAGAAAAAACAAATCGCGCCCTGCCGGGGCGCCACCCCTGCGAATTTGAAATTTTTTTTTTCGCAGAAACCTCCCCAGGAATATTCTCAACAACTTCCCAAAGTTTCACGGCGATGTGATGAGAGGTGTAGTAATGCATAAAGGACAGACAAACAAACACACACACATACATTGCTTTATATATATATATATATATATATATATATATATATATATATATATATATATATATATATATATATATACACTTAGACGTAATGCGTACATATACTTTTTCCAAGTTTTACATTTTAAGCAAATTTAAAAATTAAGATAATAAAAAAAAGAAATTTGTTAATTTGAAAAAATATTGGGTTTTACAACCTGCAAAGTTAGAGAACTTGAAATTAATTATATCTTTTAGGCAACATTTCTATTGGCAGAATCAGCGGTTGTATTACGTCACAGCTTTTCATTTATAAGATAAAACTTTGTAGGTACATTTTTATACGGCGTAAAATATAGTTATTCATTAGGTATATCCCTATAAAGGTTAATGTTTTGATCTTTTTGTATTGAACATCGACATAATTTACTTAACTCTAGTTTGCTTTTTATTTAAATTAATTACATGACGAATGGAAATTTGTTTGTCCTGTTACTGAAAATACTAATGCCAAAAAAAAGTATACTATCTGTCGAAAATTCAGACTAAGTCAGACTATATAATTTGTTTAATGACACTTTTTTCAATACAACTGCGCACGATTTGTTAAATAATTAAGTACCTACTTATATTCAGAGATGGGCCACACATTTTCAAAGACCACGGATGTCTAAACTCATTCAATATTTCATAATGATAAAAAGTGCAACTGCTTAATTAATAAGTATGTAAAATGTCTACCACTCACCCAACTCCGAACGAAATAGAAATTTATATGGAAAATATATTATACATTGACTAGCTGCACCCCCCCCCCCCCCGGAAAATTTAGTCCGCCACCCCCCCCCCTCTTCCAAAAAATATCAAGTGACCCACCAGAGAAATAATGTCTGGAAGAAACACTGAATGGAAGTGACCAGTGTTTCTTCCAGACTTTTTTCTCCGGGGGGGGGGGCACTTGAAATTTTCGGGGGGCGGTAAACTTTCTTCGGGGGGGCGGACACTGTTAAAAGTATATATTTTCTATATAAATTATATAAATTTCATTCCGTTCGGGGGGGCGGTAAAAATTTTTCGGGGCGAAGCCCCCCCGAAGAGATGCCTGGAAGAAACTCTGGAAGTGACTGAGTTGACGTGAATCCTTCCATCATATTGATGATATAAATCAGGGGTCTCCAAACTACGGCCCGCGGGCCGGATGCGGCCCGCGAAGTTCTCTCATCCGGCCCGCGGAGATCTTTTTTGTTCAAGGAAAAATCGTTTGTTGGTGGTGGCTGGGGAACTTTGCCCAGAAAAATCAAAGTCACGCCTGGAAGAAACTGGCCCCCGAACTGAAATTTAATAGTTAATGCGGCCCTCGGACTGAAAAGTTTGGAGACCCCTGATATAAATCAAAAACGTGGTTTTTAAAAAAGATTTCGCAATCAAAACGACCGTAAAAATAATTCAAATTAAAAACTCAAGTGTAAAATAAATTCAGAAATTTAATATTCTTAGAATCAATTTTATAAAAGTTTCAAATCCAGAGAACTTGAAAATATTTTTTTGCGTTTAGGGCTTCATTTCTATTTATTTTCATCATGCCTAAGTTATAACCCGATGTTTCACTTTCGTAAGACGAACATTGATTGGCTGTACAGGAACTCCGTGATCGATTTCTAACAGCACCACATCATATTTTTTGTTCACAAAAACGTGCAGATATAGTTTTTAAATTACAATACAAATTTAAACCACATGACCAACATAGTTCTGCCATTTTTTATTTACAGTAAAATTTATGCTAGTCTATCGAACAGTAGTTATGGCTTTTTTAAATGTCGCCAATGCACCTGAAAATGCTTTTGTTTTTAATTTTTACTTAGTTATCATAAATGTTAAAAACACCAAATACATCCAATCTTTAGTAAATTCCGAAAAAAACCAAACACACAGGATTTTCAACCATATTAATTTTAACTAGATCTATACACAGTATGATTTTTAAAATATTTAATGGGCCTCTCGAATACCTTTAAGACTTTTCTCGCTTGGGTCCATTAAAGTTAAAGAAAATCAAATTACTTTTTTAAATATGCACAGCACATTGTATTTAATTTGTTCAAACAACTTAAAGCGCACCGTTCAGCACCTTATCGTAAATATCAATACAAGGAAGCTGTTTCCCTAACGCATTAATTTTGTCGCTGTCTTGATTAGGCCTGTTTTAGCCAACTAATCTAGAAATCTAGATCTTGATCGAGATCCATATTTCATTAAGTAGCCTACAAAAGCATTTTAATTTCTTAAGATGGCAAAGTTAAATGAGACCACTGCAGATGGAAGCAAAAGATTTAAGACAGACTTCCCAAAATATAACGATGATAACAAATCAGAAGACAAGTATCAAGGGGTCCAGTTACCGATGGAGATCCTATTAAAAATATTCTCTTACCTCAACAAAGTTGAATTGTTAAGGATGGGGACTATGTGCAGGTCTTGGAGGGATTTGATCCACAATACGCCCAGTTTATGGCGAAATATACACTTGGATTTATCCTGTAATCGAAAATCAGCCCACAACAGAAGAACTTTCTGGTACGCACAGCAGTTTGGAATGAACTTCTGGAATTTATCTGTCTCGTGCTCTCACGAACATGAATCTGACGTTTGCAAATTCATGGGCGTCGACTTCCGGAAATTGTTACTCACCATGCAACCACCGAGTCTAAGGTCGATAAAAATAACTGACCTTGAGCTTCGAGGCGCGTTACTCAATACTGTAAAAGTAATTAGAGAGATGCTAATTCAAACTTTAAACAGGACTGACGGACTACATAGCTTCAAAATGTCCGCTCTGTTTAGTGTTGAAGAAGGCAGCAAGGTTCTTGACGCTGTTTTTTCCGTGTCTCGCGGAACTCTAGAGACTCTCTACATCGACAGGTTTTTTAGAAAGTCCTTGTTGTATTACCATAGGAATGAACATGACAAACTGACCAATGGCATCCTTTCTCTTACTCGCTTGACCAAACTGGGGATCGATTACTTACAACTTACTGATGGTTTTTTGACGGCCCTGTCTAGATCACACGCCGGACAGCTGAAGAGACTGAAAGTTGTGGCACGAGATTTGAAGGAGGACGTACCACGCTTTAATTATTATAATCATAGTAATACGCTAGCGACAGACTCCTGGTTGCCTTTGGTAAGAATACGTTAGACACGCTTTGGTAGTTTTGATAGTATCGTAACCTGAAATGTGTCATTGTTAGGAGAGTATATGTCAAGAACGGGACAAAAAGCAGCCCCCATCTGTTCAACTACTGGTCAACTACTAGTCTCTCTTGACGCCGATATATATATATATATATATATATATATATATATATATATATATATATATATATATATATATATATATATATATATATATATATATATGCATAATTTATAAGCTTACCGTGAACTCACAGTCCTAAGGCGCGGACACTCACTTGGAGTGGCTCATTAGTTTTAAGTAATTGTGGCTTACAAATCAGTAAACTTTTCTGGGGCGATTGGGTTTTACCTTTGATCCTAAGGACCGATTGGGCAGGTGAACTAACATTAATTTGTTTCTTGATGTGTCTAGTCAGCCCAGCTTAGTTTTTTCGAGGCATTTCTTCAGGGGTGGGGGCGTTGTCCCCTCCCCAAAAGAAAGTTTACCGCCCCTCCCCCCCCCCCCCCCCCCCCGAACGAAATGGGACTTATATAGAAAACATATACTGATGTCCGGAAAAAAGGCTTAAAGAAACACCGTGCCAAGCCGCCTTTATTTAATTTCCATAGCGAGTCAGGTACACAGAAAGAGCTGAGTGGACTCAAGTCTGAGATATGATCACCCCATTTCTGGATAAGCAGTCGATGAATCTACCACCCAGCAACGCCTTTTCATAAGACTTGATTGTGTTGCTCCTATTATTATTTTTCTCTGTACGCAAATTATCATTTGTTGAAGTACAGGTACACTCGTCTGATTAACCTTGTAGCGAAAGTAAAAAAGTGGAAACATAAGTTGGGGTTTTCCTCTTGTGTTTAAAAAAAAAATCATATGTTTTTTTTCTGTTTGACATTACCAGACAAAGTCTTGCCCAGATCTGCGAGTGGTCTTTGTTACAGACGATCTTACCTTAGCAGATTTCGAGTCTATTATGGAGATTCTGAACCCGGTTATGCCCATCTACAAGATAAAGATTTTGTCCGTGTTTGAATATTTGGACGATTTGGGCTTTGAGAATGTGCTCAACGAAATCACGGCTAACTTTAAGTGGGTTTGGAACTAGATACGTTTTATATTGTTAGTGTGTCTGTGCTTGTGTGTGTGTGTTTATATATGTGTGCGTATGTGACTGTGTGTCGATGTGTGGATGTTTATGAGTGCATATTTTTCTGTGTATGTACGTGTGTATGTGTGTCTGTATTTATATCTTTGACTATGTCTTTGTCTATCGATGTGTGGGAGGGCGTGGTCAAAAGGTAGTGAGTTTGGCTTCAAGCACGAAGGTCTAGGGTTCGGATATCGGTGGAACTGTAGTACTTCCCTGAGCCCACCCAGATGTGATAGTACCTGACTTATGTTCGAGAAAATAAAGGCGGCTGGTCACACCATTCATACATATACCAAGGTCAAGAAACGTGAACTCTACTTCACCTGGCCAATGGGTCGCTAGATCAAAAGAGGAATCTTTACTCTGTCTATCTGTGGGAGTGCATGTTTGTTTGCGTGTATGTCTGCGTTCAATTGCGTATGTTTTATGGGGTATCTTTGTGTCATTGTTAGAATGTGTATGTGTGAGAAAGCAGTGGCGTAGCGAGGTCGGGTGTCACCCGGTGCGGCACTTAATGGTGTCACCACCCCCCCCCCCCCCCGCCGACTCTTCCCGGGAACAAACTTTCAATTTTCGATTTGCACCCCCCCCCCCCTAAAACATTCGATTTGCACCCCCCCCCCCCTCAAATTTTTCTGTATATATTTTTTTTTCCTTAGTGTCACCCCCTTAAATGGTGTCACCCGGTGCGGTCTGCACCCCCGCCCCCCCCCCCTCGCTACGCCTCTGTGAGAGAGTGAGTGTTTATGTATGGAATGCGGTGTAATGTAGAAGCTTAACCAAGACAGGGAGAAAGTGTTGACTTATGCATGCCGGGCTCTAGGAAACTACTCACCTAGACTAAAACCTATGTCAACAGAAACACTCTGGTCAAGTTTGAGATGGAACGCTCGAACACCGCTACCCACATTGATGCAGCTTTTCTTGATCTTGTCCGAAACTGTCAACGTCTGACGTATATAAAGGTGAGTTCTATACAAGATCACTGTACCCGGTAGCCCAGAGTTCGAACCCTCGAGTAGATAATCAGAGGCGTAGCGACGGGGTCGGGGGGCGGGGGCCAAACATTGCAAAATATATAGAAAAATTTGAGGGGAGTGGAAATCGAAAGATTGAGGGGGGGGGGTGCAAATCGAAAATTTGAAAGTTTGTCCCCGAGAAGGGTCGCTACGCCTCTGGGAGGGGGGGGGGGGGGAGATCACACCATTAAGTGCCGCACCGGGTGACACCCGACCTCGCTACGCCTCTGTAGATGATGCTCGTTAGCTGGGGGCAGCAACCCATCTAGAAAACATCGAAATCAAACAGGAGTGCAGCCCCCTTGAGCGATAGGATTACCAACTATGGTTTCCTTTGGACAGCCCCTACGATCCAGCTGTTTCCAAGGTCTACAGGTAACGTCCTGTCCCTTGGGTCAATCATCTGTGTGAAGAGAGGGGACCACGATACATGGGCAACATCTAGGTCTACTCATTTTAGGGCCCAGACTTTGTGCTTTGATTTTCAAAAGGCAATCATCCAATAGTCTATTAGACTATGAGACAATATTATTACTTTAGGCCTACAGGTAGAGGGAAAGCATTAAGACGATGCCTAAGTTTAACGAACATTGCACCCAAGGTAGAGACTGTAGGTATTATAGCGATCGCAATGATCTTATGTGAACTCAATTGGTGAGATGCACTAGGGACTACATGGGTCTAAAGCCTTCAAAGCTTGGCTCATCATCATATTGAAGTCTGAAGATTAGTGCTTGAGAGAGAGAAGGAGAGAGAGAGGGGGATAAAGACAGAGAGAACTAAGAAGAGAGAGAACGTGATGTAATAAATGCTAATTTGGGATTAAATTATTTAGCATCATATATATATATATATATATATATATATATATATATATATATATATATATATATATATATATATATATATATACATTATACATGTGTATACATATATATATATATATATATATATATATATATATATATATATATATATATATATATATATATAAATCTATGTGTATAGATAAACTAAATGCATCGTCATTTATAATTAACTATTACAACCGCTCTAACCCCTACCCCTCCTTCCCTACCCCATATTACAGGTCTCCGTCAACTTCTCCGACCCAGAGACTGAGAGGATGGCCCAGGAGCTGGTACAAGCGAGAAGGCGCCAGCTAGAGACGAGCAAGTCCCAGGAAATGCCCAACAAGCGGGCGAAACTAACCCCGGCCGACGGTCCAGGTTCGAGTCCCGCGTAGGCCACTGTTAAGCTGAACCGTCCTTAGAACCAGAAGTGAGGGTACCCCTAGCCGCCGTACAGTTACACAATGGTTTCTGACTCACCTAAAGACACTCCTGACAATCTTTTAAGGAATTGTTACATACATTGACAACTTTTGAAATTTTCTAAAAATCAATATTTTTAAAAATGTATAACAAAAATTAAAACATTCACTGATTTAACAATTAGTAAAGTATTACTTTCAAATTAAACCAAATATATACTTGTTCTTAAAATGTATTTTTTTAAGAACAATTTCACCTTTTCTAAAATTAGCTGACATAAGTCAAAGTAACAAAAATATGTTGTTTACATGCTATTAAAAATATGTAGATATTTTTGGTCTGTTGACTATTTTAATTGTTTGTTGTGCGATTTTTTTGTACGGTTAAAGTGTTTACTTCTGTAATAGAAGAACGGATGGTCCTCTCGCATATTAGTGATGTGGTTTACATGACTTTGACATGGAGACCTTCTAAAGCTAATGTTGCAACTTAGTTAAGGATAAAAAAAAAACAACGTTTATCTTCTTTATTTACGATGTATACAGAATTTTTGGATCGGGATTTTAACTCAGGGTTTTTAGCCCATGATTGTAGAGATTTTAGCTCATGTTTCTAGGGTTTTTAGCTCATGTTTAGTTCATGAATACAGGTTTTTTAACTCAGTATTGCAAGGTTTTTAGCTCATGATTGCAGGGATTTTAGCTCTTGATTGCAGGGTTTTTAGCACATGATTGCAAGGTTTAAGCTCAGGATTACAGGGGTTTTAGCGCTTGCTTGTATGTTTAAGCTCTAGATTGCAGAGTATTTAGCTCATGATTGCGGGGTTTTTAGCTCATGATTGAAGGGTTTCTAGCTCATGATTGCAGGGATTTATCTCATGATTGCATTGTCATTATCTCATTATTGCAGGGTGTTTAGCTCATGATTACAGGTTTTTTTAGCCTTAAATAAAATTTCCTGTCTGTTTTAAATTCTAGAGTTAAGAAAAATGTAGATTTCTGTATTGGTTTTGGTTTGGTCACTTAGCCTAATGATTGGTTAGCACTTAACAACTTAATCTAAGACATTATATATCTGGCTAGTTCGAATCAGAAATGTACTGGTTAGGAACCGGAATGGAACTGGAGATTTTCGAATTAACAGCCTGGCGCTCTACTGCTAAGACCACGCAGTCCCCATTTAATACCCGTAGGATAGCTGATAATGTTGCTCGCATTCTTTTTGTGTATTATATTTTGCTTAATAAATGTGCAACCAATTTACAGAATAATTAGAATACTAAACAAAAAACACAAAAAACATAAACGAAACATCCATGTCTAATGGGATATCGATTGAAATGTTTAAAGTACCTCTTTTATTTAAATAATTATAGACATACAGTGTTTCTTCCAGAATTCTTTCTCCAGGGGGGGGGGGGGGAGGGCACTTGATATTTTTCGAGGGAGGGGGGTGGCGCGGACAACATTTACTGGGAGGGGGGTCGGACACTATTAAAAGTATCATTATGTTTTCTATATAAATTCCATTTCGTTCGGATGTGGGGGGGGGGGGGACGCCGAAGAGATGCATGGAAGAAACTCTATACATATACAACACAGCTTTATGTATGTATACATTTAAGTATAGCAGATACTAGTAAATGTTTTTCAAAATGGTAGCAATGATCAAAATCATAAGATTTGTGTTTTACCAAAACCCAGTAGAAGCACAATGTCAGTGTCAGTAAAATACATTTCCCTTGTCTAAACTGACGGTCCATGGGATAAGTGATATAGAGTACTGTGATGACAGCGTATGAAGGGATAGTTTGGTCAACGCAGTGCCCAGCCGCCTTTACTTTCCCTAACGTGAGTTAGGTACCCGTTAGAGATTGGTGGACTCAGGGACGGACTACTGACTTAAACCCGGATTTGAACTCGATACTTTCAGGTTAGCAGTCTAGCTCTCTACACAAGTTCCCATTACAGTATCAGAAATATATTATAATCAAGGATTATTTAGGAGTCAAATACTCTATTACCTTACCCCGCCGCGTCTCAAAATATCAACAAATGGAACCTCGGATCCAAATTATCCGATGCCATTGATTTATATTTTACAAACAGGCACATCAACAATGAAATTTTGCACACTTCATTGTGTGCATCGTTCTGCGCAGGTGCGTTCATATAAGAAGGAAGTTGAATAACGCGCCTTTATGACGTGGTGTCGCATTGATATTTTCAGAGGTGTTTTTTTCCACACATTGAAGCGAAAGTATTTATTCGAAGAATGGAGAAGTCAAAAAAGTTCAAATCCACGACCACGGTAAGTGTGTCTATACCAGAAACAGACGAGACAGGTGAAATACCCCAAAATGATGTCGATAACGAATCAGATATCCTGCATCCTTGGGATCAGCTACCACTTGTGGTCATGTTGAATGTATTCGACTACCTCGAGTCAAGCGATCTGTTAAGACTAGCGACTGTCTGTAAAACTTGGCGGGATATGATACAGAACACGGCACACTTTTGGCGACAAATGCACTTGAAGCTAAACTGCAACAGCGAATCTTCGCACAGCGAAATATCGTGTTCATATGCCGAGATGTTCGGAAGTTACCTCCGGAAATTATCGATCTCATGTCATCATGAACACAACACCGACATTTGTAAATGTATGGACAAGGACTTGCTACAACTTCTTCTCAACCTAAATCAACCGAATCTAACGTCTTTAAAAATCACTGATCTTGAGCTTCAAGGTGTTCGAAAATGCCACAAAACTATTTGTGGGACTCTGACGCAAATGCTGTCCAGTTTTAGCAGTCTTCAGTGTTTGGAGTTATCAAACGTGAAGTTTCAATACAACGAAGCCTTCGAAATCCTCGACACCGTGATCTCCGCGTCTGGAGAAAATCTACAGTCACTGGTCATCGACGGATTATTTCGTGTTTGCTTGCTGGACTACACATCTAATGAGGTTGACAGACTGACCAATAAGATTCTTTCCCTGAGTTGCTTGACCAAACTGGGGATTGACTATCTCCACCTGACTAATGCGTTTGTGATTGCGCTGTCCAGATCACATGCAGGGCAGCTGAAGAAATTGAAAATCGTGGCCCGATCGTTTATGCATTATGATACTGATGATCATTTCGATTGCATGGTTTCAACACTCGCCTGGTGTGCTTTGGTAAGGACATTTGACAATTTTTATTACTTCATTTCAACTCTATTTAATCATAGCACTAACAGTATTATCAATATTTACACACAATGTGTGTATTCATATCATTTGCATTATGTCCACTGTGGACAAACTACCCGTAGTCAAACCTTCTCTGTGGGCTCCAACACAATCAACTATCAACTTGTTATGTGCCTTATAGGCCGTTGACTCCGATTTTAACATGCATTTCCTTTTGGATTTGCCTCCATAGCCTTTGTCCATCCAAGCGCAAATTACAATGCACTAGTTTAATTTTGGAGCTTACTCTCCTAGTTGGGATGCTGGCCACAGCTATAAAGCCTCATCTACATGGGAGTTTGAACTCGAGACCTTTCGGTTTAGCGGCCAGGAGTTTGTTCGACCACGCCGACCTCAGGAAAAATATCAAACTTAATAAAACGGTTACATTTCTGATTTGACTTGTAATTGCATTTAATTGAAACGAATGTTTTTGTACATGTTTTTACTTTTCTCGTTGACTGCACCAGAAAGTTGCGTGTCCATCAATGAAGGTGGCGTTTGTTATGGATGGCACCACGTTATCCAGGTTTGATTCCATCACGGAGATCATGGACCCAGTTCTGCCCATCTACAAGATCCGCTTGATGCTCGGCAGCTACGAAAATGATATCGCGACAGCGTTGAATGATATCGCAGCTAGCTTTAGGTTGGTGAAACTTACCTTTATTTGGCGTGAGCGTCGTTATTGTTTGTACTTTGTTAGCTTAGACGCAGCGAATGGCGCTGTATAGCTCATAATTACTAACTCGAAAGTTCCAAGTTTAGATCCCGAGCTCTACACTGTTGGAAGTCCTTGAGTCCACCCAGCTATAATGGGTACCTGACTCATGTTGGGGAATTAAAGAAGTCTGGGCATATTACTGACCATATCATTCCCTGTATGTTGTTGGAACAGATGAACTCTACTTTATCTCTCTTTTAATAGACGATCTGTCCTAGTGGAATTAGAACGTCTCTGAGTCCAAACAGCGTTAAGGACCGTAAAGGTAAACGCGCATTGTACTGACCACACTATCCCTTCATATGCTGAGGTTACAAAAAACAGATGAACTCTACTTACCCCGCGGACCGTCAAGTTCAAAAAGGGAACTTTATTTCATCTCTCTTTGGCGTGAATTGGGAAAAAAAAGATGAAATACTAATAGCTTATTTTGTTGGATTGTTAATTTTTTGAAATCTTTGTCTTTGAAGGATAAGGCTGTATGCTGGGTTAACAGTATCAATATTCTGTGTAAATAGTATCAATATTCTCGGTAAAAAGTATCAATATTCTGGGTAAATAGTATCAATATTCTCGGTTAAAAGTATCAATATTCTCGGTAAAAAGTATCAATATTCTGGGTAAATAGTATCAATATTATGGATAAATATTATCAATATTTTCGGTAAAAGGTATCAATATTCTGGGTAAATAGTATCAATATTCTGGGTAAACAGTATCTATATTCTCGGTAAAAAGTATCAATATTCTGGGTAAATAGTATCAATATTCTCGGTAAATAATATTAATATTCTGTGTTATTAGAATCAATATTCTATGTAAATAGTATCATTATACTGTTTAAATAGTATCAGTATTCTGGGTAAACCGTATCAATATTCTCGGTTAAAAGTATTAATATTCTTGGTAAATAGTATCATTATACTATTTAAATAGTATCAATATTCTGGGTAAATAGTATCATTATACTGTTTAAACAGTAACATTATTCTCGGCAAAAAGCATCAATATTCTTGGTAAAAAGTATCATTATACTGTTTAAATAGTATCAATATTCTGGGTAAATAGTATCATTATACTGTTTAAATAGTATTAATATTCTTGGTAAATAGTATCATTATACTGTTTAAATAGTATCAATATTATGGATAAATATTATCAATATTTTCGGTAAAAGGTATCAATATTCTGGGTAAATAGTATCAATATTCTGGGTAAACAGTATCTATATTCTCGGTAAAAAGTATCAATATTCTGGGTAAATAGTATCAATATTCTCGGTAAATAATATTAATATTCTGTGTTATTAGAATCAATATTCTATGTAAATAGTATCATTATACTGTTTAAATAGTATCAATATTCTGGGTAAACCGTATCAATATTCTCGGTAAAAAGTATCAATATTCTTGGTAAATAGTATCATTATACTATTTAAATAGTATCAATATTCTGGGTAAATAGTATCATTATACTATTTAAACAGTAACAATATTCTCGGCAAAAAGTATCAATATTCTTGGTAAAAAGTATCATTATACTGTTTAAATAGTATCAATATTCTGGGTAAATAGTATCATTATACTGTTTAAATAGTATTAATATTCTTGGTAAATAGTATCATTATACTGTTTAAATAGTATCAATGTTCTTGGTAAATAGTATCAATATGGTGGGTAAATAGTATCAATACCAATCCATCTTTGTTTATATTTACAAAAAAAAATGTTGCTAAAATTGGTAGAATGTGACATTTTTTTGTGTGAACAGATGTTTCCCTCTATGTGACATTGACGTTAAAATGAAGGTGTAGTCAAATACATTGGACGATGTGGTCGAGTGGTAGGACGCTCGACTGCTTGCCTGAATGTAACGAGTTCGGTTCTCGGTCCGTGCGTTCTGATAAGTACCTGCCTGCCGTATATTCAGCGGTGTAATCGATATATACATTATGCTTTCATATACAGAGATAAAAAAACATTTATTTAAAATCTAATGAATCTGACTTATGGATCATTAAGTTTTAAGTGGAATATTTTTTTTTCACTTTAAAATAACATTAAATTGCAGCAGTTATCAAAAATTTAACCTTGCTACCATTACTTCAGTAAAGCTCTAACTGTAAATGCGCTTTTAAGTTGCTTCTGTGTTGAGAGATGTGAATTTGCTGCTGTTAATCTTTATCATCATTTTTGTAGCAATTCATATTTTAATTTAATGTATCTTTGATTTTAAAAACAGATTAGTTCAAAGAGTATCTAACAGGTCTACACATTCCTCGTTCTCATAATCTTTTCCCGTTTGTGTCCAAAGCACAAAGGGCAGATGAAATGAGTTCATCTTTTCTAATGACATCGGGAAAGTGTGGTCAGCACTATGCCCAGACACCCTGGTTTTCTCCAACGTGAGCTAGGTACCGAACATAGCTACACACACCAGCCAGAGATCCGAGCTCGAGACTTTCGGTTTAGCTCTACCATTCCGACCACTCAGCCCCCCCACAAATCTATAACTACTTTCTAGAAACTTTTACTCTGAACCTTGTGGTCTACAGAAGGAGCCTGCTCAAGTTCGAGATGGAGCTTTCTAGTACAAATGACGAGATTGATGAAGCCTTTCTGGATCTTGTTTTAGATTGCAAGAAACTAACGCTCGTAACTGTAAGTCAAATACAATCAACTAATCTTTTGTCATTTCTTAGAAAAACACTATTATATAAAAAATTCTAACTGGCAGAGTTGTAATAGACAGTAGGGGTATAAAAAAACGAGATCGTCCACTTCTACTGATTAGATATTGACAATCATATAACTGAAATCTTTTCAATCAGGTTTCTTAGAATTAGGTTTAATACTCCGAGACATTCTAAAGAAAATGTTCTGCCGCTTAGAAAGTAAGTCTAGGTTTAGATCAGGGGTTCCCAACCTTTTTTTTTACTCTAGGGCACATTCTAAAATATCGTTAGGATTGCGGGCACCACCTTTTTTTAAATCGACAAACTCCTTCCAGAGGCGTAGCGACCTTTCCCGTCACCCGGGGACAAAACTTTCGATTTGCACTCCCCCCCCCCTCAAATTTTCGATTTGCACCCCCCCCCCCCTCAAACTTTCGATTTGCACCACGTGCAACCTTTCAATAATGTTTATGAAAAAAATTCTGTCTCTGTCGAATAGTGAGAGGCGGGCACATACGAATCGTTTGGCGGGCACAGGGTTGGGAACCCCTGGTTTAGATCGTGCGATTGGTGACTCGAAATCCAAGAAACTCGGCCTAGGATCGATTCTGGATGTCATCTCATGTCCACACTGATCCTTAATCCATCTGGATGGGGAGATGCTAATAGAAAGGAAGTAAAATACAAGTGGAAACACCTAGCGTCTTAAGCTTAGCATAAAGCTGAGGATTCACATGTATTAGAGCTGTTCATGCCTTTATGTTCAGAGATGGGTGGACTCAGGAACGTCGTGGTGTCTCCAGTACGGGATCCGAACCCGAGACTTAACGAGTCTATCACTCGGTCACTCTGTTCATTTTGACAAAGTCAGGGTCCGGTTTTAACTATTTAGATTGCGTTAAGAATAGATGTAAAGTAGTAATTAAAGCTATCTTGCAAACATGACGGTCTATAGGGCAAGTGAAAAAGAGTTCACTTGTTTCTGTGAACTCGGCATATGAAGAGAAAGTTTGGTCAGCATAATTCCAAGCCGCCTTTACTTACCCTAACGTGAGTTAGGTACGCATCAGAGTTGGGTGGACTCAGGAACGGTCTACTGACTTAAACCCTGATTTGAACTAAGAATAGATGTACGATGCAGAACATCTTGCGATTCGACTTTATTATACAACCGAAACCTCGCATTTTGTATACCAACCCGTAAGTAATCTGAGGGGTGGCCATAAATGACGTCACACTCGTAGGGGTGTGGGTGGGGGTGTCTGTAATTTTTTGACGATGTGTGATGAGGGGGAGGGGGGGGGGTTGGCTTCAGATGGTGCGACGTCACACTTTTGCATTATGAAAAAGAAATGTTAGAAAACGAATTTTAGCCGTTATTTCGCGTTTTAGAAAGCTGTTTTAGTAAATTGTATTAGGAATTGATTAAAATACTCTATTTTGACAGTTCAGACAAGATTTTGGGAAAATATCGATGTTTTAAAAAAAAATGCAATTTTGAGGGGGATTCTAGGCTGAGGTATGACGTCATTTTAAGGGGGGTCTGACTTTTTGTTACGATGTGTGACGCAGGGGAGGTGGGAGGTAAAAATCGTCCCAAAAAGCGTGACGTCATTGATGGATGACCCCCTGAACGTATTACAAATTACAACAATGTTACCCCCCCCCACACTTGACAGGTCTCTGTCAACTTCTCCTACCCGGGAACCGAGATGATCGCCCACCAGGTGACGCAGCAGAGGAAGCGCTATCAGGACCTGATGGCGTCCCTTGAGAAGGCCCAACAACACGCGCAAGCAAACACGGTCAACGGTCCAGGTTCGGGTACCGCCGATGCCACAGCTCCGATGAACAATTCATAGAACAAGACCAGGAACTAGAATGATTCAACCGGCAAAATAGACGTACCATGGACAAAATTATTACATTTTTATTTACACGTTTTGTTACTAATAATCTTTACATATTTCCTAAAAATCATATTCATATTTTTAAAATATATAAAATCATTTACTGACATATCTCTATAGTTCTTTTTTTATTAAATTCAACATGTTTGTTTCCGTTTTCAAGAAAAACATATATTTGCTCTTATACAGCTAACTCATGAACTGAATCCGTCTATTTTACTGCAGAAGTGTTGAAATACCGACGTTTTAACATACTTAAAAAAGAAAGCAATAAAATACCATTTTAATTTTTTTTTTTGGTATTTACATAAGGCGGTAAAATAAATCAGACAGAAATTTTACATCGTCATTTCATCATTATATTTAGATTTGAGGCAGATATAGATAATTTTTAATAACATGGCCTCGACAAAGTTGATTGTGCTCAGTAAAAATTAGTAGAAGAAAAAGTAAAGTGTTAATTAGTACAAGAAAACGTAAAGTATTAATTAGTACAAGAAAACGTAAAGTATTAATTAGTACAATAAAACGTAAAGTGTTAATTAGTACAAGAAAACGTAAAGTATTAATTAGTACAAAAAAAAACGTAAAATATTAATTAGTACAAGAAAATTTAAATGAAACGTTGAACACATAATTGTGTATATAACACACATACAGTCCTTTTGTATTTGCAATATAATAAACATTTCTTGAAAAGTGTTTCTAACTTCAGGGATTACAGATACAATTTTCTGATTATGCAAAAGACTGCTCTATATACATTAATTGTTATTTTTTTTACACCTGTTCACAGATCTACGTTAAAAACGAAAACAAAAAAAAATTTAAACTTTTGTCTTATCGTCTATTAGTTGAAATAAGCGCAGTGGCTGTAGTATAATATAATCAATTAACATGCTCAAAGCATGCATAAAAGCCGTGGTATATAAAAAGGAAGAAATTTAATATTTAGAACAAAACAAATGAACTCCGGAATTAACATCCAATGATTCTTTGTCAAATAGACATCTTGTAATTACGAACGATAGTCATCCATAAACTTTTCTGTACACAATCACAATGTAAACTGGAAAGTTTAAATTTTTCTGCACTTTGCGTGAGTTTCCGAAGTATTTAATTTCTACCCTTATCTAATTTCAAAATAAAAAAAAAAACAGCCATTGTCCTAAACAGTGAATGCTGACAAGAGACAGGTCTTTATTTAATGTGTCTTCCATGCTAACAATAGAATGCATCAAACGACTAAGACGGTGGAACTGAAATATCTTACTAACGTGTCCCAGTGGCGTAGCGAGGTCGGGTGTCACCCGGTGCGGCACTTAATGGTGTCACCCCCCAGAGGCGTAGCGACCCTTCCCGGGGACAAACTTTCAAGTTTTCGATTTGCACCCCCCCCCAAACTTTCGATTTGCACCCCACCCTCAAGTTTTCGATTTGCACCTCCCCCCCCCCTCCACTCAAGTTTTCGATTTGCACCCCCTCAAGTTTTTCTCCCTATATTTTGCTATTTTTTGCCTTGGTGTCACCCCCTAAATGGTGTCACCCAGTGCGGTCCGCACCCCTCGCCCCCCCCCCCCCCTCGCTACGCCCATGACGTGTCCATATGTTGAGTACTTCAAGTGTAGTAGTTTACACACCACACATCGAACACTGATCTGCACTGCTTTGACAGGAAGTAGAAGTCTATCTTTTAAGTGCATGTACGAATTATAAATCTAGATCTAGATCCAGATTATTACTGACTTTCAAAACAAAAAAAAAGAAGAAAAATTTTTAAATTATGGCAAAGTTAAAAAGAAAAATAGTTCGTGCTCCAATGCCTGCGCCTAGACAGCAACATCAACGTAAGGAAAACTATAGGAACACAACAGAAGAAACAGATGGTAAAAACCATTGGAATACATTACCACAAGAAGTGATGGTAAATATATTTGATTATCTGCCACAGAGCGATCTGTTTAGACTAGCGACGGTATGCAGGTCTTGGCGGGATTTGATCCACACTACGCCCCACTTTTGGCGAACCATGCACCTGAAGCTTAGCTGTGCACACAAATCTCTTCATAGCAAAAGAACTTTGTGTTTATCAAACATTCTCGGCGGACATTTCAAGGAATTGTGGATCTCTTGCCTTCATCAGCATGCCAATGCTGGGTGTAAATCCATGGCGAATGATTTTCGGAAATTTTTGTTGAATTTACAGCATCCGTCTCTGACTTCAATAAAAATAGTTGACCTGCAGTTACAAGGCGCGTTGTTGACAACTGTTTCCGGTATCCGTCAAGTTATGATGCGCATGCTCTCCGGCCTTGACCGTCTTCATTGTTTCCAAATGTCGTCTGCGCAGTGGCCGCTCCATGAAGGCATCAAGGTCATGGACACCGTCTTGACCGTGTCCAGGGGAACCCTACAGTCACTGGTCATCGACGGGTTCTTTGAGGCGACTTCTTTAGCCCAGAGACCGGCTGAGTTTGAGCGAGTGACCAACGGCATCCTTTCTCTCAACCGCCTGACAAAACTAGGCATCGACTACCAGCTCCTGACTGACAGCTTTGTGACAGCGCTGTCCAGGTCACACACAGGACAGCTCAAGGTACTGAAGATCGTGGCAAGCAAATTGGAAAATAACACGCCCCTGATAAAAGAACGGGCCTGGTTGTGTTTGGTGAGTAGTCGAACTTGGTTGCAAGTCGACAGAGTGATAGCATTGTTTGAACTTAGTTGCAAGTCGATAGAGGTATAGCATTGTTTGAACTTAGTTGCAAGTCGATAGAGCGATAGCATTGTTTGAACTTGGTTGCAAGTGGACATAATGATAGCATTGTTTGAACTTGGTTGCAAGTGGACATAATGATAGCATTGTTTGAACTTGGTTGCAAGTGGACATAATGATAGCATTGTTTGAACTTGGTTGCAAGTGGACATAATGATAGCATTGTTTGAACTTGGTTGCTATTCGACAGAGGTATAGCATTGTTTGAACTTGGTTGCAAGTCGACACAGCGATAGCATTGTTTGAACTTGGTTGCTAGTCGACACAGCGATAGCATTGTTTGAAGTTACTTGCAAGTCGACAGAATAATAGCATTGTTTGAACTTAGTTGCCAGTCGACATAACGATAGCATTTTTTGAACTTAGTTGCAAGTCGATAGAGAGATAGCGTTGTTTGAACTTAGTTGCAAGTCGACAGAGGTATAGCATTGTTTGAACTTAGTTGCAAGTCGACAGAGTGATAGCGTTGTTTGAACTTAGTTGCAAGTCGACAGAGGTATAGCATTGTTTGAACTTAGTTGCAAGTCGACAGAGTGATAGCGTTGTTTGAACTTAGTTGCAAGTCGACATAGTGATAGCGTTGTTTGAACTTAGTTGCAAGTCGACATAGTGATAGCATTGTTTGAACTTAGTTGCAAGTCGACAGAGTGGTAGCATTGTTTACTTTTAACCAAAGAATAGAGCAATTAATCATCCACGTAATTAGGGTGAAACAAATGGGATAATCTGATTTTTAAGCTTTCTTTTCAATTTATAAATATCATCAGACTAATTAGTTGAGAGTACTTACCAGAGTTGATAACCAAAATTAAAATACATCGGGAAGTTGCAAACATTTACATTTTTTCAATGAAACGGTATTGTATCTATCTTAAACTATTTACTCAAAAAATAGCAACATTTCTAACTAGATCACAATCTTGTTTTAGGTAAAGTAAACAAAAAGAATACTCTTTAGACCTCTCGATCCATTGGGCAGATGAAGTAGAATTCATATGTTTCTTGACCTCGGCATATGATGTATAGTGTGAACAGTACTGTGACCAGCCACCTTTACTCTCCCTAGAATGAGTTAGATCCCCATCTGTTGTAAGGCTAGATGGGGACAGGGTCGACAATGAATTAACACGAAGTCCGTGTATTATTTACTTCTTTATTATTTGAAAGTATACAAAGTATAAAGGACCTAAGCTGCCTATGAGAGAATGGACCCCCAAACTTTCCTAATCCCACCTTTTATACCCTACCTAACCTCAGCTTCCTGCGCTATATGTCACTTCCCTCTTAATTATTCCTATGCTACAGAAATATGTGTACGATTTGTTTACTTTCTTTAATCTAAATACAGCTAAAATTGACTATAATTTGAACATGTAAACAAAAGGGACGCAACTCTAAATCTATGCAATTACTTATATTTAATAATCCTCACATTATCAGCGCTGGGCGGACTTGAACCCTGATTCAAACTCGAGACTTTTGGGTTAGCAGGTTAGCGCTCTACCGCTAGGGTTAGAGTACTCATCCTACCCCCCACCCCCACACGCCGTAACATCTTGTTTTATGAAAGCTATTACCAAAAAGTTTGTTTATATCTTTACTGACACTTACAGACAAAGGCTTGTCCAGCAATGAAAGTGGCCTACACCGTTGATGGCATGCCTTCATTCATGGCAATATATAACGCTTTGGATCCATGCTTACCCATCTATAAAATACGTCTACTGCTTGCAGAGAAACCCCAATCTCTCGAGTTGGATGATTTTACGGTGGCAGTGGTACTGTCGCTATTCATGGTTAGTTTTTGGTAAGTTTTTATACTTGTTTGGTTTTGCGGTGTGTGAAGGTATTTCTGCGGTTATATTTCGATGTTGCTTTATAGGCCTTGCTGCATAATCATGTCGCTTTTAGAAATACAACAACCTCTTTTACTCGCTGGTCTACACTCCAAATGCGTGCTAGGGGATCTACATTTAGCATATGAAAAAAAATAGAACAGTCAGCATTAGAGCAGACATTCCCCCTTGAACCTTCCCTACTTAAATACATATTAAAGCTGGATAAAACAGGGCAGGCCCTCATCTGGAATCCACAAGGCAGGAGGAGGAGAGGCAGACCAAGAAAGACCTGGAGACGTGACCTGGAAGAAGACACCAAGAAGATAGGATACACCTTTTGACAGTTGGAGATAGTTACCACACCTAAACTTCACTAATTTTAATTACTAAATAGTTAAATTTACACAATACGTTTAATTATGTTGGCCTATGTAGGTTTTAACAATAACAATTTTGAGCTTATGTTAAGGGAAACAACTTATCTATTGTTACATCCAGATTCGATTCAACTCTACAACGATTCGTGACACATATAGTATACTTTTATTTATTTTCACGTTCAACGTTACAGGGTCGCCCTCGCCCTAACTGCTACCAACTAACCCCTTACAACAATTCACTCCAGCTTTTATACCGCATTCAACTTTGGAATAACAATACATCAACACACCGGGGTTAACAATACTTTAGAGTAAACTCAACTCACACACGCACTCTCCCCTAATTCTAGATTATTCTAACCTATTTCTATCTAACCTACGACTGACCCTTAACATCTATAACGGATTTACTTACAGGCGTCGTTTGGTGAAGTTTGAGATGGATATTGCAAGCAAGAGTGAACTGATCGATCTAACATTTCTAATGCTCGTTACGCAATGTGAAAAACTGCTGTATGTAAAAGTAAGCTGGACATTTTAAAAATAATTTCAAAACACCCCATAACATTGGCACAAAAACCCATGATAAATCCTGAATGAACACCACATATTATTGTAACAAACCTCATTATACACGTAAACCAGCATACTCAAAACACAACATAAAGAGACCTCACAGTAAAAGTCCGAAACCACCAAAGGGAAAAACTAAACTCACCAAACAAAGAAAAACCACACTTAGCCTATCACTCAAGAAACAAAAAATATACATTTAAGAATGTTTTTACTCAAACATTTAAATGTTTGGCTTTTATAGTATTAATAAATACACACACACACATATATATATATATATATATATATATATATATATATATATATATATATATATATATATATATATATATATATATATATATATATATATTTACAGTAAAACAAATAATTAACAAAACATTACCATAATACTTAATCATTTGCATAAAATGGGACGGAGTGGTCTAGCGGTAGAGAGCTGGACTGCTAACCCGTAAGTCACGAGTTCGAATCCGGGTTCAAGTCAGTTTACGGTCCCTGAGTCCACCCAACTCTGATGGGTACCTAGGGGAAAGTAAAGGCGGCTGGGCATAGTGCTGACCACACTTTCTCTTCATATGCCGAGGTCACAGAAACAAGTGAACTCTACTTCACTTGCCCCATAGAGGTCAGGTTTGAAAGGGAAACTTTACTTGATTTGCATATAATATATTTAATATCTTGCAATATATATATATATATATATATATATATATATATATATATATATATATATATATATATATATATATATATATATATATATATATATATATATATATATATATATATACAATTTATTACCGATAACGGTATTATATTCTCATAAACTAGTTAATTTCGCTATCTCTTAATCCTCATTCCCACACATTTACTTGTTGTAATATGGAACCTTCAACCTGTTGCAGACCTCAGCAAACTTTCATTACCCCGATACACTGAGTGTAGCAGAGAGATTGATACAACAGCGTAAACGTCAGCACGACGAGACGCAGTGCGTAGAGACGCCATGCAAACGAGCGAAAACCAACCCGCGACTGTGAGCAGGTTCGAGTACCGCTGACGCAAGAGTGAAAAAAGGGGGGCGGTGCTTTGGATGAGACCTGTGCGGTTGATCAGTTTTGCGAGCAGACGATTAACGATGAGTTCGGTTGCCATAGAAGTAGTAATTGTTACATCATCACAAGAATTAACATCTAAATTTCCATTTTGTTTTTTCAAATATAAAAAGAATGTAAAACATAACATGTAGAACTATAAATGAATTTAAAAACTAATATCAAAAATATTTTAAACAAAATAACTTTTAAGTGTTTTACTTACATATGTGAGTACGATTAACGTTTGTTTTATCAAGAAATGTAAAATATTGACTAAAGGTTGTAATGAAAATATATAAAACATTTTTAAATATACCATCATTTTTATTATTGTTTAAAATATCTATTCTTTAAGTTAGTACAGCAAACATCGTTTTGTGAAATCTGTTCAAGTGAACTTTTTAAATGCTTTATTAAAGTATCAAAATTTACATCTATTTTGATACCTTGAACTAACCATCTTTAATGAATGAAATAAAAAAAATCATCATTTCAGTTGTTTAATTAGTAATTTATATGTATTAATGTTGCATAAATATCTGTATACAAGTGGGTATTTATTCTGTTAATCGCCTTGCAAAATATGCGTAATACGATGAAACATTCTATGAAATAATAACAATAGCCATGACTATGGATTCACGAGGAATATCATATTCCTAAATGTTTCAATCACCAACCTCGATCCAGTTACTAAAATGTGTCAATGAATTTGTCAACAGGACAAAAGTTAACACAATGCAAACACACCCAGAAAATACAAGGTTATTATTCATTGCTACTCATCAAAAACGTCAACATCGTCCATCCACCACATTACATATTACTGTAGAAAATAAAATCACTGAACAAGTCATCGGCTACCAACGCCTAGAGTTATTTATCAATCAGAATTCAATTCGACCTTGGTCTATCATATTGATTAATCTTCTAAGATTATCCATACTAAAACATTTTTTTTTTCAAACTAAAAGAAAATGTATAAAGTGAAAGTTGATTTTTAAAGAAGCTATTTTTGCTGTCTCGGATAGATTATTCTTTTATAGTCTGGAGTGTCAGCTTTATAACCAAGCAACATATTTTTTTCAACAATACCAAACAGCTATTGGGCTTTTAAGTAGGTCTCCAACTTCTAGTTCTTGTACTTGCCATGTAGTATTTACCAAGCTAAATGTGAATATATTCTTTAAATAGGTGGAAATTATAGAAAAGCTATTTCCGCCATTGGTATTGTAAAACCTATGTAGAGACGCATAGAAACAAATAACCGCTATGTTTTTTATACAATGAGAATCATGTTCAAAACAATAATTTAGTTCAACAATTTATATCTCTCCATGGCTAACGAGATTTCAAGTTTTACGAGAAAGACCGAGACGTACAAGCCCTAGTGAAAATATTAATCGTTGCATATTTTACAAACATGCCCATCTAGTCGAAGATTGCACACCAGAAAGCATGCACCATTCTGCACGAGATAGCTTGTATCGGTAGTAGGAAGTTGTTTTTTAAATACCTTAATGACGTGGATTTATATTGATAAATGTAGACTAGATCTAGATCTAGATCTACATTAAGAAATTTTCCAAGAAACCATAAAATAGTATTCTTGTGAAGAATGACGAACTTAAAAAAGACCAAATCTAAAAAACTGGTAATACCTTCAGTGTCCAAAGGAAAAGATCCAGCTAAGGTAAACTATAAGACTGCTAATGGCAAATCAGACGATTTAAATCTATGGGATAAGTTACCTCGAGAGGTAGTTTTAAATATATTCAATCGCCTCCAACAAAGCGATCTGTTTAGACTAGCGACGGTATGCAAGTCTTGGCGGGATTTGATCCACACTACGCCACACTTTTGGCGAACCATGCACCTGAAGCTAAGCTGTGCACACAAATCTATGCACAGCAAGAGGGCTCTGTGGTGGTCAAACATTCTCGGCGGACACTTCAAGGAATTGTGGATCTCTTGCCATCACGAACATGCCGCCCAGGGTTGTAAATCGGTGGTTAATGATTTCCAAAAAGTTATCTTAAACTTACTGCATCTATCTCTTACGTCATTAAAAATAACGGACCTACAACTACATAGCACATGGAATCATTTAGTCCTCGGTACCCGATATGTTATGACGCGCTTGCTGCCCAGTCTTGACCGTCTGCAGTATTTCCAAATGTCGTCCGCGAATTGGCCAGTTCGCGAAGGGTTCAAGGTCATGGACACCATCTTGACCGTGTCCAGAGGAACCCTACAGTCGCTTGTCATCGACGGGTTCTTTGACACGGCCACGTTGACCAAGAGACCGGCTGAGTTTGAGCGAGTGACCAACGGCATCCTTTCTCTCAACCGCCTGACAAAACTAGGCATCGACTACCAGCTCCTGACTGACAGCTTTGTGACAGCGCTGTCCAGGTCACACACAGGACAGCTCAAGGTACTGAAGATCTTAGCCAGACATATGGATCGCAACACGCCAAGGATCTCTAAAAACTCTTGGCTGACTTTGGTAAGAAGTTGTTTCTTTCTTAAACGTTTTTTTTTTTCATTTTTAAAGTTAAGTTCTTATTTCAGACTTACCGATGTATAGGGCAGGTGAAGTACCGTGCAGGGTCAGCAGTCGAGTGCTCTATACACTCAACTCTCACATGCTTTACTTATTATTATACTAAAAGGCTAATTATAGAGCCAACAGTAATCCTACCCATTGACTATAAATCCAACGATATTTTTATCAATAATGATTATCGTGTTTAATGCAGATGCGTAGCGAGGGCGGGGCGGGTGTTGCGGACAGCACAAGGTGACACCATTTAGGGGGGGGGGGACCAAGGCAAAACATTGCAAAAAGTACAGAAGAAAAATTCCTTTTTTGTCAGATCCATTTGTGGTTAATTAAAGTTAATTAGTCTTTTAAGTACAAATTAACAATTATTGCAAAAGGGCAGGGTATTATAGGCCAAGGTGACATAGGGGGGGGGGGGGGGGTGACACCACGAAATGCCGCATCGGGTGACACCCGACTAAGTGACGCCACTGGTTTAATGCTAATTACTCATATTATACCAAATTTAAATGTGTTGTTTTTTCTCTCACGCAAAGGTTTTCCTATATTGAAGGCGGCGTTTTGTGTTGATAGTTTTACTAGTACCAAATTTAATGAGTTAAATTTCTTTTATCTCACACTCAAAGACAAAGGAGTGTCCTACATTGAAGATGGCATGTAATATTGATGGTTTAACTTATAGTTAATGGATTTTTTTCTCAAACACTTTTAAACAAAGGCGTATTCTGCATTAAAGGTGGTGTTTGATGTTGATCGTTTAACTTGTATCAAATTTAATGTTTCTTTTTTGTCTCTAATACTTCGAGGCAAAGGCGTATCCTGCATTAAAGATGGTATTTAATGTTGATGGTTTAACATGTATCAAATTTACAAAGTTACATATATTTTGGTAATGAGATTGCGGACCAGCTGGCGAAAATTGGGGGAAAGAAAAAACAACCGGAAATCTCGCTACACCCAAAAGAAATAAAAAAGAATAATAAAAAACAAACAAACACAAATGTGGTCTGACACACACCCTCACTACAATATAGATGATGAATATTATAATTTGACACGAAAACAACAATACATAATCTTCCGACTTAGAACAGGCCATAACAGACTAAATCAACACATGCATAAAAAACAAAAAATTGGGTGTGGCGAAATATGCCCTTGTTGCAAGGCCCCAGAAAATATAGCCAGGCGCTATATATATAGCCAGGCGCGAGTTAGACACTGGCCCCTGCCCACCCCACTCAGGAAAAATTATATGGGGCACCTGCTGATCTGGAGACCACAGTCCGGTTTATTAACAAAGTTGGACTTGTCTAAATTCTCCACCATTTTCTCAATTAAGAACGAAGAAGAAGAAGACATATATTTTCTCTCACACAGATAAAGGCTTGTCCTACATTGAAGGTAGCGTTTAACATTGATGGTTTGAATTCTTACATCACCATCGTTGACATACTGGACCCGGTTCTGCCCATCTACAAGATACGTCTGATGCTGAAGTCAAGTCTAGAACCGAGCGAATGGGACGGTATTTGCACGTCGGCTGTGCTAGGCCTCATCACGATTAACTTTCGGTTTGGTGTTTATGTTTTCATTTGTTGTTTATCATCTACGTATATGATTCCTTCTTTGTCATGTTTTTTTTTATGTATTGATGAGTGTGTGTGCGTTTTTAAAGTGTTTTCACTGATATAAACCTATGTGGTTAGCTTGAAAAATAAAGTTTTCTAGAATAATGTACGATAAGAAAGTTAAAATCAGTGCCAATGTTTCTACGCTCGGCACGTTAAGTAATACCACACAGTAAGAGCTAGGTAGACTCAGGGATATCTTAAGGCCTCGAGTTAAGGAACGCAGTCTTTCGGGCTGCTATCCGTGAATTCTGTACTTTTTAAAGCTATTTAACTATATGCATATATATATATATATATATATATATATATATATATATATATATATATATATATATATATATATATACATATATATTTATATATACATATATATATATATATATATATATATATATATATATATATATATATATATATATATATATATATATATATATATAATACAAATAGTGTCTGTCATTCATCTTATTGTTTGAGATAGCAATGTCATGTCATAAAAATGTTGAATCCATTAATAAATATAGCTTTTAAAAAAAATAACTACACCCCTAACTTTACTTATTTTGAATTACCACATGGTTAAGACGGAAAATAAGTTTTATGACAATGTCTTGTGTAGGTGGGTACCTAGGATATTAGAGCGGAAAAGTTGGGTAGTCACTAGTTTGTGTGATCTACAGGCACAGCTTGGTCAAGTTTGAGATGGAGGTTGGACGAAGAAGTTGTTTGATCGACCTGGCTTTTATAATGCTGGTGAAATCGTGTCACCAACTGATGGATGTTAAGGTGAGGTTAAGATACGGCGACACGGCAGTGCACACGACACTACATCACAGGATCCACTACACCACATACGGCGACACGGCAGTACATACAGCATTATGTCACAGGATCCACTACACCACGTCAACACTAGTTTCATACTTGATACACATGAATATACCATCCCTTTACCAAACTCATCAAATAAGAGACTTTGTTGTAAATACGTATTGACGTCTAAAATGTATGACATCCAGTTTCAACTCAATACATTCAGTTACAGAAAATCTCGATCTATTTAAAATACAGTTCACCCATTAACATGTAAATAAATAAAGGAATTCTTGAAGGAATGTATAATTGATAGAATGAACGATATAAATGAGTAAGCGTGCGATAAAATTAAGGATTGGATGAACAAAGGAATTAGGGAATAAAGAAATGAAGGAATAATTGAATTAATGAAGAAATAAGTGATCGAAGCAATGACAAAGTTTCAAATACAGGAATTAAAGAATGAATGAATGAGAAAATGCAAATATGAAGAATTCAAGAAATAAAATAAAAATAGGAAGTAAGTAATGACAAATTTAGAAATGATGGAGTAAATAATCAATGGAACGAATACATGAACGAATGAGGGAATCTATATATATAATTCTCCTCTGCGAGCCATTAGAAAACAAGCTGCAAGCGCCTCCTTACAGCCCCCTCTCTTTCTCTCTATCACTATCACTACCACCCTACCCCACCCCCACATGGTCTGCTGAGCTGTGGTCACGTTAATGTTTACAAACCGTACAGCCAGGTTTAGTGACGGCTATTAGGGGCAGATAATTTAGTTTGAACCGACTTTAAACTTACAGGAGGTAACTAAGAGGAGACTGCTTTCCCGGGGGGGGGGGGGGGGGGGGTGTAGGGTCGGGGTTAGGGGAAAGGAGGGGGGTTAGTGTTTTAAAGCAAATATTTTCAGTGGCAGCATTGGTACTGTCGAATTCACAAATTATGAATTACTGAAAAGTAGAAAATAAATCAACTAAATAGCGGCGTATGATACGCCGCGGGTCTGCTCGTGAGGTTATAAACGACAGAGGGAGTGAAGGATTGAAGGGATAGAACAGGAACAGAAAAACAAAAACCGAAATTGTTTATATATATATATATATATATATATATATATATATATATATATATATATATATATATATATATATATATATATATCTATATATATAAAGCAAAGTGGTCAAGTGCCCGATAGGGCACTTCCCGGCGCCGCAGGCGCGTCAAATTTGGCACGATGGTGCCTTCGGGCACTAGAACACGAAGGCCGGTGACGGTTGGCCGAAAAGTCTACGGAGAAGGGGTCAAAACTGACCTCGACTGACCGGCGCCTTATATGGGCTATATTACGAAAAAAAATTTCCTCCGACGACCCCCCTTGAAATTTTGTGAGGTGGTAGGAGAACACCTTGGGGTGTCACAAAAAACTCGCCATGTCCGGGAAAAATCGGGAAATGGGTCAAAACTGACCAGTCGTATTTCCCTATATAATCTTTGTATTTTATGGGAAAAACAGAGGGTCATTTCAAAACGGATTTTAGGGCACTTACCCTGTTTACATCTGGCTAATTTTTGACATGTTTATAGGTAAATGGCTTGACCGTAGGGCTGACCTGTCGGTCTTACTCAAAGCCCTCGACGAGGGCTAAAAAGTGACCGCGAGTGAAATTCTCTTTATATGAGCTCTATTACGAAAAAAAATTTCCTCCGACGACCCCCCTTGATATTTTGTGAGGTGGTAGGAGAACGCCTTGGGGTGTCACAAAAAACTCGCCATGTCCGGGAAAAATCGGGAAATGGGTCAAAACTGACCAGTCGTATTTCCCTATATAATCTTTGTATTTTATGGGGAAAACAGAGGGTCATTTCAAAACGGATTTTAGGGCACTTACCCTATTTACATCTGGCTACTTTTTGGCATGTTTATAGGTAAATGGCTTGACCGTAGGGCAGACCTGTCGGTTTGACTCAAAGCACTCGACGAGTGCTAAAAAGTGACCGCGAGTGAAATTCTCTTTATATGAGCTCTATTACGAAAAAAAATTTCCTCCGATGACCCCCCTTGAAATTTTGTGAGGTGGTAGGAGAACACCTTGGGGTGTCACAAAAAACTCGCCATGTCCGGGAAAAATCGGGAAATGGGTCAAAATTGACCAGTCGTATTTCCCTATATAATCTTTGTATTTTATGGGAAAAACAGAGGGTCATTTCAAAACGGATTTTAGGGCACTTACCCTCTTTACATCTGGCTACTTTTTGGCATGTTTATAGGTAAATGGCTTGACCGTAGGGCAGACCTGTCGGTCTTACTCAAAGCCCTCGACGAGGGCTAAAAAGTGACCGCGAGTGAAATTCTCTTTATATGAGCTCTATTACGAAAAAAAATTTCCTCCGACGACCCCCCTTGATATTTTGTGAGGTGGTAGGAGAACGCCTTGGGGTGTCACAAAAAACTCGCCATGTCCGGGAAAAATCGGGAAATGGGTCAAAACTGACCAGTCGTATTTCCCTATATAATCTTTGTATTTTATGGGAAAAACGGAGGGTCATTTCAAAACGGATTTTAGGGCACTTACCCTCTTTACATCTGGCTAATTTTTGGCATGTTTATAGGAAAATGGCTTGACCGTAGGGCAGACCTGTCGGTCTCACTCAAAGCCCTCGACGAGGGCTAAAAAGTGACCGCGAGTGAAATTCTCTTTATATGAGCTCTATTACGAAAAAAAATTTCCTCCGACGACCCCCCTTGATATTTTGTGAGGTGGTAGGAGAACGCCTTAGGGTGTCACAAAAAACTCGGCATATCTGGGAAAACTTCGTAAAGGGGTCAAAACTGACCAGTTGTATTTCCCTATATAATCTTTGTATTTTATGGGAAAAACAGAGGGTCATTTCAACGCAGACTTTAGGGTACTTAATCTCAGTATATCTGGCTAATTTTTTGCATGCTCCTAGGTCAATGGCTTGACCTTTAGGGAAAACTGTCGGTTACACTCAAAGCCCTCGAAGAGGGCTAAAAAGTGACCGCGAGTGAAATTCTCTTTATATGAGCTCTATTACGAAAATTTTTTTCCTCCGACGACCCCCCTTGATATTTTGTGAGGTGGTAGAAGAACACCTAGGAGTGTCACAAAAAATACTCGGCATATCTGGGAAAACTTCGGAAAGCGGTCAAAACTGACCAGTTGTATTTCCCTATATAATCTTTGTATTTTATGGGAAAAACAGAGGGTCATTTCAACGCAGACTTTAGGGTACTTAAGCTCAGTATATCTGGCTACTTTTTTGCATGCTCCTAGGTCAATGGCTTGACCTTTAGGGAAAACTGTCGGTTACACTCAAAGCCCTCGACGAGGGCTAAAAAGTGACCGCGAGTGAAATTCTCTTTATATGAGCTCTATTACGAAAAAAAATTTCCTCCGACGACCCCCCTTGATATTTTGTGAGGTGGTAGGAGAACGCCTTGGGGTGTCACAAAAAACTCGCCATGTCCGGGAAAAATCGGGAAATGGGTCAAAACTGACCAGTCGTATTTCCCTATATAATCTTTGTATTTTATGGGGAAAACAGAGGGTCATTTCAAAACGGATTTTAGGGCACTTACCCTATTTACATCTGGCTACTTTTTGGCATGTTTATAGGTAAATGGCTTGACCGTAGGGCAGACCTGTCGGTTTGACTCAAAGCACTCGACGAGTGCTAAAAAGTGACCGCGAGTGAAATTCTCTTTATATGAGCTCTATTACGAAAAAAAATTTCCTCCGACGACCCCCCTTGATATTTTGTGAGGTGGTAGGAGAACGCCTTGGGGTGTCACAAAAAACTCGCCATGTCCGGGAAAAATCGGGAAATGGGTCAAAACTGACCAGTCGTATTTCCCTATATAATCTTTGTATTTTATGGGGAAAACAGAGGGTCATTTCAAAACGGATTTTAGGGCACTTACCCTATTTACATCTGGCTACTTTTTGGCATGTTTATAGGTAAATGGCTTGACCGTAGGGCAGACCTGTCGGTTTGACTCAAAGCACTCGACGAGTGCTAAAAAGTGACCGCGAGTGAAATTCTCTTTATATGAGCTCTATTACGAAAAAAAATTTCCTCCGACGACCCCCCTTGATATTTTGTGAGGTGGTAGGAGAACGCCTTGGGGTGTCACAAAAAACTCGCCATGTCCGGGAAAAATCGGGAAATGGGTCAAAACTGACCAGTCGTATTTCCCTATATAATCTTTGTATTTTATGGGAAAAACGGAGGGTCATTTCAAAACGGATTTTAGGGCACTTACCCTCTTTACATCTGGCTAATTTTTGGCATGTTTATAGGAAAATGGCTTGACCGTAGGGCAGACCTGTCGGTCTCACTCAAAGCCCTCGACGAGGGCTAAAAAGTGACCGCGAGTGAAATTCTCTTTATATGAGCTCTATTACGAAAAAAAATTTCCTCCGACGACCCCCCTTGATATTTTGTGAGGTGGTAGGAGAACGCCTTAGGGTGTCACAAAAAACTCGGCATATCTGGGAAAACTTCGTAAAGGGGTCAAAACTGACCAGTTGTATTTCCCTATATAATCTTTGTATTTTATGGGAAAAACAGAGGGTCATTTCAACGCAGACTTTAGGGTACTTAATCTCAGTATATCTGGCTAATTTTTTGCATGCTCCTAGGTCAATGGCTTGACCTTTAGGGAAAACTGTCGGTTACACTCAAAGCCCTCGAAGAGGGCTAAAAAGTGACCGCGAGTGAAATTCTCTTTATATGAGCTCTATTACGAAAATTTTTTTCCTCCGACGACCCCCCTTGATATTTTGTGAGGTGGTAGAAGAACACCTAGGAGTGTCACAAAAAATACTCGGCATATCTGGGAAAACTTCGGAAAGCGGTCAAAACTGACCAGTTGTATTTCCCTATATAATCTTTGTATTTTATGGGAAAAACAGAGGGTCATTTCAACGCAGACTTTAGGGTACTTAAGCTCAGTATATCTGGCTACTTTTTTGCATGCTCCTAGGTCAATGGCTTGACCTTTAGGGAAAACTGTCGGTTACACTCAAAGCCCTCGACGAGGGCTAAAAAGTGACCGCGAGTGAAATTCTCTTTATATGAGCTCTATTACGAAAAAAAATTTCCTCCGACGACCCCCCTTGATATTTTGTGAGGTGGTAGAAGAACACCTAGGGGTTTCATAAAAAAGTCGGCAATTCTGGGAAAACTTCGTAAAGCGGTCAAAACTGACCAGTTGTATTTCCCTATATAATCTTTGTATTTTATGGGAAAAACAGGGAAATTTTAACACAATTTTTAGGTTACTTAATGTCTGTACATCATGCTAAGTTTTTGCATACACTACTATAGATGACTAGGCCGTATGGAAAAACTGTTGGTCAGACTCAAAGCCCTCGACGAGGGCTAAAAGATGATCTTGAGTGAAATTCTCCTTATATGAGATATATATATATATATATATATATATATATATAAATAAATTGACGAACGATCCCCTTAATATTATGTGACGTCGTAGACCGACCATGGAGGGTAACAAAAAAACTTTATTCCCGTCGGAAACAGCCATTATAGTCGTTAAATAAGTTCATATAACGTAATTTCTTATATAAGCAAACAATATAAGTAAACAATGACATACGTCATACGTTCAGTTTTCAAGGGAGGTAACGTTTTTAAAATTATTATTTTTCAAATAATTGTATACTATTTTAAACAGAAACAGAAAATGAGGACAAAATTAAGTTGTTAATTTAGTTAAGTATGTTAATTAAATTAATTAATTAATTTCAAAAGGCAATGTAATATAAACTATGAGATATACTGTTCATGAAACCTGTGTAGTTCTAATTCCATTTTAGTTATACTTTGCGTACTTTCCAAAAATTCGCTACAAATCTGCATGTAAATGACTAACAAAAACATTTTTTCTAAAGTTAGCATTACTGTTTAAATTAAACTTATTAAACTTATTAAAGCACTCCACACCCAATCCATCGCTAAATAATTAAGTATTCAAATTCTCAAATGCCTTTTAAAAACCTAAGCGAAGCTAGGCAGTATGCCTAGTATATATATATATATATATATATATATATATATATATATATATATATATATATATATATATATATATATATATATATATATATATATATATAATATAACGCTGCTGGTAGTGTGTCAGTCCTTCCTTCTGTCATCGCTATAGATTTTGGAACCATAAAAGTAAACATCGCACCATGCTGTGCTTTTCAGTGCACCGCAGTGTCTTATTATAGGTAATAGAGTAGGGTTTGTTTATATAACGGCATAGATCTATTTTATAATTTCCACTGTTTGTACAATTTTGCATAACGTAAAGAGAATATTAAATACACGCACATTGCTAAAACATATTAAAAGGATCAATGTCAAATATCGTTTTCGTTAATATTCCCAGAAAAAGTGGATACATATTAATAACATAATAACAGTACGGTAGAAAAAATCTAATTAAACTTCTTAGTAATTTTGCCAATGGAGGTAATTCAAAGATAAATTGAACTCACGCTAAAAATGTGAATGCAAAATCTGCAAGACGGAATAATTGTTGGAATAATATAATTAGCAAAATGTGAATGCAAATTATGCAGAGGTGTAAGAGTACATTATTGTTGGAATATTATTATTAGCATTGATTGATAAAAGGCTATCTTTTATTTATTTTATTCACTGAATGTACTGTTTACTAATTATAATTTTTAATCAACTATTCTCCATTACTATATTAAGTCATCACGTTCATTAGGTGCGCAATGGTTTTAGTCATGAAACTTTATTGTAAATTTTTAAAAGTACTGAAAAAAATGAATGAATTTATAAAGTGCAATATGGTCGGTAAAACACGGATATTCTAAATACTGCCTTTAATTTATTTGCGGAAAAGCTAGGGGTTTTATAACAGAGGCGTAGCAAGAGGGGGGGGGGGGGAGGGTGGAAATCGAAAGTTTGAGGGAGGTGGGAGGGTGTAAATCGAAATTTTCCGCCGGCGCTCGGAAAGGGCGCGATTTGGCGCTATGGGATAGACTGTGAGCAATATGCCTTTATGATTACATTTAAATTGAGTTTATGTTGAGTGTTGTGTTTGTTTTTGTTTTTTCTTTGCGTTCGTTTGTGTTGTATTTAGTTTTGTTCTGTTCCCAACTTGGTACATTTAAAAAAGATTTACCGTGTGTTGTGGTTGTGGTTGTGGTTGTGTTGTGGTTGTGGTTGTGTTGTGGTTGTGGTTGTGGTTGTGTTGTGGTTGTGTTGTGGTTGTTTTGTGGTTGTGTTGTGGTTGTGTTGTGGTTGTGTTGTGATTGTGTTGTGGTTGTAATGTGGTTGTGTTGTGGTTGCGGTTGTGTTTTGTTTGTGTTTGTGTTGTTTTTTTGTTTGTTTTGTTCTGTTCCAAAGTTGGTATATTTTAAAAAGATTTACCGTGGCGGAGCACGGGATGCAGCTAGTATATATATATATATATATATATATATATATATATATATATATCAACAAATGAGTATTTTCCTATTCAACTGTTCAATAAACTATTGCGGCCTGTTTCTTCTCTTACAGACTTGGGCCCACTTCACCTATCCAACAACAGCGACCACAGTACGTGCAATACTACAGGAGAGACGGTGGCAACACAATAGAAGGATATTTCAGGAGAACGCCAGCAAAAGGACGAAACTAAACCCGGAAGACAAAGCAGGTCCTAGCACCGCGAACGCCACATCTCAGGAGGGGCTGTCTGAAGAATGAGACCTGGAAATGAGGTGAAAATAGCCAACGGACTTGTAGAAGAGTTAAATTTTTACCAAAACAAAGATCATTACACCTTTCTCATATAAAACGGACACATATTTTCATCTTTGATAAATTACTAATGCATTTTTTATCACTTGTCAAAAGTATATCACAAAAGAATGAAATAGTTTTAAAATGTACAAGGATATTTAGAAAGTTTAAAAAGTTATAAGGAACGATAAAATAATTACGTTATACAAGGCAAACTCATTAAATTAGATTAAAATTTGGCCAATAAAAATAATTTTGCACATTTTTCAATTTCTGATACATATTTTATGTTTACCATGTGTTATGTCGAGAAAAGTGAAAGAAATGTAATTTAAGTGTTTAAAAAAGCAATGTTTTCTGGCCATTACATCAGTTTGTGTATTGTAATAGTAAAAATGTATTCTTCCATTTTAGTAGACAAGTATGTCTAAGCGAATGTTCATACGATGTTAAACAATAAACGTAACAATACATTATTCACAAAACTTACATCTAACCATCTTTATAAACGAAATACATAATACATTATATATATTCATTGAATTGTTGTGAGTTATTTATTCTCGTGTCTGTATTAAAACTTTTTATGTTGGGTATATGACCTTATACAATTACTATTTTTGCTCGTCTTGCAAAATTTAGTTAACGTGCTGATTAATGTTACTACTATTACTACTTATAACACTACGACTTTATTTTATATAGTTAAAAATAGTAAGCCTTCTGTCACAGTGCAGTTATTTAAACAAAGAAATAATATTTACATTGCAGTAATATAATAGAGTAGAATGGTTATAAAACAGTATCAAAATGAGATGTTGCACTTGCTTCTTATAGAATGTCGTGACATTGTTGTTTATTTAGTGTTGTTTTGAATATATTTTGAGAAATAGTTTCTTTGCTTTAGGAAGATTGTTCCACAAAACAGAGATGGTCAAACTATGGCTTTGGAAAAACAAATTGTATATTAAACAAAAAAAAAAAGATTTATAGCTTTGATTAAGGTAGGAACTCATTTTCTTAAACGCTTCTATTCATAACCTAACTCTAAAAAAAAATCCCTACGTGTTTGAGATAAAGATCGCTTTTCTGTTTAATTATAAAGCAGAATCCTGTTATACAATAACACCAGAGTGTTAATTATGAAAATAACACTCCTGCTTACTTGTACTAAAGAAAAGATCGTTTTTAAATTTCAAAGCAGAATTATGTTATACAATAACTTTGACAAAGAGTAGTTAATGGTATGGCTTGGCTAAAAATGTGTTTAGAAAACAAAAACAATATAGGGCTGTTAAGTAGGTCACCAACCAGTTCTACGGCTAAAAAAACCTGCATGAGCCATAGAACTGGTTGGTGACCTACTTACGAGCCCTATAACTCCTTAATCAATATGACCTCATGTCTTAACAGCTTCTATTCATAAATCAACTTTGACTTACTTACTTGTTTGAAAGAAATGTCGAATTGTTGTTAGCACTTCACAGCACAATTATGTCATACATTAACTCTGAACGTTGTTTTCCGCTTAAAGCCGTCGGTGATAGGAATAACTGAGGGGTTTTCTATTATCGTATTTTGGTAAATTGAAGCAAAACATTTTGCAGTTTAAAAAAAATAAATTCTAATCTGTTTCACTTTTACGTCGTGTTTCAAAGATTATTTTCTTTCATAAATCATGATCTTTAAAATAATGTAAGTTTGGTTATAAGAGGGGAGAGTGTAGGTGAGAGGCGGTTTTTGACTCTGTTTCATAGTGTGTGATAAAATTTCTTAAAAGTGTTGACTATAACATTTATATTTAAATAGAAATTGAGTAAAATACTAACCGATTCCCCCCCCCCCCCCCTCCGAGGTACCGGATATCGTTTTAAATGACGAAAAATATCGTACTTATAAAATGTCGTTCGCTTACTGAAAATGTACTCAAGTTATTGGTATTTTAGGAAACGGGAATACCTTGCTTTCCGCTTTCGAATGTCGGAATACAATCCACAAATGTAAGCATAGAATCAAATACTTCTATATGAAATTTCCTTAACTTAATTGATGTTCAAATTATTATGTTCACGCGCAAATATACTACAGTACCATTTCCGTTTAGTATAAATCGCTCCAAAATCGTGGTTAACTATGCAAGTAATTACTTATTTAGGAAAACTCGTTTTTTATTAACCTATTTCCAGTACAATTTCCGTGAATCGGAAATCGCCCGAATGTTGAAAGAATCTAACAATCGTACAATATAAGATCAACCTTTTATACAGTAAATTTTGTTCAGTTATCGTGTTAACATGCATACACACAGATCAAATATACATAACAATTGAACTGTAAAACGTAATTTTTCCAACACAAGAAATGTTGATTTTTTTTAAACCGATTACAACACTTCAGCATATTCTCCGTATATTGTAGCCGAGACGAATTATATGACTTACTTTGTTTCTCAAACTTGAAATTCTGCAGTCAAACTTTTCACACCTTTATCGTGCACAATTCTGCACTGATGCGACCAAAACAATAACAGGAAGAAGTTCTATCGCGTTCTTGCAACGTCTAAATTCAGTCGATTACCAACAAAAACGAAAGATCAAAACAGTTTCGTCTGATAAAAGATCAACGGTAAGACATGACAACGATTACAAACATGGTAAATATGTATGCTGCAGAAACAAAGCGGCCGTGTGAAAAATACTTCACAAAAAAAGATTGTAATTCAGATGGCTTATTACATTGGGAACTATTACCGAAACAGATACTTATAAAGATATTTGATTATCTGCAACAGCACGACCTCATACGCGTGGCAACTGTGTGTCAATCTTGGCGGTATGTGGTTAAAAACACCCCTCAGTTTTGGAAGAAGATACATCTGAGGTTGTCTTGCAAACACAAACCGAAGTACCATAAAACAGCTTGCTGGCTTGCTAAAACAATGGGAAGGTACTTTCAGGAAGTGTATGTCTCCTGCAATCACAAACATAGCGGTATGCATTGCAAAGATGTAAGAACTGAGTTTCGTGAACTGCTGTCGAGCTTACCAAACAAACTGAATCTGACCAAGTTGAAAATTACCGACCTACAGCTAGAAAGCCCGCTGTGTTGCGTCATAAGAATAATCCGTGTTTTGATGACGCGCTTGCTGTCCAAACAAGATCGGTTAGAATGTTTCCAAATGTCGTCTGCGAACTGGCCAGTACATGAAGGCAACAATGTCCTCTATGTTCTCTTCAGCGTGGCTAAAGGAACTCTACAGTCCCTGCTCATCGACGGATTCTATGAGGAGATTTCCTTTGACTATGGACCGGAAGTGTTCGATAATTTGTTTTCCGGAATCCTTTCTCTCAACCGCTTGACGAAGCTGGGCATTGACTACGTGTTCCTGAGTGATTTTTTTCTAGCAGAGCTTTCTAGGACATTCGCAGGACAGCTGAAGGTACTGAAAGTCACAACAAGCCAAGTGGATCGTAAAACCAGCATCTTATCCAGGAGCTCTTGGGTTACATTGGTAAGGCAGTTGTTGACAAAAACCAAAACCTTTTAAACGTTTACACTCTTATTCTTTCTCTCACTTGCATTACTACTCAGACTCACACACTCATAATCAAGAATGCACTCATACACACACACACGCTAACACACACACACACACCAACAGTCACACCGACAATCACACTCAGTCTGTCGCTCACGTTTACACCCACACCCCTTTTCCCTCTCACACGCACGCTCATACACACTCACACTAAGAGTCACACTGACAATCACACTAAAGCTGATGCTAATGTCTACACCTACACTCCCACTCCCACTCACAAGCCTGACACTAAAAGTAACGCATACACACACGCACCAATGTTAACGCTAACGCTGGCGTGGAGACTAACACTTACACGTACACGTACACGTACACGTACACGTACACGTACACGTACACGTACACGTACACGTACACGTACACGTACACGTACACGTACACGTACACGTACACGTACACGTACACGTACAATTACACGTACACGTGCACGTACACGTGCACGTACACGTACACGTACACGTACACGTACACGTACACGTACACGTACACGTACACGTACACGTACACGTACACTCACACTCACACTCACACTCACACTCACACTCACACTCACACTCACACTCACACTCACACTCACACTCACACGGAAATGGACACGACACTGCACTGGCACTGGCACTGACACTGGCACTGGCACTGACACTGACACTGACACTGACACTGACACTGACACTGACACTGACACTGACACTGACACTGACACTGACACTGACACTGACACAGAAACTTACATTGACATTGACATTGACATTGACATTGACATTGACATTGACATTGACATTGACATTGACATTGACATTGACATTGACATTGACATTGACATTGACATTGACATTGACATTGACATTGACATTGACATTGACATTGACATTGACATTGACATTGACATTGACATTGACATTGACATTGACATTGACATTGACATTGACATTGACATTGACATTGACATTGACATTGACATTGACATTGACATTGACATTGACATTGACATTGACATTGACATTGACATTGACATTGACATTGACATTGACATTGACATTGACATTGACATTGACATTGACATTGACATTGACATTGACATTGACATTGACATTGACATTGACATTGACATTGACATTGACATTGACATTGACATTGACATTGACATTGACATTGACATTGACATTGACATTGACATTGACATTGACATTGACATTGACATTGACATTGACATTGACCTTGACATTGACATTGACATTGACATTGACATTGACATTGACATTGACATTGACATTGACATTGACATTGACATTACACATTGACATTGACATTGACATTGACATTGACACTGACACTGACACTGACACTGACACTGACACTGACACTGACACCGACACCGACACTTACACCTACACTCACAGTCACACTCACACTCACACATACACACACACTCACACACACTCAAACTCACTCTCATACACACTCACAATCACACTCATACGCACACACACACTCATACACTCTAACACTTACACTTACACTTACTTTAACACATTTTGCCTATTAAGTACTTGCATGTTATATTTTAACCTTCCCACGAACTAAATCTAACCCTGAAATGTTTGTTACTATACGCCTAACTCTTAATTTAGACATAACCATATCCTTAAGAATACCTTTTCCAAATCTCTTAATTCTAGCACTAACTATTACAATACCCTTAATCCCATCTCTGTGTAACGTTTAGATTAGTGATATTGGTAGAATCTATTTATACGAGACCACCGGTTAATATCCTGATTCTGTTTTTTCCTTTCGGCCGTTTAATTAATTAATAGGAAAATAATTCGTCATGCAGTGCAATGTCATAGATTGGGTGGGGGTGGGCTTCAACTTTTGGCTCCAACACAGTTAAGTAGTACGTGTGAACTGGTTATGCGCTATATTGGCCGTTGACTTCAATTTCAGCCTGCTTTTCTTTTTGGATTTGCTTCCATAGCCTCTGTCAATCTAAGAACAACAACAAGGCAGCGTTGTCTCTCCTACAAGAGGATAAATTGACCGGGACAGTGTTTTTCGTCCTCGTATTGAATTTATATAATGTTCTACCAGATATTTTACATTGTATATTGGCTCATTATTTAACTTTTACGTGTTTGTATCTCCATCTTTCCCCCTTGCCCAACCAGACCAAGGCATGCCCTGCGTTGAAAGTGGCGTTTACCATTAACGGTGTGTTCTCCCTATTCAAGACGGTCCGCAAGTTGAGTCCTGTCGTACCCGTCTATAAGCTCCGGCTGTCGCTCAGGTCAGGACCCAACAGCCCGGATGTGGGTAGTTTCAGCATTGCGGCTTTACTGGGGCACGTCACCATGAGCTACAGGTGGGTGTGGAATGTGTTGTTTAGTTGATGCTCTAATGGGACACGTCACCATGAGCTACAGGTGGGTGTGGAGTCTGTCGTGTGGTTGATGCTCTAATGGGACACGTCACCATGAGCTACAGGTAGGTGTGAAATCAGCTGTTTGGTTGATGCTCTAATTTGACACGTCACCATGAGCTACAGGTAGGTGTGAAATCAGCTGTTTGGTTGATGCTCTATTTGGGACACGTCACCATGAGCTACAGGTGGGTGTGGAGTATGTCGTGTGGTTGATGCTCTACGTGGAATCTGTTGTTTACATGTATGTTTGGTTTATGCGTGTTCTATCTACGGCCTAAAAGATGATCGGTTAACGATTGACGTGGTAATATATATATATATATATATATATATATATATATATATATATATATATATATATATATATATATATATATATATATATATATATATATATATATATATATATATGCAGAACTCGAAACATTAACCATCAACACAAAATATGTGCATATATATATATATATATATATATATATATATATATATATATATATATATATATATATATATATATATATATATATATATATATATATAAGGCTGATGCGGGTTCAATCCATAGTTTAACAGACGATCGAACAGAGATCGTATGTGCCTCTTCTCTTATACTACGTATATAAAAAGAGGGCAAGATTGAATAGTCTACTTGATGGTAAACGATAGACTAGGCAACTATCTCCAAATCGAAGTTTTAAATTGAGTTTCACGTTGAATACATTATCTACCCTCTCTCAAACAATATATTTTTCATTCATATTTTTCATACTTCATAGTTATGTCGTGTGTCAATGCGCTTTTCTTTAAAAAAAAATACAGTGTAACGTTGATATACGAATTTAAATCCACTATAAATCTATTAACTTTAGGAAAGAAAGGCGGTTGGGCATAATGTTAACAGCATTAGAATCACATGAACTCTACTTCCTCTGCCCAACGGATTGCTAAGTCTAAAAATGAATCTTTACTTTATTTACATCAAGCTATAGACCTATTCTAAATCTACAGGCACACGTTGGTAAAGTTTGAGGTTGACATTGGAAGAAAAAGTGGCTTTATCGACCTAGCGTTCTTGATGCTCGTCAAGAAATGCCAACACGTGGTTCATGTGAAGGTAAGACAGGAATAAAATGATTTTACTGAATACAACACAACATATGGACAAATTACCACACAGAACTCAGTATTAAATATCACGCAACATATGGACAGTTGACCAAACAGATCTCAGCACTGAATACAACTTAATATAAGCTCTGACTTATAGCACTGACTTATAGAGTACCTATTAAGCTTGCAATTAAACGACCATAAAGAACACAGAAGTGTAAGATAAAACGTACAGTTTAAAACTACCAACAGTTAAAACCACTACACAAACACTTAGAGACATTTAAACACATACAAGTTTCCGCAATTGAAGCCTTAGTCAGAAAGATTCGATTATTGCTAGAATGTCTCCTTCGAGGGTCGAAAGGTAGACTGCTTACCCGAAAATAGTTAGGATCCCGGGTTCGAATTCACAGGACATCCCTGAGTCCTTCTAGCTCTGAGGGGTATCTTAATGAAGAATAGGACTGTCGGACATAGTGCTGTCCACACCATCATTTAACTACCTTAAGTTACTGAAACCGGTGAACTCTACTTTGTCTGCTCTCATTCAGAACTAATCAGAACCAGACATTTCTGAAGAAATTCTACCGTCCCCCGCCCCTCCCCCTCCCCCATCGAAATGGAATTTATATAGAAAATATATACTTTTAAAAGTGTCCAAAAAAATAATTCAAGTGTCCCCCCTCCCCTACTGGAGAAAAAAAATCTGGAAAAAAACACTGATCACAACGTCAAATGTGAAGATAATCTAATGTAAATTAATCTAATTCATAGAGACTAAACACAAGTTATTAAGTCTCTTAAACGTATAGTAAAGATATTTTGATCAACTTGTTTTTTTTTATTACAGAAAATACATAAGCTCGTACAACTTCTTTGATAAAATCTCACTAACCCATCTGCTCTTCTACAGACCCCGAAACAGTTCAGTCATCCGGAGTCGGAGCGGGTTGTCAGGAATTTGATTCAACATAGGCGGCGAAAGCTCAACATGCGGTTACCCGGAGATGTAGTTAACAAACGAGTAAAAATAAACCCAGTAGACCAAGCAGGACCGAGCAGCACCAAGCAGGACCAAGCAGGGCCAAGCAGGACCAAGCAGGACCAAGTAGGACCAAGTAGGACCAAGCAGGACCAAGTAGGACCAAGCAGGACCAAGCAGGACCAAGTAGGACCAAGCAGGACCAAGCAGGACCAAGCAGGACCAAGCAGGACCAAGCAGGACCAAACAGGACCAAGCAGGACCAAGCAGGGCCAAGCAGGACTGAGCACAGCTCACGCCCTAATACCGTAAGGGCTGTATGAAAAATGAGGCCTATACGGTTGAGTGAATCTAGAGAACGGACAGGTGGACAATGAAATCAGGACAAACATCATTTCTCGTTGAAAACGGACATTTTTATCTTTATTAAACTACCAAAACAATGTTTTAAAAATTACACGTCTAAACTGTATTAGAAATTTCAATAATTATAAAACATACAAGACATAAATAGATAGACGGACACTTTTTTATCTTTGATAAAATACCAATGCAATTTTTAAATTCCCATGTCATTCAAGATTAAAATAGTAAGATGAATATAAAACATAAAAAATATAAAGAGTACAAATAACCTCATCCAACAAAACATGTTTAGTTCTGACTGTGCTGATTCCATTAGATCAGTGAAGACCTACAACAATATCTGTAGACATTTTTTAAGATATTGAAGCACATTCCATGATGTTTAACCTTGTGTTATGTTTGCAAAAAAATGAAAAGTGTGGAGTATTTACAAAGAATATGTCTATTTTTTTAATTATAAAATCCGTGTTAGTATTGTTATAAAAAATGTGTATTCACTAATTTCAGAACAGTAATTGATTTTTGTGTGCAAGGATACCATGTGGACTGTTTTACAAATAAATTTAATAATATAAAATAACAAATAATGATAGCATATCATCTTTTATAAAAAAAAAACAGCAATAAACGATATATTATAACATATTTTAATTGTTACGAGTTTTGAATAAAAAAATTCTTGTTTACATTAAAACATTGTGGATCTGGACAAAAGGCCGACACGGACAAAAGACCGACACGGACAAAAGGCTGAAACGGACAAAAGACCGACACGGATAAAAGGCCGACACGGACAAAAGGCCAACAAGACAATGAATGTTGTGCACACTTTAATGCATCGTTGTAGATACGGCGACACGGCAGTGCATACAACACTACATCACAGGATTCACTACACCACGTCAATACTAGTTTCATGCTTGATACACATGAATAGACCTCGTCTTTACCAAACACATTAAATAAGAGACTATTGTAAATACGTGCGAAGTCTAAAATGTTTGGCATCCAGTTTCAATTCATTACATTCAGTTTCAATAAGTCTCGACCTTTTAAAATACAGTTCAAGGAAAGTCATGTAAATAAAAAAAAGAATTGTTGAAAGAATGAATAATTGAAAGAATGAACCGTATAAACGAGTAAATAAGTTAAATGAAATATTTAATGTATTAAGCAATGGGGGAATAAAGAAAGAGTAATAATTGTATTAATGAAGAAAAGAATGATCGAAGCAATGAAGAAGTATACATATGCAGGTATTAAATAGGGAATAAAAGAAAAAAAATGAGGCCATGCAAATATGAAGAAACCAAAAAATAAAGGAATAAAACGTTTATAAATGAAGAAATGAATAACCAAATGAACAAGTAAATGAACGAATGAACATTTGAGCAAATGAGGGAATAAACGACCGAGGGAGTGCAGGAATGGAGGGATAAAAAAATGGAACAAATGAACAGTAACAGATGCATGGATATTAAACTGTAGCCCATATTATATATATATATATATATATATATATATATATATATATATATATATATATACGAGAAAAATGGCCCGTTGAGGAAGGATACACCGGGCGCTAGGTTGATAGTGCTGTCTCTTTTCTCTAAACTAAAACCAACCCACACCCCCACACACCACCCCCACCCCACCCCCCCCACCCCCACACACCACCCCCACCCCCACCCCCCCACCACACACCACCCCCACCCCCCACCCCCACCCCCCACACACACCACCCCCTCCACACACCGCCCCCCCACCCCTCCACCCACTCCCCCCAAAAAACATGTCTACCGTAACATTCAACGAAATATAATTATATACTTTTTCCAGTGTCCGCCCCCTCCCAGAAAATTCTACCCCCGCCCCCGAAAATTTCAAGTACCCCCACCCCTCTCCGGGGAGGAAAAAGTCTGAAAGAAACACGGAAACCAACCCACCCCCCACACACCACCCCCCACCCCCCACCCCCACACCCCCCCCCACACACACACACACCACCCCCCACCCCTCCATCCCCCCCCCACCCCCCCCCCCCCAAAAAAAACATGTCTACCGTCCCATTGCAAGAAAACCACTTTTTAGATTAGACACATTAATTAGGCGGTAATTTTATTATAGAGTATCGATGAGGAAATTTCTTTTGAGTTGGGGAGGGGGGGGGGGGGGGCTCAGACGTTCTTACGCGGGGTGGGGCTTCGCCCCTACCCGAAGAATTGTATGAAAGAAACTCTTCACGCAAACCACTTAGATTAGACAACATTTCCTTTTTATTCAATGTTAACGCGAAAATCAATGACGTCATATAACTGTGAGCACTCTCTGGGTTTGAGATTATTTTCAACTACATGCTAAATGTGTCGACGTCATACTTCGTCTTTCGAAATACTATGCATGTTTTTAAATTGCTTGTGTTTTCTCTAGAGCGTTCTTGTCAGATTGAATTTTTTCTTATGTTTTCTCTAGAGCGTTCTTGTCAGACAGAGCGTTCTTGTCAGATAGATAGATACATACACAGACAGCGAAACTATTATTATAGATATACGAGAAAAATGGCCCGTTGAGGAAGGATACACCGGGCGCTAGCTTGATAGTGCTGTCTCTTTTCTCTAAACTAAAACCAACCCACCCCCCCCCCACACACACCACCCCCACCCCACCCCACCCCACACACCACCCCCCACCCCCACCCCCCACCCCCCACACACACCACCCCCTCCACACACCGCCCCCCCCCCCCCACACACACCACCCCCCACCCCTCCACCCCCCCCCCCCCCCCCAAAAAAAACATGCCTACCGTCCCATTCAACGAAATATAATTATATACTTTTTCCAGTGTCCGCCCCTTCCCCGAAAATTCTACCCCCGCCCCCGAAAATTTCAAGTACCCCCACCCCTCTCTGGGGAGGAAAAAGTCTAAACTAAAACCACCCCACCCCCCACACACACCACCCCCCACCCCCCACACACACCACCCCCCCACCCCCCCCCCACCCCCCCCCCCCCCCAAAAAAAACATGTCTACCGTCCCATTCAACGAAATATAATTATATACTTTTTCCAGTGTCCGCCCCCTCCCCGAGGGGGGGGGGGGCTCAGACGTTCTTACGCGGGGGGTGGGGCTTCGCCCCTACCCGAAGAATTGTATGCAAGAAACTCTTCACGCAAACCATTAAGATTAGACAACATTTCCTTTTTATTCAATGTTAACGCGAAAATCAATGACGTCATATAACTTTGAGCACTCTCTGGGTTTGAGATTATTTTCTACTCTGTGCGCTAAATGTGTCGACGTCATATTTCGTTTTTCGAATTACTGTGCATGTTTTTAAATTGCTTGTGTTTTCTCTAGAGCGTTCTTGTCAGACAGAGCGTTCTTGTCAGATACACAGACAGCGAAACTATTAGTATCTAATATATAAAGCTCAGTTCTGTAACGTGTGGCAAAAAAGTTTGTCGTTGACAGTTCTATGGATTTAAGTGTTAGATTTTTTTATCGTGCTCACAGTCTAAATGTACGAGTCAAAAAATTACCATTGAAAGTCTTTAAAAACAATTTTCATTCTATTTACTTAGAAGAATAATTTTCAATTATGAACACGACATAAAATTTTTAAAAAGTGTATCGACGTTTATAAAATTTCTAAAATTGTGTCGGAAATGTATTGACTGCACAGTTACTTCCCTTTAATAAAAAAATTCTTAAGAAGAAAGAATTTACATTTTATTACTTTGTTTTTGGTGTTAATAAGAAAAAAAAATAATTACATAATTAGCGGGGATTGATTAAGTGCAATGTCGTTAGGTATTTTTAACACGGCCTTTTATTTATTCTATACACTGAACATACTGTTCAATATTTTTTTTTTTTAAATCAATAACATTTAATAAGCCAGGTCCTACAAATCCTATATGTTTATTTCTTTCCATTTACGGATAAGCTTTGAGTATTATCATTTTTGTTCACTAAATTGAAACAGGCGCGTCCGCCGGCGCCCTTGCACGGTTCGATTTGGCACCCTGGGCTATCATGTGAGCGCTATGCTGCATAGTTTTGTTTTTAACAGTGCGATAGACTATGGGTAAGAAAGGTTACTATAGTCTTTAAGTGAATCAAATCCGGGCGTCCTCCGGCACCCCGACAGGGTGCTATTTGGCGCCCCGGGCCTTCCGGTGTACGCTATGGTATATACGTTCGCGTGAGTTCAAAAGACTATGAATAAGTTATGTACTATAGTCGTTTACTAAGTTCAATCAGGCGGTGACGTCATGGTGCGTCCTCTGGCGCCCAGACAGGGTGCTATTTGGGGTCCCGGGCCTCCCGTGTTCGGTTTCGCGCCTACGTTCATTAAAGTGAGTGCAAAAGACTATGAATAAGTTGGGGTACTATAGTCGTTATTAAGCTGAAACAGGCGATTCCGCCCCGGGCTAGACTCTGAGCACTGTGCGTTTATGTTCGCGTTAGTGTTTTCTTTGTGTTTAGGTTGGGTTTGCGTTAGTGGTTGCGTTTTGATTTGGTTCGTTTTTGTTCTTTCTTTTTTCGTTTTCGTTTGTGTTTTATCTTCTTTGCGTTTGTGTTTGTATTTGTGTTTGTGGTTGGTTTTGCGTTTGTATTTGGTTTTGTTTTCGTTTGTTTTTTCGTTTGTGTTTTTTTCTTTGGGTTTGTGGTTGGTTTTGCATTTGGATTTGGTTTGTTTTCGTTGCTTTTTCGTTTGTTTTTTTCTTTGTGTTCGTATTGGTGTTTGTGGTTGTGGTTGGGTTAGTTTTTAGGTTTTTGTTTTCGTTTGTATTTGTAATTGTGTTAGTGTTATGTTTGCGTTTTGTTGTTTTGGTTTTGGTTTGGGTGTGCAATGCCGGGTTTATGATGATTACTAAACACACAGGTAATGGTCTTTAACAGAAAGGTTTTTCACAGAAGCCAGAGCAGGGCCTGGCCGGGACGGCTAGTCTAATATATAAAGCTCAGTTCTGTAACGTGTGGCAAAAAAGTTTGTCGTTGACAGTTCTATGGATTTAAGTGTTAGATTTTTTATCGTGCTCATAGTCTAAATTTACGAGTCAAAAAATTACCATTGAAAGTCTTTAAAAACAATTTTCACACTATTTACTTAGAAGAATAATTTTCAATTATGAACACGACATAAAATTTTTAAAAAGTGTATCGACGTTTATAAAATTTCTAAAATTGTGTCGGAAATGTATTGACTGCACAGTTACTTCCCTTTAATAAAAAAAATCCTTAAGAAGAAAGAATTTACATTTTATTACTTTGTTTTTGGTGTTAAGAAAAAAAAATAATTACATAATTAGCGGGGATTGAATAAGTGCAATGTCGTTAGGTATTTTTAACACTGCCTTTTATTTATTCTATACACTGAAGATACTGTTCAATATTTTTTTTTTAAATCAATAACATTTAATAAGCCAGGTCCTACAAATCCTATATGTTTATTTCTTTCCATTTACGGATAAGCTTGGAGTATTATCATTTTTGTTCACTAAATTGAAACAGGTGCGTCCGCCGGCGCCCTTGCACGGTTCGATTTGGCACCCTGGGCTATCATGTGAGCGCTATGCTGCATAATTTTGTTTTGAACAGTGCGATAGACAATGGATAAGAAAGGTTACTATAGTCTTTAAGTGAATCAAATCCGGGCGTCCTCCGGCACCCCGACAGGGTGCTATTTGGCGCCCCGGGCCTTCCGGTGTACGCTATGGTATCTACGTTCGCGTGAGTTCCAAAGACTATGAATAAGTTATGTACTATAGTCGTTTACTAAGTTCAATCAGGCGGTGACGTCATGGTGCGTCCTCTGGCGCCCAGACAGGGTGCTATTTGGGGTCCCGGGCCTCCCGTGTTCGGTTTCGCGCCTACGTTCATTAAAGTGAGTGCAAAAGACTATGAATAAGTTGGGGTACTATAGTCGTTTATTAAGCTGAAACAGGCGATTCCGCCCCGGGCTAGACTCTGAGCACTGTGCGTTTATGTTCGCGTTAGTGTTTTCTTTGTGTTTAGGTTGGGTTTGCGTTAGTGGTTGCGTTTTGATTTGGTTCGTTTTTGTTCTTTCTTTTTTCGTTTTCGTTTGTGTTTTATTTTCTTTGCGTTTGTGTTTGTATTTGTGTTTGTGGTTGGTTTTGCGTTTGTATTTGGTTTGTTTTCGTTTGTTTTTTCGTTTGTGTTTTTTTTTCTTTGGGTTTGTGGTTGGTTTTGCATTTGGATTTGGTTTGTTTTCGTTTGCTTTTTCGTTTGTTTTTTTCTTTGTGTTCGTATTGGTGTTTGTGGTTGTGGTTGGGTTAGTTGTTAGGTTTTTGTTTTCGTTTGTATTTGTAATTGTGTTAGCGTTATGTTTGCGTTTTGTTGTTTTGGTTTTGGTTTGGGTGTGCAATGCCGGGTTTATGATGATTACTAAACACACAGGTAATGGTCTTTAACAGAAAGGTTTTTCACAGAAGCCAGAGCAGGGCCTGGCCGGGACGGCTAGTTAATATATATATATATGTGTGTGTGTGTGTGCGTATGCATGTGTGTGAGTGTGTGTGTATGCGTATGCATATATATATATATATATATATATATATATATATATATATATATATATATAAATATATATGCATACACACACACATATATATATATATATATATATATATATATATACCAAATTCAATAAACTATTGCGACCTGTTCCTTCTTTTACAGACTTGGGCCCACTTCACCTATCCATCAACAGCGACCACAGTACGTGCAATACTACAGGAGAGACGGTGGCAACACAATAGAAGGATATTTCAGGAGAAGACAAAGCAGGACCGAGCACTGCTAACGCCACATCTCAGGAGGGGATGTCTGAAGAATCAGACCTGGACTATTGGTGAAAATAGACAACGGACTTGTAGATGAGTTAGATTTTTAACGAAACAAAGATCATTACACTTTTCTCATATAAAATGGACACGTATTTTCATCTTTGGTAAATTACTGTTGCATTTTTTATCCCTTGTCAAAAGTATATCACAAAAGAATGAAATAGTTTAAAATGTAAATAGATATTTAGAAAGTTTAGAAAGTTATAAAGAACGAAACAATAATTACGTCTTACATGGCTAACTCTTTAAATGAGATTAAATTTTGGCTAAAAATAATTTTGCACATTTATCAATTCATGATACATATTTTATGTTTACCATGTGTTATGTCGGGAAAAGTGAAATAAACGTAATTTAAGTGTTTAAAAAAAGCAATGTTTTCTGGCCATTACATCAGTTTGTGTATTGTAATAGTAAAAATGTATTCTTCCATTTTAGTAGACAAGTAAGTATGTTTAAGGGAATGTTCATACGATGTTAAACAATAAACGTAACAATACATTATTCACAAAACTTACATCTAACCATCTTTATAAACGAAATACATAATACATTATATATCTTCATTGAATTGTTGTGAGTTATTTATTCTCGTGTCTGTATTAAAAATTTTTATGTTGGATACATGAGCTTATACAATTACTATTTTTGCTCGTCTTGCTAAATATATTTAACGTGCTGATTAATGTTACTACTATTACTATTTTAACACTACGACTTTATTTTAGATAGTTAAAAATAGTAAGCTTTCTGTCACAGTGCAGTTATTTAAACAAAGAAATAATATTTACATTGCAGTAATATGATAGAGTAGAATGGTTATAAAACAGTATAAATGTGAGATGTTGCACTTGCTCCTTATAGAATGTCGTGAAATTGTTGTTTATTTAGTGTTGTTTTAAATATATTTTGAGAAATAGTTTCTTTGCTTTAGGAAGATTGTTCCACAAAACAGAATTGTTCTTCTTCTTCTTCTTCTTCGTTCTTAATTATTAGTGTTGAAGGGGATCGAGAATTATCTGCCAGTGCGTTTGAACTCGAGACTTTGTTCAAATTTATCAACCATGAGCTTTTTGCCGACTCGACCACGCCTCCGACACAATTAAGCGTTACGTGTCAACTGGTTATGCGCCATTGAGGCCATTGACTCCGATTTCAGCCTGCTTTTCTTTTTGGATTTGCTTATATAGCCTTTGTCCAACCAAGAACAAACTACAAGGCAGCAGTTGTTTTAATTTTGGAGTTGTCTCTCCTAGAAGAGTTGTTCAAATTATTGGTTTGGAAAAAAAAATTGTATATTAAAAAAAAAAAAATATTTATAGCTTTGATTAAGGTAGGAACTCATTTTCTTTAGTGCTTCTATTCATAACCTAGCTCTAAAAAAAATTCCCTACTTACTTGTTTTAGATACAGATAGCTTTTCTGTTTAATTATAAATCAGAATCCTGTTATACAATAACACCAGAGTGTGCGAAGCTATGTCTTTGGGAAAACGTGTATATAAAATATGCTAAAAGACTTTATGGTTAATCTGGATCCTCATTTTCTTGTATCCTTTTATTCAATATCTGAGTATGAAAATAACATTCCTCCTTACTTGTTTAAAAAAAAAAGATCGTTTTGTTTTTAAATTTCAAAGCAGAATTATGTTATACAATAACTTTGACAAAGAGTAGTTAATGGTATGGCTTTGCAAAAAAAAATGTATTTAGAAAACAAAAACAATATATGGCTGGTAAGTAGGTCACCAACCAGTTCTACTGCTAAAAAAAACTGCAAGAGCCATAGAACTGGTTGGTGACCTACTTACCAGCCCTATAACTCCTTAATCAATGTAGGACCTCATGTCTTAACAGCTTCTATTCATAAATCAACTTTGGCTTACTTACTTGTTTGAAAGAAATGTCGAATTTTTGTTAGCACTTTACAGCACAATCATGTCATACGTTGTTTTCCGCATAAAGCTGTCGGTGATAGGAATAACTGAGGGGTTTTCTATTATCGTATTTTGGTAAATTGAAGCAAAACATTTTGCAGTTTAAAAAAAATTCTAAACTGTTTAATTTTTACTTTGTGTTTCAAAGATTATTTCTTTCATAAATCATGATCTTTAAAATAATGTAAGTTTGGTTATAAGAGGGGAGAGTGTAGGTGAGAGGCTGTTTTTGACTGTTTAATAGTGTGAGATAAAATTTCTTAAAAGTGTTGATTATAACATTTATATTTTAATAGAAATTGAGTAAAATACAAACCAATCCCCCCCCCCCAAGGTACCGGAGATTTTTTTTAAATGACGAAAAATATCGTACTTATAAAATGTCGTTCGCTTACTGAAAATGTACTCAAGTTATTGGTATTTTAATAAACGGGAATACCTTGCTTTCCGCTTTCGAATGTCGGAATACAATCCACAAATGGAAGCATAGAATCAAATACTTCTATATGAAATTTCCTTAACTTAATTGATGTTCAAGTTATTATGTTCACGCGCAAATATACTACAGTACCATTTCCGTTTAGTATAAATCGCTCCAAAATTGTGGTTAACTATGCAAGTAATTACTTATTTAGGAAAACTCGTTTTTTATTAACCTATTTCCAGTACAATTTCAATGATTCGGAAATCGCCCGAATGTTGAAAGAATCCAACAATCGTACAATATAAGATCAACCTTTTACACATTAAATGTTGTTCAGTTATCGTGTTAACATGCACACACACAGATCAAATATACATAATAACTTAATTGTAAAACGTACTTTTTCCAACACAAGAAACGTCAATTTTTTTTAAACCGATTACAATACTTAAGCATATTCTCCATATAAAATATATTGTAGCCGAGACGAATTATATGACTTACTTTGTTTCTCAAACTTGAAATTCTGCAGTCAAACTTTTCACACCCTTATCGTGCACAATTCTGCAGTGGTGCGACCAAAACAATAACAGGAAGAAGTTCTATCGCGTTCTTGCGACGTCTAAATTCAGTCGATTACCAACAAAAACGGAAGATCAAAACAGTTTCGTCTGATAAAAGATCAACGGTAAGACATGTTAACGATTACAAACATGGTAAATATGTATGCTGCAGAAACAAAGCGGCCGTGTGAAAAATACTTCACAAAAAAAGATTGTAATTCAGATGGCTTAATACATTGGGAACTATTACCGAAACAGATACTTATAAAGATATTTGATTATCTGCAACAGAACGACTTCATACGCGTGGCGACTGTGTGTCAATCTTGGCGGTATGTGGTTAACCACACCCCTAAGTTTTGGAGGAAGATACATCTGAGGTTGTCTTGCAAACACAAACCGATGTACCGTAGAAAAGCTTGCTGGCTTGCTAAAACGATGGGAAGGTACTTTCAGGAAGTGTATGTTTCCTGCAATCACAAACATGACGGTATAAATTGCAAAAATGTAAGATACGAGTTTTGTGAACTGTTGTCGTGCTTACCAAACAAACTGAATCTGACCAAGTTAAAAATTACCGACCTACTGCTAGAAAGCCCGCTGTGTTTCGTCATAAGAATAATCCGTGTTTTGATAACGCGCTTGCTGTCCAAACAAGATCGGTTAGAATGTTTCCAAATGTCGTCTGCGAACTGGCCAGTACATGAAGGCAACAATGTCCTCTATGTTCTCTTCAGTGTGGCTAGAGGAACTCTACAGTCCCTGCTCATCGACGGATTCTATGAGGAGATTTCGTTTGACTATGGACCGGAAGTGTTCGATAATTTGTTCTCCGGAATTCTTTCTCTCAGCCGCTTGACGAAGCTGGGCATCGACTACGTGTTCCTGAGTGATTTTTTTCTAGCAGAGCTTTCTAGGACATTCGCAGGACAGCTGAAGGTACTGAAAGTCACAACAAGCCAAGTAGATCGTAAAACCAGCATCTTATCCAGGAGCTCTTGGGTTACATTGGTAAGGCAGTTGTTGACAAAAACCAAAACCTTTTAAACGTTTACACTCTTATTCTTTCTCTCACTTGCATTACTACTCAGACTCACACACTCATAATCAAGAATGCACTCATACTCACACACACGCTAACACACACACACACCAACAGTCACACCGACAATCACACTCAGTCTGACGCTCACGTTTACACCCACATCCCTTCTCCCACTCGAACGCTCGCTCATACACACTCACACTAACAGTCACACTGACAATCACACTGAAGCTGATGCTAACGTCTACACCTACACTCCCACTCGCAAGCCTGACAATAAAAGTAACGCATACACACACGCGCCAATGTTAACGCTAACGCTGGCGTGGACACTTACACTTACACTTACACTTACACTTACACGTACACGTACACGTACACGTACACGTACACGTACACGTACACGTACACGTACACGTACACGTACACGTACACGTACACGTACACGTACACGTACACGTACACGTACACGTACACGTACACGTACACGTACACGTACACGTACACGTACACGTACACGTACGCTTACGCTTACGCTTACGCTTACGCTTACGCTTACGCTTACGCTTACGCTTACGCTTACGCTTACGCTTACGCTTACGCTTACGCTTACGCTTACGCTCACGCTCACGCTCACGCTCACGCTCACGCTTACGCTTACGCTCACGCTTAAGCTCACGCTCACGCTCACGCTCACTCTCAGGCTTACGCTGACGCTGACGCTGACGCTCACGCTCACGCTGACGCTGACGCTGTCGCTCAAACTCACACTCACACTCACACTCACACGTACACGTACACGTACACGTACACGTACACGTACACGTACACGTACACGTACACGTACACGTACACGTACACGTACACGTACACGTACACGTACACGTACACGTACACGTACACGTACACGTACACGTACACGTACACGTACACGTACACGTACACGTACACGTACACGTACACGTACACGTACACGTACACGTACACGTACACGTACACGTACACGTACACTCACACTCACACTCACACTCACACCCACACCCACACTCACACTCACACTCACACTCACACTCACACTCACACTCACACTCACACTCACACTCACACTCACACTCAAACTCACACGACACTGGCACGGGCACTGACACTGGCACTGGCACTGGCACTGACACTGATACTGACACTGACACTGACAATTACACTCACACTCACACTCACACATACACACACACTCACACACACTCAAACTCACTCTCATACACACTCACAATCACACTCATACGCACACACACACTCACACACTCTCACACTTACACTTACACTTACTTTAACACATTTTGCCTAACAAGTACTTGCATAATTATATTTTAACCTTTCCACGAACTAAATCTAACCCTGAAATGCTTGTTACTATACGCCTAACTCTTAATTTAGACATAACCATATCCTTAAGAATACCTTTTCCCAATCTTTTAATTCTAGCACTAACTATAACGATACCCCTAATCCCATCTCTGTGTAACGTTTAGATTAGTGATATTGCTAGAATCTATTTATACGAGACCACCGGTTAATATCCTGATTCTGTTTTTTTCATTTCGGCCGTTTAATTAATTAATAGGAAAATAATTCGTCATGCAGTGCAATGTCATGGATTGGGTGGGGGTGGGCTCCAACTTTTGGATCCAACACTGTTAAGTAGTACGTGAGAACTGGTTATGCGCTATATTGGCCGTTGACTTCAATTTCAGTCTGCTTTTCTTTTTGGATTTGCTTCCATAGCCTCTGTCAATCTAAGAACAACAACAAAGCAGCAGTTTGACTTAAGCGTTGTCTCTCCTACAAGAGGATAAATTGAACGGGACAGTGTTTTTCGTCCTCGTATTGAATTTATATAATGTCCTACCAGATAGTTTACATTGTATATTGGCTCATTATTTAACTTGTGCGTGTTTGTGTCTCCATCTTTCACCCTTGTCCAACCAGACCAAGGCATATCCTGCGTTTTAAGTGGCGTTACTACAGAACCTATACATTATTAACTGGTACACTATTTAACTTTGTGTGTTTGTGTGTGTTTGAAAGTGGCGTTGAAAATGGCGTTACTGCAGAACCTATACATTATTAACTGATTCACTATTTGACTTGTTTTTGTCTATCCATCTTTCCCCTTGCCCAACCAGACCAAGGCATGCCCTGCGTTGAAAGTGGCGTTTACCATTAACGGTATGTGCTCCCTATTCAAGACGATCCGCAAGTTGAGTCCTGTCGTACCCGTCTATAAGCTCCGGCTGTCGCTCAGGTCAGGACCCAACAGCCCGGATGTGGGTAGTTTCAGCATTGCGGCTTTACTGGGACACGTCACCATGAGCTACAGGTGGGTGTGGAGTATGTCGTGTGGTTGATGCTCCACTATGACACGTCACCATGAGCTAGAGGTGGGTGTGGAATCTGTTGTTTACATGTATGTTTGGTTGATACGTGTTCTATCTACGGCCTAACAGATGATCGGTTAACGATTGACGTGGTAATATATATATATATATATATATATATATAAATATATATATATATATATATATATATATATATATGCAGAACTCGAAACATTAACCATCAACACAAAATATGTGCATATATATATATATATATATATATATATATATATATATATATATATATATATATATATATATATATATATATATATATATATATATATATATATATATATATATATATATATATACATATATATATATATATATATATATATATTATATGGCTGATGCGGATTCAATCCATAGTTTAACAGACGATCGAACAGAGATCGTATGTATCTCTTCTCTTATACTACGTATAGAAAAAGAGGGCAAGATTGAATAGTCTACTTGATGGTAAACGATAGACTAGGCAACTATCTAAAAAATCGAAGTTTTAAATTGAGTTTCAAGTTAAAAACATTATCTACCCTCTCTCACACAATATATTTTTCATTCATATTTTTCATACTTCATAGTTATGTCGTGTGTCAATGCGCTTTTCTTTTTAAAAAAATTACAGTGTAACGTTGATATACGAATTTAAATCCACTATATAATATTTTTTATAATCCATGGTGGACACCCCACCCCTTCTTCCCTTTCTTTTCAATAATAAAAAATAAAAATTTAGGTTAAATAGTTTAGATATAGGAAATCAGGAATGAGGGCTTTACATATTGGAGCTCCTCACCTATTAAATATATGTACATCAGTCTATAATAACACGGCGTAGCCTAGTGGTAGGGCGCTAGACTACTTACCCGAACGTCTCCAGTTCGAATCCGAGTTCAAGACAGTAAAACATCCCTGAGTCTATTAACTTTCGGAAAGAAAGGCGGCTGGGCATAATGTTGATAACATTAGAAACACATGAGCTCTACTTCCTCTGCCCAACGGATCGCTAAGTCTAAACAGGAATCTTTACTTTATTTACATCAAGCTATAGACCTATTCTAAATCTACAGGCATACATTGGTAAAGTTTGAACTTGACTTTGGAAGAAAAAGTGGCTTTATCGACCTAGCGTTCTTGATGCTCGTCAAGAAATGTCAGCACCTGGTTTACGTGGAGGTAAGACAGGTGTAAAATGATTTTACTGAATACCACACAACATATGGACAAATTACCAACTAGATCTCAGTACTAAATACCACACAAAATATAGACACTTTACCACCCAGATCTCAGTTCTGAATACCACACAAAATATGGACAAATTACCAACTAAATCTCAGTACTAAATACCACAAATTACCAACTAAATCTCAGTACTAAATACCACAAATTACCAACTAAATCTCAGTACTAAATACCACAAATTACCAACTAGTTCACAGTACTAAATACCACAAATTACCAACTAAATCTCAGTACTAAATACCACAAATTATCAACTAAATCTCAGTACTAAATACCACCAATTACAAACTAAATCTCAGTACTAAATACCACCTATTACCAACTAAATCTCAGTACTTAATACCACATTTACCAACTAGATCTCAGTACTAAGTACCACAAATTACCAACTAGATCTCAGTACTAAATACCACAAATTAAAAAACTAGATCTCAGTACTAAATACCACAAATTACCAACTAGATCTCAGTACTAAATACCACAAACATACCAACTAGATCTCAGTACTAAATACCACAAATTACCACCAAGATCTCAGTACTAAATACCACAAATTACCACCCAGATCTCAGTACTGAATACCACACAAAATATGGACACATTACCAACAAGATCTCAGTACTAAATACCACAAATTACCACCCAGATCTCAGCACTGTATACCACACAACATATGGACGAATCACTACCCAGATCTGTGCACTAAAAACAACATAGGGACCAATTTCCTCTCGACCACAATGCTAAATATCCCTTAAAATAAAGATAGATTACCCAGATGTCAGTACTGAATGCCACTCAATATAAGAACTGACTTATAGGTTATCAATTAAGCTTACAGTTAAAGGACCAAATTTTAAAGAACACAAAAGTGTAAGATAAAACGTACAGTTTAAGACTACTTACAGTCAAACAACTACAAAAGAAACTTAAAGACATTTACACACATTAAAGTATCTGCAGTTGAAGCCTTCATCTGAAAGATTCGGTTTTAGCTAGAATATCTCCATCTTGGGTCGAATAGTAAACTACTATCCCGGAGTCCATCAAGCTCTGAGAGGTATTTTAGGAAAAAAAGGACTATCGGGCATAGTGCTGACCACACTATCAGTTAATTACCTCATGTCACTGAAACCGGTGAACTCTACTTTATCTGCTCTCATTCAGAACTAATCAGAACCGAATAAATTCTACCGTCCCCCCCCCCCCCCGATCGAAATGGGATTTATATAGAAAATATATACTTTTAAAAAGGTCTACACCCCGGAAACTTTAGTCCGCCCCCTCCCCCTTCCAATAAAAATAATTCAAGTTTCCCCCCCCCCCCCCCTTCCCGGAGAAAAAAAATCTGGAAAAAAACACTGATCACAACGTCAAATGTGAAGACAATCTAATGTAAATTAATCTAATTCATACAGACTAAACACAAGTTATTAAGTCTTTTAAACGTATAGTAATGATATTTTGATCAATTTTTTTATTACAGAAAATACATAATCTCGTACAAATTTTTTGATAAAATCTCACTAACCTCTCTGTTCTTCTACAGACCCCGAAACAGTTCAGTCATCCGGAGTCGGAGCGGGTTGTCAGGAATTTGATTCAACAGAGACGGCGAAAGCTCAACATGCGGTTACCCGGATATGTAGTCAACAAACGAGTAAAAATAAACCCAGTAAACCAAGCAGGACCGAGCAGCACCAAGCAGGACCAAGCAGGGCCAAGCAGGACCAAGCAGGGCCAAGCAGGACCAAGCAGGGACAAGCAGGACCAAGCAGGACCAAGCAGGACTGAGCACAGCTCACGCCCCAATACCATAGGGACTGTCTGAAGAATGAGACCTGCACGGTTGAGTGAATCTAGAGAACGGACAGGTGGACAATGAAATCAGGACAAACATCATTACATTTTTTCTTGATGAAAACGGACACACATTTTCATTTTTATTAAATTGCCAAAATGTTTTAAAAATCACATGTCTAAACTGTATTAAAAATATCAATTATTATAAAACATACAAGACATAAATAGACAAATGGACACTTTTTCATCTTTGATAAAATACCAATGCAATTTTTAAATTCCCATGTCATTCAATATTAAAAAAGTAAGATAAATATAAAACATAAAAAATATAAAGAGTACAAATAACCTCATCCAACAAAACATGTTTAGTTCTGACTGTGCTGATTCCATTAGATCAGTGAAGACCTACAACAATATCTGTAGACATTTTTTAAGTTATTGGAGCACATTCCATGATGTTTAACCTTGTGTTATGTTTGCAAAAAAATGAAAAGTGTGGAGTATTTACAAAGAATATGTCTATTTTTTTTATTATAAAACCCGTGTTAGTATTGTTATAAAAAATGTGTATTCACTAATTTCAGAACAGTAATTGATTTTTGTGTGCAAGGATACCATGTGGACTGTTTTACAAATAAATTTAATAATATAAAATAACAAATAATGATAGCATATCATCTTTTATTTTAAAAAAGCAATAAACGTTATATTATACCATATTTTAATTGTTACGAGTTTTGAATAAAAAATTTCTTGTTTACATTAAAACATTGTGGATCTGGACAAAAGGCCGACACGGACAAAAGGCCGAAACGGACAAAAGGACGACAGGGATAAAAGGCCGACACGGATAAAAGGCCGACAAAACAATGAATGTTGTGCACACTTTAATGCATCGTTGTAGATACGGCGACACGGCAGTGCACACAACACTACATCACAGGATTCACTACACAAGATACGGCGACACGGCAGAGCACACAACACTACATCACAGGATTCACTACACCACGTCAACACTAGTTTCATGCTTGATACACATGAATAGACCTCGTCTTTACCATACACATTAAATAAGAGACTTTATTGTAAATACGTGCGAAGTCTAAAATGTTTGGCATCCAGTTTCAATTCATTACATTCAGTTTCAGTAAGTTTCGACCTTTTAAAATACAGTTCAAGGAAAGTCATGTAAATAAAATAAAGAATTGTTGAAAGAATGAATAATTGAAAGAATGAACCGTTTAAACGAGTAAATAAGTTAAATGAAATATTTAATGTATTAAGCAATGGGGGGAATAAAGAAATGGAGTAATAATTGAATTAATGAAGAAAAGAATGATCGAAGCAATGAAGAAGTATACATAGCAGGTATTAAATAAGGAATAAAAGAAAAAATTGAGGCCATGCAAATATGAAGATACCAAAAAATAAAGGAATGAAACGTTTATAAATGAAGAAATGAATAACCAAAGGAACGAGTAAATAAACGAATGAACATATGAGCAAATGAGGGAATAAACGACCGAGGGAGTGCAGGAATGGAGGGATAAAAAAAATGGAAAAAATGAACAGTAACAGATGCATGGATATAAAACTGTAGCCCAAATTATATATATATATATATATATATATATATATATATATATATATATATATATATATATATATATATATATATATATATATATATATATATATATATATATATATATATATATATATATATATATATATATATATATATATATATATGTATACCAGATGTTTCATCTAGTAAGTATTTTCCTGTTCAGTAAACTATTGCTGCCTGTTTCTTCTCTTACAGACTTGGGCCCACTTCACCCATTCAACAGCAGCGACCACAGTACGTGCAATACTACAGGAGAGACGGTGGCAACACAATAGAAGGATGTTTTGGACAGCGCCAGCAAAAGAACGAAACTAAACCCGGAAGACAAAGCAGGTCCTAGCACCGCGAACGCCACATCTCAGGAGGGGATGTCTGAAGAATCAGACCTGGACTATTGGTGAAAATAGACAACGGACTAGTAGATGAGTTAGATTTTTAACGAAACAAAGATCATTACACTTTTCTCATATAAAATGGACACGTATTTTCATCTTTGTTAAATTATTAATGAATTTTTTATCACTTGTCAAAAGTATATCACAAAAGTATGAAATAGTTTAAAAATGTACAAAGATATTTAGAAAGTTATAAAGTACGAAACAATAATTACGTCTTACATGGCTAACTCTTTAATTTAGATTAAATTTTGGCTAATAATAATAATTTTGCACATTATCAATTTATGATACATATTTTTTGTTTACCATGTGTTATGTCGAGAAAAGTGAAAGAAACGTAATTTAAGTGTTTAAAAAAAGCACTGTTTTCTGGCCATTACATCAGTTTGTGTATTGTAATAATAAAAATGTATGTAGACAAGTAAGTATGTCTAAGCGAATGTTCATACGATGTTAAACAATAAACATAACAATACATTATTCACAAAATTTACATCTAACCATCTTTATAAACGAAATACATAATACATTATATATCTTCATTGAATTGTTGTGAGTTATTTATTCTCGTGTCTGTATTAAAACTTTTTATGTTGGATATATGACCTTATACAATTACTATTTTTGCTCGTCTTGCAAAATATATTTAACGTGCTGATTAATTTTACTTCTATTACTACTTATAACACTACGTCTTTATTTTATTTAGGTAAAAATAGTAAGCTGTCACAGTGCAGTTATTTAAACAAAGATATAATATTTACATTGCATTAATAAAATATAGTAGAAAGGTTATAAAACAGTAATAAAGTTAGATGTTGCACTTGCTCCTTATAGAATGTCGTGAAATTGTTGTTTAATTAGTGTTGTTTTGAATATATTTTGAGAAATAGTTTCTTTGCTTTTAGGAAGATTGTTCCACATAACAGAAATGATTAAACTATTGGTTTGGAAATAAAATTGTATATTAAACAAAACAAGTTAATTAAAAAAGTCTAGTGACATTTATGCGCAATTTTCTTATGTTATCTAAAAATAGCTCTGACGTATAATGCTGGGGTGCGTTCAAGCTAGAAGAACGATCGGTTTGTAGGTGTTTATGTAAGTTTAAAATTTGTGACCGAACGAGAGGATATTTTTGAAAACTTTCTTCGGCAATATTGTTCTAAATTATGGCAGGAATCGATTGGTACATGTTTCAAGTCGCTAAGTGGTCTGGTTGCCGAGATATGGGTCAAAAACTGCATTTTTTTGAGGTTTTTTGGCTTTTCCGGCAAATACATGAAAGAAACCCGGAATTTTTATGGCCTATGCTCATTCTCGTAACTTGCTTAACATAATTGCTTTTAGAACTAGTCATCGATATTGCTTCGTTGAGGAGGAGATACGACTTAAAGCCCGGACACACATTCATCCATACATTCATCCATCCATTCCCAGAAATGACGAGTTAATAAACGCAATTCTCCAGAATGGAAATTGCGCTAAAAAAAGATTTATAGCTTTGATTAAGGTAGGAACTCATTTTCTTAAGTGCTTCTATTCATAACCTAGCTCTAAAAAAATTCCCTACTTACTTGTTTTAGATAAAGATCGCTTTTCTGTTTAATTATAAATCAGAATCCTGTTATACAATAACACTATAGTGTGCGAAGCTATGTCTTTGGGAAAAAGTGTATATAAAATATGCATAAAGACTTTATGGTTAATCTGGATCCTCATTTTCTTGAATCCTTTTATTCAACACCTAAGTATGAAAATAACATTCCTCCTTACTTGTTTAAAAAAAAAAGATCGTTTTGTTTTTAAATTTCAAAGCAGAATTATTTTATACAATAACTTTGACAAAGAGAAGTTATTGGTATGGCTTTGCAAAAAAATGTATTTAGAAAAAAAAAACAATATATGGCTGGTAAGTAGGTCACCAACCAGTTCTACGGCTAAAAAAAACCTGCATGAGCCATAGAACTGGTTGGTGACCTACTTACCAGGCCTATAACTCCTTAATCAATGTAGGACCTCATGTCTTAACAGCTTGTATTCATAAATCAACTTTGGCTTACTTACTTGTTTGAAAGAAAGGTCGTATTGGTTAGAATTTCACAGCACGATCTTGTCATACATTCAGAGGCGTAGCGAGGGGGGGGGGGGGGGCGGGCGGGGGTGCCGACCGCACCGGGTGACACCCGACCTCGCTACGCCACTGCATACATTAACTCTGAACGTTGTTTTCCGCATAAAGCCGTCGGTGATAAGAATAAATGAGGGGTTTTCTATTATAGTATTTTGGTAAATTGAAGCAAAACATTTTGCAGTTTAAAAAAAAAAAATTCTAAACTGTTTAACTTTTACGTCGTGTTTCAAAGATTATTTTCTTTCATAAATCATGATCTTTAAAATAATGTAAGCTTGGTTATAAGAGGGGAGAGTGTAGGTGATAGGCTGTTTTTGACTCTGTTTAATAGTGTGTGATAAAATTTCTTAAAAGTGTTGACTATAACATTTATATTTAAATAGAAATTGAGTAAAATACCAACCAATCCCCCCCCCCCCCAGGTACCGGGAATCGTTTTGAATGACGAAAAATATCGTGCTTATAAAATGTCGTTCGCTTACTGAAAATGTACTCAAGTTATTGGTATTTTAGGAAACGGGAATACCTTGCTTTCCGCTTTCGAATGTCGGAATACAATCCACAAATGTAAGCATAGAATCAAATACTTAACTTAATTGATGTTCAAGTTATTATGTTCATGCGCATATATACTACAGTACCATTTCCGTTTAGTACAAATCGCTCAGAAATCGTGGTAGCTAACTATGCAATTAATTACTTATTTATGAAAACTAGTTTTTATTAACCTATTTCCAGTACAATTTCCATGAATCGGAAATCGCCCGAATGTTGAAAGAATCCAACAATCGTACAATATAAGATCAACCTTTTACACAGTAAATGTTGTTCAGTTATCGTGTTAACATGCACACACACAGATCAAATATACATAATAACTTAATTGTAAAACGTACTTTTTCCAACACAAGAAACGTCAATTTTTTTAAACAGATTACAATACGTATGCGTATTCTCCGTTTATTGTAGCCGAGACGAATTATATGAATTACTTTGTTTCTCAAACTTAAAATTCTGCAGTCAAACTTTTCACACCCTTATCGTGCACAATTCTGCACTGGTGCGACCAAAACATTAACAGGAAGAAGTTCTATCGCGTTCTTGCGACGTCTAAATTCAGTCGATTACCAACAAAAACAGAAGGTCAAAACAGTTTCGTCTGATAAAAGATCAACGGTAAGACATGTTAACGATTACAAACATGGTAAATATGTATGCTGCAGAAACAAAGCGGCCGTGTGAAAAATACTTCACAAAAAAAGATTGTAATTCTGATGGCTTAATACATTGGGAACTATTACCGAAACAGATACTTATAAAGATATTTGATTATCTGCAACAGAATGACCTCATACGCGTGGCGACTGTGTGTCAATCTTGGCGGTATGTGGTTAACCACACCCCTCAGTTTTGGAGGAAGATACATCTGAGGTTGTCTTGCTAAAACAAACCGATGTACCGTAGAAAAGCTTGCTGGCTTGCTAAAACGAGGGGAAGGTACTTTCAGGAAGTGTATGTTTCCTGCAATCACAAACATGACGGTATGCATTGCAAAGATGTAAGATACGAGTTTCGTGAATTGTTGTCGAGCTTACCAAACAAACTGAATCTGACCAAGTTGAAAATTACCGACCTACTGCTAGAAAGCCCGCTGTGTTTCGTCATAATAATAATCCGTGTTTTGATGACGCGCTTACTGTCCAGACAAAATCGGTTAGAATATTTCCAAATGTCGTCTGCGAACTGGCCAGTCCATGAAGGCAACAACGTCCTCTATGTTCTCTTCAGTGTGGCTAGAGGAACTCTACAGTCCCTGCTCATCGACGGATTCTATGAGGAGATTTCGTTTGACTATGGACCGGAAGTGTTCAATAATTTCTTCTCCGGAATCCTTTCTCTCAGCCGCTTGACGAAGCTGGGCATCGACTACGTATTCCTGAGTGATTTTTTTCTAGCAAATCTTTCTAGGACATTCGCAGTACAGCTGAAGGTACTGAAAGTCACAACAAGCCAAGTGGATCGCAAGACCAGCATCTTATCCAGGAGCTCTTGGGTTACATTGGTAAGGCAGTTGTTGACAAAAACAAAAACCTTTAAACATTTCACTCATGTTCTTTCTCTCAGTCGCGTTCATGCGCAAACGCACACACTCACAATCAAGATTACACTCACACTCACAATAACACACACATTAATACCCACGCTCACACACACATTCACACCAACAGTTACACCTAAAATCACACTCACGCTGATGCTAACGTCTACACCTACACTCCCACTCCCACACACAAGCCTGACACTAAAAGTAACGCATGCACTCACGCGCAAACGCTAAGGCTGAAGCTGTCGCTGACGCTTACACTTACGCTTACGCTTACGCGTACACGTACACGTACACGTACACGTACACGTACACGTACACGTACACGTACACGTACACGTACACGTACACGTACACGTACACGTACACGTACACGTACACGTACACGTACACGTACACGTACACGTACACGTACACGTACACGTACACGTACACGTACACGTACACGTACACTTACACTTACACGTACACTCACACTCACACTCACACTCACACCCACACACACACTCACAATCACACTCATACTCACACACATACACTCACACACACTCACTCACACTCACACTTACACTTACTTTAACACATTTTGCCTAACAAGCACTTGCATGTTAAATTTAACCTTTCCACGAACTAAATCTAACCCTGAAATGTGTGTTACTATACCCCTAACTCTTAATTTAGACATAACCATATCTTTAAGAATACCTTTTCCCAATCTTTTAATTCTAGCACTAACTATTACAATACCCCTAATCCCTTTTTTGTGTAACGTTTCGATTAGTGATATTGCTAGAATCTATTTATACGAGACCACCGGTTAATATCCTGATTCTGTTTTTCCTTTCGGCCGTTTAATTAATTGATAGGAAAATAATTCGTCATGCAGTGCAATGTCAAAGAGTGGGTGGGGGGACGGGCGATTTGTGATATTATTCTTCTTCGTTCTTAATTAAACTTTTGGATCCAACACAGTTAAGTAGTACGTGTGAACTGATTATGCGCCTTATTGGCCGTTGACTTCAATTTCAGCCTGCCTGCTTTTCTTTTTGGATTTGCTTGCTTAGCCTCTGTCAATCTAAGAACAACAACAAGGCAGCAGTTTGACTTTAGCGTTGTCTCTCCTACAAGAGGATAAATTGACCGCGGCGGTGTTTTGCGTCCTCGTATTGAATTTATATAATATCCTACCAGATACTTTACATCAGGGGTTCCCAACCCTGTGCCCGCGGGCGCCCGCCGAACGATTCGTATGTGCCCGCCTATCACTATTCGACAGAGACAGAATTTTTTTCATAAACATCATTGAAAGGTTGAAGGGGATGGAAATCGAAAGTTTGAGAGAGGGGGGGGGGGGGGGGGGGTGCAAATCGAAAATTTGAGGAGGGTGCAAATCGAAAGTTTGAGAGGGGGGTGCAAATCGAAAGTTCTGTCCCCGGGTGACGGGAAGGGTCGCTACGCCTTTGGAAGGAGTTTGTCGATTTAAAATCGGTGGTGCCCGCCACCCTACCTATATTTTAGAATGTGCTCTAGATTTAAAAAAGGTTGGGAACCCCTGATTTACATTATATATTGGCTCATTATTTAACTTTTGCGTGTTTGTGTCTCCATTTTTCCCCCTCGCCCAACCAGACCAAGGTATGCCCTGCGTTGAAAGTGGCGTTACTACAGAACCTATACATTATTAACTTATTCACTAATGGACTTGTTTTTGTCTATCCATCTTACAACTTACAACCAGACCAAGGCATGCCCTGCGTTGAAAGTGGCGTTTACCATTAACGGTGTGTGCTCCCTATTCAAGACGGTCCGCAAGTTGAGTCCTGTCGTACCCGTCTATAAGCTCCGGCTGTCGCTCAGGTCAGGACCCAACAGCCCGGATGTTGGGAGTTTCAGCATTGCGGCTCTATTGGGACACGTCACCATGAGCTACAGGTAGGTGTGAAATGTGTTGTTTGGTTGATGCTCTATTTGGGACACGTCACCATTAGCTACAGGTCGGTGTGGAGTCTGTCGTGAGGTTGATGCTTTACTGGGACACGTCACCATGAGCTACAGGTGGGTGTGGAGTCTGTCGTGTGGTTGATGCTCAAATGGGACACGTCACCATGAGCTACAGGTGGGTGTGGAGTCTGTCGTGTGGTTGATGCTCAAATGGGACACGTCACCATGAACTACAGGTAGGTGTGAAATCAGCTGTTTGGTTGATGCTCTACTTGGACACGTCACCATGAGCTATAGGTGGGTGTGGAATCTGTTGTTTGGTTGATGCTCTGGGACACGTCAACATGAGCTACAGGTGGGTGTGAAATGTGTTGTTTACATGTATGTTTGGTTGATGCGTGTTCACTCTACCTCTACGGCCTAACAGACGATCGGCTAACGACTGACGTGGTAATTATCTCCAACTCGTGGTTTTGAATTGAGATTAGCAAGTTAAATAAATCTTTCCATTGTCGGAACTCGAAACATTAACCATCAACACAAAATATGTGCATATATATATATATATATATATATATATATATATATATATATATATATATATATATATATATATATATATATATATATATATATATATATATATATATATATATATATATATATATATATATATATATATATATATATATACTTCCTCTGCCCAACAGATTGCTAAGTCTAAAAAGGAATCTTTACTGTATTGTCATCAAGCTATAGACCTATTCCAAATCTACAGGCACACGTTGGTAAAGTTTGAGGTTGACATTGGAAGAAAAAGTGGCTTTATCGACCTAGCGTTCTTGATGCTTGTCAAGAAATGTCAACACCTGGTTTATGTGAAGGTAAGACAAGAGTAAAATGATTTTACTGAATACAACACAACATATGGACAAATTACCACACAGAACTCAGTATTAAATATCACACAACATATGGACAGTTGACCACACAGATCTCAGCACTGAATACCACTTAATATAAGCTCTGACTTATAGCACTGACTTATAGAGTACCTATTAAGCTTGCATATAGAACACAGAAGTGTAAGATAAAACGTACAGTTTAAGACTACCAACAGTTAAAACCACTACACAAACACTTAGAGATATTTAAACACATAAAAGTTTCCGCAACTGAAGCCTTAGTCAGAAAGATTCGATTATTGCTAGAATGTCTCCTCCGAGGGTCGAAAGGTAGACTGCTTACACGAAAATAGTTAGGATCCCGGGTTCGAATTCACAGGACATCCATGAGTCCTTCTAGCTATGAGAGGTATCTTAATGAAGAATAGGACTGTCGGGCATAGTGCTGTCAATACTATCATTTAACTGCCTTAAGTCACTGAAACCGGAGAACTCTACTTTATCTGCTCTCATTCAGAACTAATGAACCATATATTTCTGAAGAAATTCTACCGTCCCCCGCCCCCTCCCCCTCCCCCATCGAAATGGAATTTATATAGAAAATATATACTTTTAAAAGTGTCCGCACCATGGAAACTTTAGTCCGCCCCCTCCTGTCCAAAAAAAAAATAATTCAAGTGCCCCCCCCCCTCCTGGAGAAAAAACTCTGGAAGAAACACTGATCACAACGTCAAATGTGAAGATAATCTAATGTAAATTAATCTAATTCATACAGACTAAACACAAGTTATTAAGTCTTTTAAACGTATAGTAATGATATTTTGATCAACTTGGCTTTTTTATTACAGAAAATACATAATCTCGTACAAATTCTTTGATAAAATCTCACTAACCTATCTGCTCTTCTACAGACCCCGAAACAGTTCAGTCATCCGGAGTCGGAGCGGGTTGTCAGGAATTTGATTCAACAGAGACGGCGAAAGCTCAACATGCGGTTACCCGGAGATGTAGTCAACAAACGAGTAAAAATAAACCCAGTAGACCAAGCAGGACCAAGCAGGACCAAGCAGGACCAAGCAGGACCGAGCAGGACCAAGCAGGACCAAGTAGGACCAAGCAGCACCAAGCAGGACCAAGCAGGACTGAGCACAGCTCACGCCCCAATACCATAGGGACTGTCTGAAGAATGAGACCTGCACGGTTGAGAGAATCTACAGAACGGACAGGTGGACAATGAGATCAGGACAAACATCATTACATCTTTCTCGTTGAAAACGGACATTTTTATCTTTATTAAATTACCAAAACACTGTTTTAAAAATTACATGTCTAAACTGAAATATCATTTATTATAAAACTTACAATACATAAATAGACAAATGGACACTTTTTCATGTTTGATAAAATACCAATGCAATTTTAAAATTCCCATGTCATTCAATATTAAAATAGTAGGATAAATATTAAACATGCAACAAAAATAAAAACTAATCTCATCCAACAAAACATGTTTAGTTCTGACAGGGCTGACTCTATTAGACCAATAACAATATCTGTAGATTTTTTTTTAGTTTTTTTTTTAGCGATTGAAGCACCTTCCATGATGTTTAACCTTGTGTTTATGTTTGCGAAAAGTAAAAAGATGTGTTGAATTATAACACAGAGTATATCTAATTTTTGTATTGTGACATACGTGTTATGAAAATTGTGTATTCATTAATTCTAGTAAAGCAATTGATTTTGTGCGTGCAAGGATATCATGGGAATTTGATTTTATAATTGTTTATAATAAACGTAATAATACATTATTAAGAATACTGACAGCAAATCATATTTACAAATATATAAAATAAACAATACAATATACAATATTTTAATTGTTGCGAGTTTTTAATAAAAAAATCTCATGTCTACGTATAAAAAAATTATGGATCCGGAAAAAGACCGACACTGACAAAGGCTGACATGGACAAATGTCCGACAAGATATTTAATGGTCTTTACACTGCAATACATCGTTGTAGATGAGTTATGTGGTTGCGTTTACAGAAGAAAATACTTATGTTGCTGATAAATTATAAAAAAGAACAAGTTTTTTTACTTAAACACACTGTGGGACGCCGTGGTATAGCAGTAGAGCACTAGACTGCTAACACGCAAGTCTCGAGTTCAAATTCGGGTTCAAGTCAGTAGAAAGTCCTTGAGTTAACTCAGATCTGTTAGGGAAAGTAAAGGGAGCTGGGCATAGTGCTGACCACACTATCTCTTCACATGTCAAGGTCACATAAACAGGTCAAATTTAGTTTACTTTCCCCCATGGACCGCCGGGTTCGAAAAGGGAACTTTACTTTTGTTATTACGTGGAGCCTTATTTTTAATGCACATTTTCAACACCTAAATCTGAAAAAATACGATTTCCTGCTTTATAGCTCATATTATAAGAATTTCAATGATGAAACCCGTTTTTAACTCTCAGTTACTAACAGATGGCGGGAATGGGGGGGGGGGGGGAGAGAATAATTTGTTTTTGTATGGTGATGTATTAATGATATTTGGTTAAAGTGTGAAGAACTATTATATGTTTCAAAAGTTCGATAGGTTTAACAGTAAATTTTGAAGATTTTTTTCTTTGTTTGTAAATTACAATAAAATAAATACATAAAATTATCTCCTAGGTGATTGGACTGGACGTCATTACGAACTCAGCGAGACGGAACATCATACCGCTTCACACAATACACGTTACGCTGAAAAAGCCTGAAGTTGTTATATTTCGAGCCATCGGAAATATCGTAAAGTACAACATTCGGTTACCAGAAATCACTCAGAACTTGACAGCATACGAGAAAAAGATATGTATGAATTTTATGTATCTTTGAAACGGTACTTTTGTTATTGGTGTTTTAGAAATCGGAAATCCACTTCCGGATATTAGAAGTGACTTAAAAATTTGATAGCAATCCAAGTATCCGATGTATACGGAATTTCGTCAGCTAACTGAAATAGTACACAAGTAATCTGGTTCCGACGGAGATACACTGAAAAAAAACTACATGTTACCAGAAATCGTCGAAATGTTGAAAGAAACCATCGCACGCAATCTAATACTTCTATTTGAAATTGCGTCCACCCATCTCACATGGTACTTTAGTTGAAGGGTTTTGAAGAAACGTTCGCTGAATAAGTACCACTTCAAGTTATAGGAAATCGCTCAAAAGCTGAATGAAAATTATAAATTTGATATGATACTTACGTGGGAATATTTGTCCATCCAACTGAAATGGTACTCAAGAAATCGTTTTCACACAAACGTTAACATACACACATAAACGCAGCACACACACACAACACACACACACATGCGCACTCTCACATCATTCCACACACACGCACACACAATACACACACGCACGAACCCACACACACTCATATACATACAAACATCCACACACACCACACGCTCGCACACATACATACACACGCGCACACATACCACACACACGTACACACAACACACACACGTTCACAAAAATACAAACACATCACTTGGATAGTATTAAAAATCCACGTTTCTCATACTCAACCTTTCTCAAAATCTCGAGTCAGAATTCTGCTCGTTTTCATGGTATCATTTTAAGACAAACAAACTAGAGGTATAAATTAATGAACACAGTCCTATTTCATCAAATTATTTAGCAAAATTACAATAGTTCTTCTATGTGAAAGTAAAACATAAAATTTGTGAGTCTAGAAGAGAGGTGTTAGAAAATGTGTTTTGACACGCTGTATTTAAGATGTGTAAGATGTGAATCCATGCACAATCGTGCACTGTTGCGCACTTCTTACTAAACGGAAGCGATATCCAGCGCGTCTATGTTCCGCCCTTACCAACACATTACGATTACAACAGTTTTATCTGAAAAAAGACCAAAGATAAAACACAATGTTTACAAACAGGGACCGTCTGTTTGAGCCAAGAACAAGAAATGTTTTGCCATATCGCTTTGGAAGAAATTATAATGGGAATTTTGATGGCTCGGCTCAATGGGATAGGTTGCCAGACGGAATTCTAGTAAAGATCTTTTCAAAACTCGATCAAAAAGATCTGATGAAGGCGGCGAGGGTTTGTCAGTCTTGGCAGGAGGTTATCAACTCTACCGCTCTTTTTTGGAGGAAGATACATCTGAAGTTACAGCGCAGCAAAAACAAAAAGTACTGCCAGAAAGCGGTCCATCACATTAGAAAACGCGGAATCTACTTTCGGGAATTGTCGGTTACCTGCTGTCATGGTAATGAAACTACGGGCTTTGCGCAGACGATCGATTGTTTCTGTAGACTTGTGCAAACTTTACCAATGCAACTGAATCTGACGAAGTTGAAGATATCCGACCTACGATTACACGGCGTGTGGAATAACTTGGGGCTAGTTCGTAAAACGATGATACACTTGCTGTCGAGACAAGATGAACTGGAATGTTTCCAAATGTCGTCTGCGCGGTGGCCGATCAGAGAAGGCAAGAGCATCCTCAGAGCCCTCTTCACCGTGTCTAAAAGAACCCTACGGTCGCTGGAAATCGATGGGTTCTTTGAACCGGACGCCGCCAGTCAAGGACCGGATGTGTTTGATGAAGTGTTCGCCGGAATCCGTTCTCTGAGTCGCTTGACAAAGCTGGGGTTGGACTACGGGCTCATGAGTGACGTTTTTCTGCTAGAGCTCCCCGGTAGTCAGGCAACACAGCTGAGGGTATTGAAGATAAGTACAAAGCTGGTAGATGGTAGCACCACCATTGTATCAAGAAAAAGTTGGGAGACCTTGGTAAGGCATTAGATTTGTTTTAAAACGCAGACGGAAAATCAAATGTCACACCTACACCTACACCTACACCTACACCTACACCTACACCTACACCTACACCTACACCTACACCTACACCTACACCTACACCTACACCTACACCTACACCTACACCTACACCTACACCTACACCTACACCTACACCTACACCTACACCTACACCTACACCTACACCTACACCTACACCTACACCTACACCTACACCTACACCTACACCTACACCTACACCTACACCTACACCTACACCTACACCTACACCTACACCTACACCTACACCTACACCTACACCTACACCTACACCTACACCTACACCTACACCTACACCTACACCTACACCTACACCTACACCTACACCTACACCTACACCTACACCTACACCAACGGCTACACTTGCATCACAAGCGATATCCAGCGCGTCTATGTTCCGCCCTTACCAACACATCACAATTACAACAGTTTTATCTGAAATAAAAGATCAAAGATAGAACACAATGTTTACAAACAGGGACCGTCTTTTTGAGCCAAGAACAAGAACTGTTTTGCCATATCGCTTTGGAAGAAACTATAATGGGAATTTTGATGGCTACGCCTACACCTACACCTACACCTACACCTACACCTACACCTACACCTACACCTACACCTACACCTACACCTACACCTACACCTACACCTACACCTACACCTACACCTACACCTACACCTACACCTACACCTACACCTACACCTACACCTACACCTACACCTACACCTACACCTACACCTACACCTACACCTACACCTACACCTACACCTACACCTACACCTACACCTACACCTACACCTACACCTACTCCTAAACCTACTACTACACCAACGGCTACACTTGCATCCGCACCCAAGCTTACATTTAAACCGTCTTTAACACCGTCACCTGCACTGTCAACTTTACTGTCACCTGAACTGTCACCTGTATTGTACTGTCAACTTTACTGTCACCTGAACTGTCACCTCTATTGTACTGTCAACTTTACTGTCACCTGAACTGTCACCTCTATTGTACTGTCAACTTTACTGTCACCTGAACTGTCACCTGTATTGTACTGTCAACTTTACTGTCACCTTAAACGTACCAAAATTCACACTCATAAAACCTGTTCCGTATACCTTAACCAAAATCTTAACTTAAAATTGGCCTTACTTCATCCCTATTCCTAATCCAAACCGTAGACATATCTGAAACAATAATATCCTAAACGTTATTGTAGGTTAATCTAAACTTAAAATTGGCCTTACTTCATCCCTATTCCTAGTCTTAATTGGAAACAATAATATCCCAAACGTTATTGTTAGTTATTTCCTCAAAATAGGGCTGACATAATTTATACTCAACGGTTAGGCTAGATTTATTGCTAGGATTAGTTTTAGTGTTTAAGTGTACTTGAGCACTCGGTAATGTCCTGTCTCCTGTGTGGGTAATAAACTAATTTAATCGACAGGGGAGAGGGGATCGATTTGATATGTCATGTAATCACGCGGGGGGGGGGGGGGATTAGTAAGGTTTGATTGACACGAAAATGTTTTTTTTTTCCTGCGCAGGTAATATAAAAGGTAATTTAATTGACAGGGAAGGGGGGGTGTAGGGTTTGACTGATAGAGGTAATGTTCGGCATCACCCCATGACATTAATATAATGTCCCACCTAATCCAACACTCCAATAACTATTTTATTATTTAACTTGTTTTTTTTATTATAACCCTCATACCGCCATTCCCAGACGACGGCTATTCCAGCACTGAAAGTGACGTTTACCATTGAGGGTGTCTATTCCCTGATTAAAATGGTCCGCATCTTAAATCCCGCCATACCGGTCAAGAAGATAAGACTGATGCTACAGACAGGACCCAACGAGCCTGAGGTGGGGAGCGTGACAACGGCGGCCTTGTTAGGGCATATCACAATGAACTTCAGGTGAGCGAGACCAGTGTTGTTTACCAGAGGCGTAGCGACAACTCCCGGCGCAGGGGGACAAACTTTCAATTTGCCCCCCCCCCCCTATATATATATTTTTTAAAAATATTTTTAATTCAAAAATGCTAAAATGAGCTTTTAATTTTTTTTTCCAACGCATTTAGCGCCTCTAGGATTGGCGCCCAGGGACATCTGTACCCTCCTTCCCCCTATCGCTGCGCCTCTGCTCTTTACTATGGGGTGTGGGTGACGTTTATTCTCTCTAAAACATAACGGACCGTCGGGCAACTGAAATATACAGAGTATTAGGTCATTTAGACTGGGGAAGAGGAGGAGAGGGGGAAACATTAGTTCATGTACAGGTCAGTGAGAAAAAAAATTGCGAATGATCTACCGAATCCAAGCTTCGACTAAAGTGTTTCGCATTAATTAATCTTGTGTGTTTTGGGGAGCTACAATCTTGTATTGTTCCACCCCTCATTGGGGTAGCAGACATTACATTCAAAGACTGGAAAAAGTTGAGGGGGGGGGGAGGGTTTGCTACAACAGAAAGCGGCAGATATCAAATTTAGGGGAAATCGGTGATACTTTTTAATAACGCTTAATAAGGATTACAGTTTTCTTCATTGACTTATTAGGACTGATACAGATTTACAATAGTAATATTTCTTTTCACATGCACTTTCATTCGTTGAAAATGGTTTATTTATTTAAAATACTAAACGTCTAAATGTAATTTTTAAACATGAATTATATATATATATTTTTAATTGTGATTCAATGAGCTAAGAAGAGTGCGGTCTGGGGAATCAAATATGTTTTCTTAAATAAAAGATAGTGTCTCCCATTAGATCTATTACATATCTTAGCAACCAAAACTTTTGTTAATGAAAGCATTTTTCGTTTTCTTGTTGTTAGTACATTAAATGCTTATTAAATTGTTTATATATGGTATACTTTCAACTTATTTCTTCTTAATTAACTTATCACGACTAAAATCAAGGCTAAAACGAAAAGTATTAGCTTTAAAACCTGATTAGAAGCATGTAATATCTAAAAACAAACAATCAATTGTCTGATACTACATAATGCCTGTGGAAACTGTTGAGATGTCACATTCAACATCTTTTATTAATACATATTCCACTACACACATACTCTCATACCCATTCAGTACACTAAGATACTATTCACAACTGAAACCAGCCGTCCGTGACAGTTCACCAATGTAAACAAGCCGATCAAGAAATCGCTAGAGATTAATGGAGGCGAGCGAGTTGACGAGATTCCGTCCCCAATGTTGTTGACATGGAATAAAAACGTGCTTTTTAGATTTAGACCGTAAAAAAAAATAAAAAATAAAAACTTAAGCCTAAAATTAATTTAGAAATTTTATATTTTTAGAATAAATGTTATAAAAGTTGCAAATCCAGAGAACTTGAAAATAATTTGTTGAGTTTAAGGCTACATTTCTATTTATTTTCATCAAGCCTAAGTTATAACCGGATGTTTCACTTTCGTAAGACAAATATTGATTGGCTGTACAGTAACTTAGTGATCGATAACTATTTGTTTACAAAACTTTGCAGATCAAGTTTTTAAATTACAATGCAAATTTAAAACCCCATGACCTAGTTTTCTATTTTTAGCTTACAATGTGTACAATAAAATCAATGGCGGCCTATCCAATAGCAGGATGCCATTGTTTATGTCGCCATTACACGTGAAAACCAAATTGTTTTTGCTTTTTTTTTAATTTTTATTTAGTTACCGAAAATATTATAAACATCAAATACATCCAATCTTTAGTAAAGTCCGAAAAAAACCAGATAGACAGGATTTTATAACCATATTAATTGTAACTACGCTGTGCATGATTTTTAAATGAATTTATACACCTCTCAAATACCTTTGAGACTTTTCTCGCTGGTGTCCATTCTAACGTTATCTCCACTTTTGTTGTAAAATTTAGATGTTTTAAAATTTAATTGCATGACTAATTGTTTCTTTACTTAGATTAACCTTTATGTTAATAAAAGTTTATAATTGTTTTTTTTTAAAGCACTCACCTATGTTATGCCTATAAATAAAACCAGATTATAAATCTACAGACATAGTTTGAACAAGTTTGAACTGGACATTGGAAAGAAAAGTGGATTTATTGATCTGGCGTTTATAGGGCTCGTGAGGAAATGTACCCATCTGATAGATGTAAAGGTAAGATTGGGATAGATAGATAGTATAGACTGTTATGTAAAGGTAAGACTAAGATAGATAGTATAGACTGTTATGTAAAGGTAAGACTAAGATAGATAGTATAGACTGTTATGTAAAGGTAAGACTAAGATAGATAGTATAGACTGTTATGTAAAGGTAAGACTAAGATAGATAGTATAGACTGTTATGTAAAGGTAAGACTAAGATAGATAGTATAGACTGTTATGTAAAGGTAAGACTAAGATAGATAGTATAGACTGTTATGTAAAGGTAAGACTAAGATAGATAGTATAGACTGTTATGTAAAGGTAAGACTAAGATAGATAGTATAGACTGTTATGTAAAGGTAAGACTAAGATAGATAGTATAGAACGTTATGTAAAGGTAAGATTGGGATAGATAGAGAGTATAGAACGTTATGTAAAGGTAAGACTGGGATAGAACGATAGTGTAGGACGTTATGTAAAGGTAATAGTAATATAGAAAGATATTTTAGAACGTTGTGTAAAGGTAAGAAGAAGATAGAAATATAGTATAAAACGTTATGTAAAGGTAAGACTAAGATAGAAAGATAGTTTAAAACACATCACAACTTAAATAATTACGATACAACAAGGGGTCCTAGCCTTAGTAATTAAAAAATTTCGTTGGTCCACCCCTAAATCGTTAAAATATACTGCACTATCCCTGCATATGCCGAAGTCACAGTAACAGCTAAAATCTACTTCAATTTATTATAACAGAATGAAATGCTCGGCCTTCCTTACAGATAGAAAAATTCTTTTTCAGTTTATCTCATTAAAATAGATGTCATGGAGACTTAGGTTATAAAGTAATGAAGACGTTTCTTTATAAGGTACTTATCAACTATGAAGTTCGATTACACTAAACATAGAGTGTCGCATAGGATTTTAAACTTCATTATTGTTCAAGATGACTTAAACAATTAAAAACTACATTAATTACCTTTAATTTGATACCAATTTTATTTATCATATTTAATCGGTAGCCTAGAAAATGAGTTTTGAAAAACGCGTTTGTTTTTAAATGTCTACGATGAAATGACTGATTTTCAGTGATACGGTGGGTTAGTTGTGTAAGGAGTGTTGTTGTGACGCGATTGACCGTTCACTGCAGTTGGGCTGAAATGTGTTTTGCTTACTCTTATTTTGTTCTGCTCGATATTCTCAGTCGTTAGACCAAAATAATGTACAAACGGCAATTTTGCATCAAACACTAGTCTTCCATAGTTAAAACTAGACCGGTATCGTTGCATAATACGCAAAAATAACGATTTTAAATATATATTTCTGAAATGACCGTGAAGCATTGTTAAAAAAACGAATAACGGTATCGTCATTTTTGGCAGCCATCATTACATTACCATGACGACGGTAAAAAAAAAGTAGGTCGAAAAAGTAGGTCAAGCTAACTAAGCACAATATCCCATACGAGCTTATCCGCGCCGTAAGCGTACGCCGCTGTTTAGTTTTTTTTTTATTTTCTACTTTTCAGTAATTCATAATTCATTACCAATGCTGAGACTGAAAATATTTTGCTTTAAAACAATATCAGTAGCTGGTAAAGACGATTATCCTCACCCTCCCTTCCCCACCCCCACCCCTCCGCGAGAAATTGTTATTACCTCCCCTTTTTAAATCTAAATTATCTGCCCCTACCCCTATTAGCCGAACCGGCTCTACGATTGTAAACATTCGGGGTGGACCACAGCTCACCTGACAGGTGGTGATGATGTTGGTGGCTAAGCTGCGTGGTGTCTTCTATGGTCCCCATGAAGAGAATTATATATATATAGAATAGATCATTTATTTCTTCTGCAGACCCCGAAACAGTTCAGTCATCCGGAATCGGAGAGGGTTGTCCGGGCTTTGATTGAACAAAGACGGCGAAAACGCGAGATGCGGTTAACCAGAAATTTGGCCAACAAACGAGTGAAACAAAACCCGGTAGACCAAGCAGGACCAAGCACAGCTAACGCCACAATACCGGAGGGGCTGTCTACAAAATGAGACCTAGACTGTTGCTGACCTAAGGGAAAAGACAAGTGGACAATGAGATCCGACATTGAGTGAAACGATAATCATTACATCTTTCATATTTAAAAGGAAAACATTTTTTTTCAACTTTGATAAATAACCAAATGATTTTTAAAAGACGTAAAATAATATTCGAAAAAGAATATAATACATGTTGTAAAATTATACAAGGGATATTATAAAGAGTATAAACACATTAAACAAAACAGTTTTACATCACAAAGCCAAGCCAAAAATGTACTAAGATTAATTCAATTTAAGCAACAACAAAAATATAATGTATGCACATTTGTTCATGTTTAGCATCGTGTGAAAGTAGAGTGAAGTAGAAAAGAATGTTATTTTAAAGTTATTCATCAGCTTCACAAAACCAATCGGTTTTTGCGTGCAAGTTTATCTTGTGAAATTAGTTAACAATGTTTTTTACAATCAATGTGCTGAATATTTTATTCAGAATACTGACATCAAATCATCTTTTATAACAAAATAAATGATACACTAGACTTATTCTTATGAGTTTTGTATTAATTTCAAGTGTTAATTTTTTCAAGCATGTTTGTGCATATTGAGCTGTATTGTTGTAGAAGGCTTGTATGGTAGATGCTATTTAATGTTCTGATTAATTATATGAAGCAACAATATGCTCTACAGCTGTCAGATTAATTAGGACCTTTTTTTCTTTAAATGTTTCATTTCTTCTTCTTCTTCGTTCTTAATTTTAGTGTTGTAAGGGATCCCCTCCAAAACAATTGAGTATACGTGTCAACTGGTTATGCGCCATCGAGGCCATTGACTCCAACCAAGAACAAACTACAAGGCAGTGTTCGAACTCGAGACTTTCGGTTTAGTAACCATGAGCTTTACCGACTCGACCACGCCGATCCCATTTCAAAATCTAACTTTTGAAAAAATTGCCTCGGTTTATTAACAAAAAAAAGATCATTTTCCTATTTTAACTATAAAGCAGAATCCTGCTATAGAATTAACTCCATGAATCGATTTGACAATAACTCTGTTTATGTTGGGAACTGCTGTGGGGTGGGGGGACTAGAGTATCAGTGTGCCACTGATATGTTGGAAGATATTCACTGCAACAGAATTAAGTATTACGTGTCAACGTGTTATGCGCTATCAGCCTGCTTTTCTATTTGGATCTGCTTCCATAGCCATTGTCCATCCAACAGCAAACCACTTGGCAGCAGTTGTTTGATTTTCGAGTCTCACGAGAAGAACTGCTTCGAACTCTGGACTTAACGGACTGTTAACCCGTAAGTCTCGAGTTCGAATTTGGTTTCAACTAGACCCTCCCTGAGTCCACCCAGCTCTGATGGGTACCTAACTCACGTTAGTAAAGTAAAGGCGGCTGGGCAGATACAAGGTGACAAAAACAAGTGAACTCTACTTTACTTGCCTTAAAGACCGTCAGGTTTGAAAGGGAACTGTTTTTTTTAACCGTGCGCTTTTCCGACTTGACCAAGGCGACAAAAAAAAAACAACTTATACCAACACATTTTAAAAGTTTATCGCATATTTCGTATTTTAAAGATTTTTATTGCTATTGAAATAAAATACATTCTTTCCTAGATGATTGGGGTGTAAGGCTGATGGTTGATGATATTTAAGATTGGTGACACGCGTCGTTAAGAGTGGAAGAAAAAACATAATTTAGTCTACACTAGAAAGCCAATCAAATGTATGCAGTACACAGTTGCTTTATACTTTACAGCTTTCATTGTTTAAAAAATATAAACAGTACTCAGGAGGCGAAATTAATAAAGGGAATTTCCTCCATATTATTAATCCGGAAGCAAATAGCTGTCAAACGATTATTTTCACCATAACAGTTAATTAATAAACTGTACGCACATTTGCACATAATACCGCGTGCACCGTTCTGCACTTGTGCGCTTATTCCAATAGAAGGAAGTTGGTTTATAGAGCGCTAATGACGCCGTTTTGTTTTGATGCATGAAGTCGTCTGCCGTTACATTTGAACAATGTCGGAGTTGAATGAGACCACGACTTCAAATACTTCACCTGCGTCGGACCCAGAAGTAAGACAGATGGGCGAGGACAGTTTACAACCTGACGTTGACAGCAAGTTAGAAGGTTCGTATCTTTGGGAAAAGTTACCCCAAGAGGTCATTTATAACATATTCGATTACCTCAAGCAAAGCGATCTGTTGAGACTAGCGACTGTATGCAAGTACTGGAGGGATTCGATCCACACAACAGCGCAGTTTTGGCGATGCATGCGCCTGAACCTATCCTGCGATAAGAAATCCGCGCACAGTAAAAAATCGTGTTGGTACGCCACGCAGCTCGGAAGTCATTTCCGGGAACTGTCCATCTCCTGTCATCACCATCATAAGAGTAAAGACTGCAAGAATATGGCTTTTGACTTCCGGAGACTTCTGCTTTGTTTGTGTCATTCGAATCTGACGTCATTGAAAATAACTGACCTACGATTAGATTCCGCATTGATTAGCACTGTCGCCGTTATACGCCAGGTTATGACGCGCATGCTGTCCAGTTATCATCGTCTTCATTGTTTCCAAATGTCGTCTGCGCAATGGCCGCTGCATGAAGGCATCAAGGTCATCGACACCGTCTTGACCGTGTCCAGAGGAACCCTCCAGTCTCTGGTCATCGACGGGTTCTTTGAGGCGACTTCTTTAGCCCAGAGACCGGCTGAGTTTGAGCGAGTGACCAACGGCATCCTTTCTCTCAACCGCCTGACTAAACTAGGCATCGACTACCAGCTCCTGACTGACAGCTTTGTGACAGCGCTGTCCAGGTCACACACAGGACAGCTCAAGGTACTGAAAATCTCGGCTGGTCAAGCAGACGCTGCCGTGTCCAAGATCCCGGGAAGTGTTTGGTCGACTTTGGTAAGACAACTGTGCGGTCCTCACTTAAATATCTATATAACGTCCGTGATAATTGTTTACCGTCTCTAATAATACATCTTCTATCAGCTTAAAATTAAAAAAAAAACATATTCTATATACTCCTTATAATAAAAATCTTCTCTAAACAGCTTAAAATATGTTCTCTCAATACAGCTGATAACACTAAATATCAATACATAGAAAGAACTCTCTCAGCTTTCTTTTATCAGTACCACCCGTCTCTTCGCTGAATGTATCCTGTGTTAGTTATGTAATACTCGTGCAGCTAGTGCTCTATGTGACGGCGTGGTCGGGGTGTAGAGCACACGTTTGTTACTTGAACGCCTAACGCGAAACTGTCCCTGAGTCCACCCAGCTCTGATGAGTACCTGACTCTCGTTGAAGAAAGTAAAGGAGGGGGTAGGGGGCATAGTGTTCACCATACCAGCTCAAAAAGTAAGTACAGATTCCTCTTTAAACCTGGCAATCCATGGGGCAGATGAAGTTTCTTGACCACGGCGTATGAAGGGAAGGTGTGGTCATCACTTTGCCCAGCCGCCTTTACTTTCCCTAACTTGAGTTAGGTACCCATCAGAGTTGGGTGGTTTCAGCGACGTTCTACTAACTTGAATCTAGATTCCAACTCGAGACTTTCTGGTTAGCAGTCTAGCTCTCTACTGCTAGGTCACGGCGTCTCACATTATGTTTAAGTGAAACAGCTGTATCGCAGCTCTTTGTATGCAGAGGTAAAATAAAAAAAAAATAAAAACCATTAACGCTACTTTAATTTTAATTTAGCAATCAACCACCCCATCCCCTAAATGTCAGAAAATTCAAATTTAATTTGTTTTTCTTTCTCCCTGCCGTTACCAGATCGAGGCTTGCCCTGCACTAAAAATAGCGTTTGTTATTGACGACCTATCCTCATACGTCACCATAGTCGACATGCTGGACCACGTCCTTCCCATCTACAAGATCCGGTTCCTGCTCAACTCCACCCCCGCACGGTTCGAATCGGACTGCATGTGTACGCTGGTGGTACTAGCACTGGTCATGACCTACTACAGGTGAGTCACATCAGGGTTTCTTTCAGATATTTTTTTTTCTACAAGTGGAAGAGAAGCACTTGAAACTTCCTCTAAAAGGCGAGATGGTTTGTTGGGCAAGACACGGATTTAAGTTTATAAAGTTACATTTGGAATGTGACGGTTCATGGTGAAGGTGGAGTAGAGTTCACCTGTTTCTGTCACCTAGGAATATGAAGAGATAGTGTGTTCAGCACTAAGCCGAGCCCCATTTACTTTCTCTAACGTGAGTCAGGTACTCATATGAGCTGGGTAGACTCAGGGACGTTTTACGGATTTATGCTCGAGACGGGAGATATAAAGTATATACACATTATATATTTGGGAGGGGGTGGTACGTGCCTAGTTGAGGGGGGGGGGTTGGTTGTTGTAGCGCCTAAAGAGATGACTTAAACTCTGAGTGAGGCTTTAATGTTTTTGGTTATACGCTGCTTGTCAAGTGAGTATTTATTACAATGTGTATCACATGCAGTGTTACAAGCTCTAAACTTAAATGGTTTCACTCCAACAAAATATTACTCACTCCCTTAGGCCAGTGGTATATGAAAGGACAGCGTTGACAGCACTAAGCCCAAACTGTCTTTTTTTTCCACTCAAATTATAGTCAAGTACACATCAGATCTGGGTTGTCTAAATGAAGTTATACGTACCGTAGCTAGTAAAACGATACTTTATAGTATACAAATAGCACTCTCTTGCTCAATAACTAATTGATTAATTTATTTAGATGACTGGGTATTTTTCGTTAAATAGTTTTTTTTTTTTTTAAACTTGGGTAGGGGGACAACTAATCTATTTAAAACTTGAGTAAGGGAGACAACTACTTTATATATTCTTTTAAAACTTTGATAGGGGGACAACAAATCTATTAAAACTTGGGTACGGGAGACAACTAATCTATTTAAAACTTTGTGGTCCACAGACAGACTCTAGTGAAATTCGAGATGGATGTTGGAGTGAAGTTTTATGGGATCGATATAGCGTTTCTGATGTTTGTGGCGAAATGTCAAAATTTGCTGTATGTGAAGGTAAGGCTTCAATGGACACAATACAGAACAGAAATGACAATCGTTATACCGGAAACACATGACCCACCAGCCAGCAGTGCTTCTTTTAGAAAGTTTACTTTGTGGGAGGAGGGAGGGGGTGGGGGGTACTTGAAAATTTCCAGGAAGGCGGACTTAATTTTCGGAGTGTGTTGTGCGTGTGTGGGAAGGGAAGGGGGGGTCACACATGGGTAGAAGTAAGTTTTTTTCTTTAAAATGTATATATTAAGTGTATTAGTTCCGTAAGGGTGTGTGTGTGTGGGGGGGGGGGGTGGACTCGCTCCATTAGGGCTATGCTTCCACCCCCCCTCCGAAAAATATGCCTGAAAGAAAGTCAGACCCGAAACTAATACCACTCCCAGATCTACTATATTCGACAACTGCATACTTAAAACAACATTCAACATTTAGAAGATATAATTAAAGCTAGAAAGTCTCTATCACAATGGCATAAGCATGGGGTAAGAAGTGGTGTCGGACATTGAACACCAAAATGGAAGCTGGATTACATATATATATATATATATATATATATATATATATATATATATATATATATATATATATATATATATATATATATACATATATATGTTTATAATGATCATTTTTAAACAATCACTAAATGTACAATTTACGCCTTAGCTATTGATCAGATAGTAAGAAATTCTCAGACAATTAGACGTATATAAATGAAGTCCGTATCGTAAGTTTAAATAACACTAGATACAATTAACCTTCAACCTCTTTCAAAATGAATGTATTAAACAACTTGACCCCCGTCCTTGACATTCCAGGCATCGTCCAGTTTCACGGACCCAGAGACTGAGATGACGGCCCAGATTGTTCTACAAGAGAGGAGGCGGCAACGTGACCTGAGGATGTCCCAAGACACGGCCAACAAACGAGCGAAAAGAAGCCCGCACGACGGCGCAGGTTCGAGTCCCGCTAACGACACAGCCACGGTGGCACGAACTGTAAACGTCATCAAAATGGAGGCTGAGTCCAGCGACCAGACTGATGGACTATCACTGACCAACGAACCATGACAGATGACCCCTTAATGACGAAGGAAAGATAGACCATTCTGGAACAAAGATTTAGGTATATAAACATCTATACTAGATAATTAAGTACAAATATTTTAGTTTCAAATATAATAATAAAATAACATTATAAATTAATTATATTTATCAATTACATTTTTAATTACTAGTATGCATAATCTCTACTAAAAATCAATGTATGCTCGTATGTTCATTTATAACAATATATCACATTGACACATTCATTTGTATAATTACCCCTATGGAGAGAAAGAAAAAACTGTATTTATGTGATAATAAAAGTACACCAATCTTAACATTATGGATTGCATGTTATAACATAGTATATGTTTTTTTCTTTCACATCAGTAAACAAATTAATCATTATGTGCATATATGTAGTAAATAAACATTTCCATATTACATTTAACAATACACCTAAAAGATAAATATTAAGAATATTGTCAACTAATAGTCAGTTTTAAAGGACGAAATAAAAAATATATTATATCAGTACTTATATTTTGAGTTTTAATTTCAATATATTCGTTATAAAAATTAAATGTGTGTGTGTATTCTGTTGAGGTAGATTAGTAACGATTTTGTTTTTTACTGCTAGAGTTAACATATACTGTTAGAACAGAATCATATTATAAAATTGACATAGAACAAGATTATACTGGCCAAATGCATCAACTTGTAGTTAGAACAATGTCAAATTGGAAAGTTTGGTAGGAAGCAGATGACTTAGAGTCACGTAGATAAGTGGAGATTGAACATAGTGCTTTTCTACATCATAGGGTCGAGTTTTTTCGAAAAAATCAAAATGTGTAGTTAGAACAAGATAATACTGAGGGGACGATACGTTGCCTATTTTAATTTGCTGGTCACTTTATGGTATCCTGTAGCAAATGAGGGATAGTGTACTCGAATACCATCATCTTCTAAATCGATATGTCAAATGGGTGAGGGGGGGGGAATAGTGTTCTTGAACAACATCGTCTCTTAACGTTGATTGAACATTTTTACAAATAAGAAATAAGTTATTTTACTGTTACACTTGAAAACAGAGTTCTTATATAAAGCATTTTTTTTCATTATTATTATTCAGGCAGAAAAAAAAAAGACGGGGGGGGGGGGGGGGTTCAATAAATGAGATAACACCTAATTATGAGCTGTGAATTGGTTTAATACGTTTTGAATTTTGAAAAGTAAAGAACAAGTTGAAATTCGTTACAGTTATTATTTCATTTGACGAGGGGGGGGGGATTTGTAAAAAAAAAAGAATGGGTTGGGGGGTATCATTGTGAGTTGCTTTTATATGAAAATAAAATTGTTTATCGATCAATAGTGACATTTATTTTTTTTCTTATTCGCTTTTTACAACTCACTGAAGAGTAGTCCATTGAGAGCATCATTTAATCTTTTGATATTTTGTTTATTTCGTTTCTTTCCAGCAATGTTCGTGTCTGTGTAATTTCGCTATGCTTCGTGTTGTTAAGTCTTCTATATGTTATTGATTGATTATATTATTATTAATTATTGATTATATGTTATTGATTCTATTATATATACGAGCCGACCCGCGGCATATCATAAGCCACTATTTAGTTGTTTTATTTTCTACTTTTCAGTAATTCATAATTTGTGAATTCGACAGTACCAATGCTGCCACTGAAAATATTTGCTTTAAAACACTATCAGTAGGTCGTTAATGACGATACTACCCCCACCCTCCTTTCCCCCAACCACTACCCTACAACCCCCGCCCCCCGTGAAAGCAGCCTCCTCTTAGTTACCTCCCCTAAGTTTCAAACTAAATTATCTGCCCCTAATAGCCGTCACTAAACCCGGCTCTACGATTGTAAACATTTAGCGTGAACCAAAGCTCACCAGACCATGTAGGGGTGGGGGTGGTAGAGAGCGCGCTTACAGCTTGGTGTTTTCTAGGGTCTCCAAGGAGTGAATTGTATATATAGATTATATACATTGCCTGGTAATACATGTTGCCAAACTATGTTGTGTTCATCAATCTAGATCACGTGTCTACCTTCTGTGAAGGCTGGCCCAGCCAGCGGTCACGCTCTGGTTAATACATTGATTTTAGACATTTTATCAACTTAGGTTTTCTTATTGAGGAGTTACAGAGATTCCACGAACTGTTGTACTAATGCATGAAAAATAATGATCAATTGAAGAAGTAAATATAAAAAAACAAACTTTATTGATGAGGAAATCAACTACACAATTAAAAAAAATGCAATTATTATTATTGTTTACATACAACACAGTGTAGTTATCATTTAATTTTTTTTTGTTAAGGGAAAGAACTCATACATATTAAGGCAAAATAGATGTACACTTGTTACATCCCTTTTCTGAAAGAAACCCTTTTAATTAAATTTTTATAGCAGTACGTGTGTAAAATGTAGTTGATTGGACATCTATGTGGGAGGAGGTGTTGTTAATTGTGGCGTCATTAAAAAAAATTAGAGAAGTTCGCTTTTCATACCTGATGGTCCATGGGGCAAGTGAAGTAGAGTTCACCCGTTTCTGCATTTTTTAAAATTGAAACACGCTAATATAGTTTTTACACAACATAATGTGCACCTTGATGCACGGGTTTGCATAAAAACAATACAAAGAACGCGTTTTGTAAGCATGCTGAACAAGTAACATCTGACTGACTAATTTCGTCAACTTATTTAACATCTGTAAGGTACAACGTAGCTTCATGTTAGAACAAAATGGCGCACCTTAAAAACACCATCATTTGCAACGTGGTAAGTGATTTTAGTTCTTCATCATCAGCAGAGGGACAATCCAGTCAAATTGACGTATTAAAAGATCAGCTCAAAGACAAAATAGAAGAGTCATGTCTTTGGGATCAATTACCACGAGAGGTTATAATACATATTTTCCGATACCTCGGAAAAAGTGAACTTCTAAGAGTGGCGAGAGTTTGCAAGTGTTGGTGGGATTTGATCCACACTACATCAAGTTTATGGCGGGATATGCACCTGGAGTTGTCATGTAACAGCAAATCTATACACCGGAAGAGAGCGTGTTGGTACGCCAGCCAGTTTGGAAATCACTTCCGGAAATTGTCGGTCACCTGCGTTCACGACAACAACCATATGGTCTGCAGGCTAATGGGTATTAATTTCCGGAGACTTTTACTTACCTTACATCAACCGGAATTAACGTCATTGAAAGTTACTGACCTAAAACTTCGAGGTGCGTTGATGTGCACTGTAAAAAGCATCAGTGAGATTCTGACGCGCATGCTGTCCAGACTTGAAGGTCTACAGTGTTTCAAAATGACCTCCTCGCTGTTTAGAATAGATGAAGGCGTCAAGGTCATCGACACCGTCTTGACTGTGTCCAGAGGAACCCTGCAGTCTCTGGTCATCGACGGGTTCTTTGAGGCGACTTTTTTAGCCCAGAGACCGGCTGAGTTTGAGCGAGTGACCAACGGCATCCTTTCTCTCAACCGCCTGACAAAACTAAGCATCGACTACCAGCTCCTGACTGACAGCTTTGTGACAGCGCTGTCCAGGTCACACACAGGACAGCTCAAGGTACTGAAAATCTCTGCTTTTCAGCTGAGTTCTAAAGACGACAAGACCTCAAGAAGCTCCTGGTTGACTTTGGTGAGAAAATAGATGGGTAATTATCAAATCGTAAAACAAAAAACAGTAACATCAATTATAGTTATACAATAGCATTGATAACCTTTAAAACGAGTTTAAACATAAGGCTTGCAAAGTAATTTAAACAGAAGAAAGCAGGATGTGGTCAGAGTCAACGCAGAGGCGTAGCTAAGGAAGGTTGGGTGGGGTGGCAGAACCATGCGCCGAGACTCGGGAGCCCCGAAAGGGATGTGAAATATAGAGCTGTATTACATAATTATACACAGTCAAAGTAAAGAAAATAGACTTAACAGGCTTATTTAAATGTTGACTACATCAATTGTGTGCAACCAAAATAAAAGCCGTTAAGGGACAGAGACAGGTAAAAAGCGCTCCGACCTTTCCTAATAGGGCTGGTAAGTAGGTCACTAACCAGTTCTATGGCTCAATAAACACTGCATGAGCCATATAACTGGTTGTTGACCTACTTACCAGCCCTATTGGGGTGGGGGGGGGGTGCTGTTTTGCCAATGTAAATAACTGTATATATTGGGGGTGGGGGCGCAGATTTGATGGTTTGCCCTAGGCGCCGGAATGGGTTTCTACGCCTCTGATGGCTAGTAACATGTTGACACATAATACGCTCCAATATTTCAATTGATAACGAAGCAGGAGAATATGTAAAGCTGGAGGGAGATGTATTTCTAGAACAGACGAAGTAGATTTCACCTGTATCAACAGTTTCAGTGACCTCGGCGTTTGAAGGGATAATGTGTTCAGCACTACGCCCAGCCGGCTTTACTATCCCAACGTGAGTCAGGTACCCATCAGAGCTGAGTAGATTCAGGAAAGTTCCAAAGGACTCAAACCCGGTAATAGAACTCTAGACTTTCCATCTGCCTTCCAACGTTTCTGTGTTGCGACTGATGAGATATTTCTGAGGATCAATAGACTATAATTTAATAGCAGGATTTTGATATATTTAAATTAAATTCAGTGATATCATGTGAGTTTGACTCAGTAGTACTTCACGAATAATCTCTAATTGAACTATACCTTGATTCAACTTCACGCGCTGAGGAAAATATACTGAGATTTGAAAGGGTGGGGGGTGATATTTATTTATATTTATTTTAAAATGGATTGCCTGTCGGTAAATACGAATGAAATAGGATTAATTGTATATTACCCGTACACAGATAGAGGCTTGTCCAACTTTGAAAGTGGCCTTTTACATCGAGGGCTGGGTCCTGTCGCCTTTTGTTTCCATTCTCGACATACTGGACCCGGTCCTGCCCGTCTATAGGATTTGGTTGATGCTGAGGTCAAGGTTCAACTACTTCGATATGCAGGGGTCCAGTGCGGCGAGTGTGTTGGAGGATATCGCGACTAGTTTTAGGTTTGTGGGAGTCATGTGTGTGTATGTGTGTATGTGTGTATGAGTGTGTGTGTATGTTGGAGGACATCACGACTAGTTCTAGGTTTGTGTGGTCTTGCGTGTGTGTTTGTGTGTTGTTGTGTTTCCAAGAGTGTCTGTGTATTTGATATTGTGTCTTTCGGCGTGTCTGTGTGTTTGATATTTAGTATTTAGGTGTCTTTGATTGTGTCATTCAATGTTGAAATTAAGTATGTTTATTTACGAATATTTTTTTATATAAAGAAGATGTTGATGTTGTGAATGCGTGCTCAACACAAAATGTATACTTTATTAGCTTAGGTTACTGTTGTTGATCAGGCAATGCAGCACCTTTCTCAGTGTTTAAATCTGACTCAAATTATAATATTTAAATTAAGCTAAGCTCTTTATTCTTCATCTCACCTCTGCTCCTAACACACACACCCACACACAGACAAACAAACACACACACTCCCTACGCTCAATAACATATAAGCCGCTATCTGTAAACTGGGTTAATTGACTTGGTTTCTAGGTGACTGACAGTAGTGTGGTGGGTGGGACAAGGGACTTAACTCTGGCGGGCTTAGAGCAAGGGAAACTACTAATCAATCCTTAATCGTGTCGTCTATAGACAGAGCCTGGTCAAGTTTGAAATGAACGTAGACAACAAAAGCGACCCAGTGGATGCCGCCATTTTGAAGCTTGTTCGAAAATGTCATCGACTGACGACTGTAAAGGTAAAAATTGTATACACAGAACCCGAAGATGTAGTATCCAAAAGAACGTTTGAAACACATCACACCCCACACTTAAGACGGACCACACCCCACACTTAAGACGGACCACACCCCACACTTAAGACGGACCACACCCCACAACCCCACACTTAAGACGGACCACACCCCACACTTAAGACCGACCACACCCCACACTTAAGACCGACCACACCCCACACTTAAGACCGAACACATCCAACGCTTAAGCCCCACATCCAACACTTAAGACCGACCACATCCCACACTTAAGACCGCCCACATCCCACACTTAAGCCCCACTTCCAACACTTAAGACTGACCACATCCCACACTTAAGCCCCACATCCAACACTTAAGACTGACCACATCCCACACTTAACACCGACCACACCCCACATTTAAGACCGACTACTACCCACACTTCATACCGACCATACCCACACTTTACACCGACCACACCTGACACATAAGACCGACCCCCCCCCCCCCAACCCAAAGACTAACCCAACCCAACACTTCATACCGACCCCACCCCACACTTCATACCGGCCACACCCTAATGACCGACTAATTGAATCAACCACACTCTACACTCAAGGCCGACTAAATTGATACCCTGGCCTACCGCCCCCCCCCCCCCCACCCACCTTCCACCATTTAAAATCACTTCACACTTTCGACCGACTCTAGCTTAAAACGGCCCAAACAGCACAACGATTGAAATAACCGACGCTCAAAACTAAACCAAGTTTAAAAACAAGGTTATGCTTATACTTAAACAAATATTACCGACTGAGTTATTTTCTCCTTGGTTAGGTTAGAATTGCAAAAGGTAGAGTATATCTACATCTGTGAAATCAACATTTGAGTTGGGGCAGGTGAATTAGAGTGTATATGTTCCTGTTACCTCAGTATATGAAAGGGTAGTGTGGTCAGCATTTTGCCCAGTCGCTTTTAATATCACTAACGTGGACTCAGGGACGTTCAATCGACTTGAACCCGGTTTCGAATATTCGAGACGTTTGGGTTAGCAGTTTAGCACTCTACTGCTAAGCTACACCGTTCCCTGAACTGCCTCTGGCTTTATTAAATCATTATGTCTTCTAATTACCTGTGTTATAATAAGACAACCCCCTTCTTCAATAACGTAGGTCTCAGCTAATTACTCGGATCCAGAGACTGAGAGGACTGTCTTAAAGGTGATAGATGGGAGAACACACCAGCATAATATGACGACAAAACGGCAGCAAAGCATGAAGACAGAAAACGCCAGCACAAAATAAAATTTAATTCGCACATGCAATTAGACGAATGAAAACAAAAACATATCATTGTGCCACCTCCATCCAGGTTCGATCACTGCCTTATCCCACAGAACGGGACCAGGACGGTAGCAACACAGATGCTGGGACTGTGTGCCTTTGTGACAGCAGTAAGCTCAATGCTCTTAAAGAAATAGCAACATCATCTTTACAGCGTTAATAAACGTAAATCATCTATAAATATTCAAATAAAATAGTTTCATCAAGAAAAGCACTGCTTCTGTTACCTTACTCTCCAATTACACTTAAATTAAAATTTCAAAAGTGTTTAAATTTTTCAGCATTTTTTTTTAATTTCAAAGCATTTATTTTGAACCTGGTGGTCTTAAGGGCAGATAAAGTAGAGTCTACCTGTATCTCCAGTTTATGTAGCCTCGGCATATGAAGGGATAATATCGTCAGCACTATGCCCAACCACTTTCACTTTCTTTAACGTGATTTAGGTACCCATTAGAGCTGGGTGGACTCATGGACGTTCTACAGTCACGAGTTTGGACAAAACCCGAGTTCGAGAACTTCCGGCTAGCAGTCGAGGGCTTTGACCACAGCGGGGGCTTTGGCATTAGTGGGGCTTTGACCATAGGGTGTTTGACCATATTGGGTTTAATCACAGTGTGTTTTTAAAGTAGAAATAAAATACTCTTATCTAATTTAAAAGTTATGATACGATTATAATACAACTTAATTTCTTTGAGATGTAATTATTAGAAATCAGCATGTACTAAAAAAGTCATTTACTACAGTTGAGTCCAGATAAAAGACTTGTGCTAGACTTAAAAAAATATTTATTGTATAGATAAATTGAACAAAAACAATGCGGCATATAGAATTGTCACTAATAAATAATGCAGATCTAATTGAAAATATTTAGCATATAAAAAGAATAAAAAAGCATTACAACAAGATAATCAAAGAAGTAATACGTGTATGGTCTATGCACACTGCTGAATTGACAAGAATCCTTCTATTTTTATTGATGACTTGGATCAAAATCGTTTTTATTTTTCAGATTTTTTAATTTTAAAAACAAACCCAATCAATTGAATCAATTTTAAATACTTAAACTTTTTGAAATAGAATAAAATCTTGTAGAAAAAAGAATTGCACACCAAGAACGCAATTCTTTTTTCTATGAGATTCTATTCTATTTTAAAAAGTGTAAGTATTTAAAATGGATTAAAAATCATGTCTATATCCCGAGTTTCCGTCCCCTGTTATTTTATATAAGAATATTCAAAAAAGTTTAGGGGAAATCACTCCCGGTTTATTTTCAATTTTGTATTATTTTTTTTAAAAGTAGCTTAATTTATTTTTACAAATAAAATTTGACTGTAGGCACTTTTAATAATAAATATTAAACAACATTTTCGAAGTTAATTTAGGTTTCTAAAATAACATTCTTATGTGCCAATTGTAAAGGAAATTATTGATGAGAAATTTTAATATTAACCCTAGTTCGCTGATTATTTTCAGTAGCAGCAATGAATTAGTAATATCTTTGACAAAATTAGCCGCGAAAGCGAAAACTATTTACGCTATATATTTTCTTTCTTTTTTTCAAGGGAAACAATACAATAAAGTAATCATTGTTTTGCGTGTTTTTGTTTACCATCGTGTTTTTGAGATTGCCTGTAAAAATTTGTGCGTGTTGTGTGTGCCTGTGGGTTTTTAAATGTGTGTTTAGTGTCAACGTCTGTGTCAGTGGGTTTATCATTTAATGTGTTGCGAATGTTTCTAGAAGTATTTTTTTTATGTTAGTGTTTCTAAAAGTATTTTTTAAATGTGTGTTTAGTGTCAACGTCTGTGTTAGTGGGTTTATCATTTAATGTGTTGCGAGTGTTTCTAGAAGTATTTTTTTCATGTTAGTGTTTCTAAAAGTATTTTTTAAATGTGAGTATTTCTAAAAGTATATTTTCAATGTGTTTGTGACTGTTTCATTTAATGTCTTGTGAGTGTACGATATTTTTCTGAGTTATTTTTTCTTCAGTTTCATTGTATTTGTGAATGTGTTTGTAAGGGCGTTTGTGATCATGTATACGTTGTTTTCTTTACGTGGCTCTGTGTAGTAATGGTGTGCTAAGCCCTTTGCCCTTTCGATTATCCCCCCTCCCTACGCACCATCCGCGGATTCAAAATATAAGTAGATAGTCAATACCTTAAATCTGAGTTTAATGATGCTCTGCTTTGTAAGTTATAAACTATGTTGAGGGTGGGGGGGGGGGGGGGGGGGAAACAGTGCGACACGCTAGTAAAAGAAATCGTTAGATATTTTAAAGCTTAAAACAACAAAACTATTAAAACATTTAATGTTGAAGACAACAACAACAAAAAATAGACAGCCAAACGTTCAAGACAACAAAACAATTAAGACATCATAATAATGAAGACAACAACAAAATAACTTCTTAGGTTTAATTTAAACAAGTCACCATCTTCAAATTGCCTGTGTTCTTCTTCTTCTTTGTTCTTAATTACTAGTGTTGAAGGGGATCGAGATTTATCTGCCAGTGGGTTTGACCTCGAGGCTTTGTTCGAATTTATCAATCATGAGCTTTTTGCCGACTCGACCACGTTACGTGTCAACTGGTTATGCGCCATTGAGGCCATTGACTCCGATTTCAGCCTGCTTTTCTTTTTGGATTTGATTCCATAGCCTTTGTTCAACCAAGAACAAACTACGAGGCAGCAGTTGTTTAATTTTGGAGTTGTCTCTCCTAGACGAGTGGCTGTGTTGTATTGAGACACCCCCCTCAATCCATATTGCAGATCTTGGCTAATTCGCATCAGAAACAGAAAATACTCTCCTGAATGTTATAAAATGGGTGGGGTACTTATTGGAGGGTTTATTGGCCGAGTGTCAGTACTTGTTGGAGGGTTTATTGGCCGAGTGTCAGTACTTATTGGAGGGTTTATTGGCCGAGTGTCAGTACTTGTTGGAGGGTTTATTGGCCGAGTGTCAGTACTTGTTGGAGGGTTTATTGGCCGAGTGTCAGTACTTGTTGGAGGGTTTATTGGCCGAGTGTCAGTACTTGTTGGAGGGTTTATTGGCCGAGTGTCAGTACTTGTTGGAGGGTTTATTGGCCGAGTGTCAGTACTTATTGGAGGGTTTATTGGCCGAGTGTCAGTACTTGTTGGAGGGTTTATTGGCCGAGTGTCAGTACTTGTTGGAGGGTTTATTGGCCGAGTGTTAGTACTTGCTGGAGGGTTTATTGGCCGAGTGTCAGTACTTGTTGGAGAGTTTATTGACCAGGCTCAAGTAATAGATGTAAAGGTTATTTTCCGAGATATAATATTAGAAGGGCTGGGGATGGTATCCAATTTTAGATGTTTTTAATCTAGTAAATTCTTTAGAAAAACTATATATATATATATATATATATATATATATATATATATATATATATATATATATATACAGTTAATCTCTCGTATTCAATTAAAAAAACAAGACAGCTGGGCTTAAGTTTCTGCATCACACACCGCCCATCTAGAATTAAACAACCAGTATAACCCTCTTATTTGTTTCGAAATTTGCGTCAATCGAACAGAATATTATCTCCCACAAATTTAGCACAAGAAAATTGAATACATTTTTTCTTTGTTTTGTCTTTGTTATTCTTAGATAAGTCGGAAAAACCCACTGTTGCTTTTTATTGTTCTTGTGTAATTGTTTTTTTCTTCTTTCTTACCATTGGGCAACACATTTTCACTATTGAACTTACCAGATACTGTTCATACGACTTAGCCAGATAAGGGACAGACAATCCCCTCGTGCTCTTTCCAACAGAGATAGATCTATACTGAGCTGTAGGGGTAAGGAAGGGTGGGATGGGCTTCACCAAGTGGGCTTAATTAGGTTTTTTATATCCTATGGGCTTAAATAGATGTGTTATTTTGTCTGAGTAGCTAAAACTAATCCAACGTTTTGTGATCGTTGTCAAGGATTATCGACTAGTATACGACTTGAGGTTTAATGTTGGTAATTCTGATAATAAAATAGTTGTTTACGCTATTGCCATTCGAGGTACATTGGATAAAGTTAGAAAGAAAATGTATAATATATATATGTTTTTAATATTTCCCACAAAATTAAATCTTGAAAGAGAAATAAAACTTGAAACGGATGGATGTCTTTGGCCTCTACAACTTACCATCTACAACATACCATCAACTACCCTATATCATCAAGCCACTATCGACAACCAACCAGAAACAAAATACTAACAACAACCCACCACGAGCAACCCACCATCAACAACTCACTGCCAACAACCACCCACCAACAACCCACCACCAAAAAACCCACTATCAACAACCCACCATCAACAACCTAACATCAACAACCCTCCACTAAAAAACCAACAACCCACCATCAACAACCTAACATCAACAACTCACCTTAAAATCCTATACCAACAACAAACCATTAACCACCCACTATAATCTATGTAACTACAGTCTACAATCATCTATGGATTGTGAGGTGAAAAGCAGAAAGTAGCAACCGCTCTCACACATTGTTTTCTATCTCTAGTATACATATTTTAACCAAGAAAAAATGTTGTTTTTTTTCTCTCGTATTTGAAATCTTTAAACCGTCAGCTTTAAAAATAGTTAATTGCTAGATATATGGAATTCGTATATGATCTTTGAAAACCAATATCTACATCTTTATTTCTGTTTTACCTCGGACATGTACTTACATTGTCAGTTTGCTTTTTTTTTTTTTTTTTTGTTTTTAATTTAAAAAAATATATTTTTTATTTTTCATTTTAAAATAATCACAACATTGTTTAAATATTTACAAACAAGAAAAAAAAACCAGTTTAACAATGGAAACAAGAATAAAAATCATGATATGAGCTAAGGGCTGAAAACAAGTATAGTTATAAGGGTTGCAGCCTGTAACACTTGACATTACAAAGAGGCTTATTTTTCACTTGGTTTGCTCAAAAATGGTTGCAGTAATAAAAATTTCAAATTCTTTTATTTTTTTGTTGAAGTAAGTTTTTTCATACCATAAGGTATATTAGAAATCATACTGAAAAGTTTGCCTTTGTATAAGATTTGAAATTGTCAAATGTTTTCTTAGTATTACATAATAAATTCCCCTGTAGGCCTATTAAAGATTTTAATTCAAATACAAGCCTACAGTAATAC